GCCCCCTAGACTATGCGCGATATATACGATGGGTCGATGTCGTTCCTCTTCAGAGTTGCGATTGTGGGAAAGTCGGTCAAGCATCTCGTTCGCATGGTCGTGGATCATCAACCTGGGCACCGCGAAAGCCACGCTAGAGTTGTATCCGAATAATAAAACTCGAACGTCTGGCCAGGTACGCGTGAATAAGTCTCTTGGCCAGCATGTCCCGTCTTCGTGTGTCCAAGCGCGATAGGGGTAATCGGGAACGTTGACTGGGTTTAGGCCATGGACGAAGACGACGCTGGATTGTTAGAGCCTAGAGTTAATTATCTTAAGATAAGAGGACTTACTCGAACTTACTCGACCCGAGCATGGCCGTTAGACGGCTCGTAAAGGACGTCTAAGAAGGGAGTGCCTACCATGTCTCTTCAAATGCCGATATTGAACGGAAAAGATTGCCAATGATTTGGCCAGCTATGAAGCCCTTGGAGAAACCAGGTCTGGGTTGGATTTTATGGGGGCGACCAGCACTCGCCCACGGCGCCGGGGGGGGGGTCCGGGGTTGTACTGTGAGCAGGCTGCGACCAGGGCGTAAGACATTGGCTTAGTGCCGCAGTATGGGGATGATTATATGAACGGTCATAACATCTGCGCTCAAGTTGTTGACTTTTGTACTTTCACCCCGCACGAGGCACCAGCAGTGCGGCAAATTGTAGCACTTCCAAGATGTGAATGATTGATTGCTTTTCCAAGCCCGCAACCACATCCAGGGGGTGAGTGTGACTTCTTCCCTGTGTGAGTGATGTTACGCGGAGTGCCAGCAGTCTTCCCAAACTTATTCTCTGAAGGCTTTATCTCGAAGTACTCTGTCCTCTTGCGAGGCATTCTTACCGGGTTTCGACGGAATGGGGGCGCATTATCACTAGTCGATGTGGACGGCGTCGCGTCGCGATTGGGGATTCCGTCTGGTTGGTAGGAACTTAGCCTTGACTCATCCATTGACCTCCCCCCATATATAAGGCTCCTTATCTCTTATCTAAGGAAGGGCCTGAATCTAGTCCGTGGCTCCTGACACGGCTGCAGCCTGCTCATCCACTCACACTACGGATACTTGAAGGGACAAAGTATACACTTATATAGTCTACCGTTAGTTGTATTTTGATGTACTGCTACTAGTACGTATGATAAGAGTCAGCAACCTAGCACCGCCTAGAGGCGGCATATGCGTTCACGACCTGTCTAATAGTGATTCTAGCATTGTGACACAGCAGGGAACTCGTAGGTCTAGACACACATATATCAATAGAGCGGCAAATCATATACTTGTCTTGGCAGTCTCGGATGCCGGCTGACAAAGTTCCAATGATTGCATTAGTTGGCGCCCATGGATCCCCCTTGTGCGGGCCGTGGCCTGTCCACTAATTGTTCCGGCCGCTGGGCTGACGGCCGGGTTGATGCCAGTTATTAGCACGATTCCGAGCGGTGTATGCAGTACAGTTCATGTTACCTTCTGTGGAACACATCTCGGGGATACCTTCCATTTTTCATCGACATGAAGCACCATGTTCTCGTGTCATGTCTTGGCTTGTTATCTTTGGCCCAGGAGGCTCGATGGAAATAATTATGTTGAATCCTTCTAGAAGGTCAATCTTCGTGGCCTCTGACGCATCCCAACATAAGTCTCACCGCTCCACAGGTGTACGCAGAAAAGACCTTGGAGGTCAAGCACAAACATCACATCTGCATACATTTGCGTACAGCTGCCTCGTTGGGATTGTTTCTGACAGATCCCCTTGCCAGGGAAAAAATTGTGGGGCATCCGGGGCGGGAAGATCAACTTTGAATGATCCACCAGCCCCACTTCAGTAACTAAACTATAATAAATACTGTAGCGATGGAGGCACCATGAAGGATCGTCCGCTTTATTAGCTGCGCCACCAGACCCACACCGCCGGTTTTTTGTCTGTGGCACAGCCTGCCAGGTGAGAGGCTGCCAATATCTGCCAACGTTGTTGATGTGTACTTGTACCAGAGAAACTGTGTTAATGCAGCAAGAAATCAGCAACTACGGAGAAGTCGGTTGCCAATTGTACCACTTTTCACTCTTCACGACATTTTACACCATCGAGATGCCTAAACTCAGCGGGAAGCGAAAGCGACGAGAATCTGGGTCAATTCAGCCAAGCCATCCGACAACGCGAGGACGAAGAGCCGTCGCAATTGCCTCATCGCATGGAAATCGGCTATGCTCAGCTTGCCGCGCGATAGACTTTGACGAGATCTTCCGCATGGAGGTGAATAGCTGCGGGAAGATAGTATCTCGTGGCTGTCGGGTGCGAGCACTAAGCCATATTCGTCGTGGGGCCACTTGTGAGCTTTGCCACTTCTTCAGGAAGTTGATGGTATCACCTCGCGACTCTGGGTCACGCCTAGAACTTTGTGCCTACTCTGCGCGGGCAGCCTTCAACATACCGAAAGGGATCATTCCCGACACGGTCATGCTTGCTGTTGTCCCAGCCCGCAGGAGCAAAGACCCGAAGAAGCATCCACTGTCACGCGGCCGGGTGGCCATGGAGTGCGCCGATGGCCAAGAACGCATTTCTGGCCGTCAAATCTGGGCCCAGGTTGACTTCGGACTCGTCAAGTCGTGGCTGGATTTCTGCAGTATCCATCACAGCCAGCTCTGCCAGAGGAGGGATGTGGCCTCGATCCCCCATTTCCGCGTCATCGACTGCTCCACTAGAGAGGTCGTTCTTTGGTCTGATCTACAAGAGCCTCCAGGCTTTGCAGCACTCAGCTATGTCTGGGGAGACAAGGAAGATGACCGCCCGGTCGCCCATGGACATCTACCTCCAAGTCTTCCAAGGCTCGTAGAGAATGCCATCGAAGTGACCTCCAAGCTGGGACTCGGATACCTATGGATTGATCGGTACTGCGTCCCGCAAGACAGCGTAGAGGAAAAGCACACACAGATTCAGAAAATGAATCTTATCTACGGGTCAGCTGCGGTCACCATCATCGCCGCAGCAGGAATGGATCCAACTTATGGGTTACCTGGTGTTGGATCAACGCCGAGAGCGAAGCAAAGTTCAATACGCATCGGAAGCAGGACACTTGTCTGCACAAACCTTGATATATCGCGCCAGGTGCACAGCTCAAAGTGGGCCAGTAGAGGCTGGACGTATCAGGAAGCTCTCTTGTCCAAGAGACGCCTCGTCTTCACGGACCAGATGGTCTACTTCCAATGCAGCGCCATGCACTGCCTGGAAACTATATCTGCACCGCTCAAAGCTCTTCACACCAAGGACTATCGCCGCATGCGAGACTTGGTTAACATTTCTAGGCTCTGGCCGCTACGGGGACTGGGGAAGTACGCAGCCGACCTGGAAGTACGTATCGGGGAGTACGCTATGCGGGAGCTCAGCCATCCAAGCGACGCCCTGAACGCCTTTGAGGGGATTTTAAGCGAGTTCAAGGCAATGGATCGTCCGGTTCGCAACCTTTGCGGGGTACCCATCTTTGACTCGAACGACATAACGGCGAGCTTGGTCGTGGGATTGTCGTGGTGGGTGATCGCGTACGGCGACGCATCACCACCGCCCTGTTTGCGGAAAAGGCCCGGATTTCCCAGTTGGTCGTGGGCGAGTTGGAATCTCAGCACCAGTAGCTTGGTATACCTGTTGAACTTCGAGATCCGAGATGATATACCCATGGAAAGGCAGACAAAGTTTCGGCAGGACAAGTCGACACTCAAGCACACGGTGCCTCTCGTCGACATCGACATGCAGATGACTGACGGAACTGTCCTAAAATGGACCCAAACCAGCGACCAGATTATAGAAATGGTCTCGTCGGGGAGGAGTCTTATTGACCTTCTTCACGTAACGGGCTTTACGGTCGACGCGCGCGCTGAAAAACCAACCCGCCACGGGAAGCGGGACGCATTCCGACGTTACAACTCTCTGCTCAACGCCACCGACGATGCACCATCCTTTCTCAATAATAGCGATTTATTCTCCTGGCCTCGCGAACATTCACCGTCGGATATAGTCGCGCTAGCAGAGGCCATGGGTGTCCATTCTCGTCCGGCAGACGGGGGAAAGCATTTCTTCGACCTCCGCTTTATCTTGCTAGGATACATGGAATACGGCGAGTTGGATGACAAGCCTTTGGATGGGGTCATGATAATGGTTGTCCACCGGCCAGAAGGGTCGGCTGCATACGAAAGAATCGCCGTCATCCGGACCACAAGTTACTCCGGAGCGAGTATGCTTCGGAAGATGCAACAAAGCGATGTACGAGAGTTTGCGGGCTGGAAAAAGTGCAAGACGCAAATTGCCTAAGACACCTAGATCGAATTTCGACTCTATTTCATTTTGTCTGCTACCTCAAAGTCCAGGAACCTTCTAGGAAGAATTAGAAGTATTAAAAGTATTAGCTCAGCTGCCTCTTATCTTGTAGTAACTACAAGTGTAGAACTAATTGATGATTAAAGTAGTCTAAGTAGAAATGGTGATGTGGATTTTGAGGGGGGGCTAAAAGAGAGAGAGAAAGGGAAGAGGGGGGGGGGGGGGGGGGGGGGGAGGTTTCCAAGTTATAGAACAGTGAATGGACCTACCACGCCGCTACTCCTGTTGTTGGCTATTCTATAACAGGCTTCTTTGCCGGCACTGTCAGTTTGATTATCATGATTGGCATATCAAATGTAGCAGGGCACCGCGGGGCACACCAAGAAGAGCTTCATGGCTGCTACTATTTTTGTCGCCTCCTGTGTTGGTACGTTTTGATGGACCCATACATTGGCTACCCAACGAGAGCTGGGCCGATAGGAAATGCAGTGCTCTAGTCATGGACGTCAGGGATTTACGGTGACAAGGGACGGATGTCAATCAAGAATAGTTGCGGCGCATTGCTATTCATCCTGGAGGCAAGAAGAGTTAATATCACCATTTAATCATCACCCGACTTTATTATAATCCGTAGTTCCTGTACATGGACTTCCACCCGGACCGGCTCATTCAGGCCCCCTCCTCATACTCATACTTCAGCTTGAATCCAGCTGGACCCTCCTTCCCAACATCCTGCCTTCCAAGGGGCGTCATGTCCAACAACTGCAGCGTCACGAGAAGCTTATCCAGGCCCCTCGCATAGCTCGAGTAAGTATGGTAAATCTCCCCGTCCTTCTTGAAAAAGACACTCAATCCAGGCATCTCCCCCTTCAACCAGGTCTGGCCCTTTCCGACCAACTCCTCCTTGGAAGCAAAATTGTACTCGACGGGTGCAACCTCCTCATCTAGGGTAGCGTGGAAATCATAGTTGAAATCCGACCCTTCGCTCGAGTACCACGGGAATTCCCAGCCGATCTTCTTCTTCCAGGCATCAAGCTTCTCAAACGGACCACGTGAGACGCAAACCATGGCTGTGTTGCGGGATCGTAGATGGCGCAAGTCGGGGATATGCTCGCCGAGGAAAGCGCAGCCTCCACAGCCTCGCTCGGCGTCTGGTCCAAACATGAAATGGTAGACGATGAGTTGCTGTTTGTCGCCGAATAGATCAGAGAGAGATGGGGTTGATCCATTTGGACCCTTGAATGTGTAGTTCTTGTCGACCTTGACGAGGGGGAGTTGGCGGCGCTCGGCTGCGAGCTCGTCGGAGAGCTTAACTAGCTCCTTTTCTTTCTTCAAGAGTGCTTTTCTGGCTTCGAGCCACTCGGAATAAGTTCCGACCTAGAGCAAGCTGTCAGCATGTATTGGCCTATCATGGCTATAGTGTGGAACTAACCTTGAGAGACATGGTGAAATTCGATATTTGCTAAAGCTCAAGTGAAGTTGAGAAGTGCTGTTTTGGGTGGATATTTCCGTTGAGATGCCTTGAGAGCGAGATGGAGATGAAGAAATCGGAGTCGAGGATGAGCCAAGATCGAGCGATATTTATGCTTGAATTCAAGCCTGAATTTGAGCGAGTCGTCTCCTGACCTTTGTTCCAGTTGTGAATAATTGCAATAAAATTTAACCCTCAGCTTCACGCTTGAGACTCTTCAGTTGTCAGGGCTGATACAGTTGGATTCCATGTTGAGTAATTGAGCCCGGGGTGATTAGTGAACCGGCCGGACTATTGGACAAGCAGACAATTAAAAGCAAGTAAACCAGGAAACTCTAGATCGACGGTATGGCTGACCATCACCCGACAATTGGACAAATTCGCAGAGACTTCAGCCACAGCTGAAACGGTTGGTCCGTTTAACCACGTCAAGGTTTTGAGTCGCGACCAAATTAAGCATAAACCGACCTAGGCAGCAACCTCCCATGATGGAGATTACCAACCAAGACCATGTCGCTCTTGAAGATTGCCCCGAGCCTGTCTTGTCTTACTCGTCGAGGATGCTCTCCTTATTCAGAATGATGTCAATCACACGCTGTCCTGCGAAGAGTGGCGCAACCTACGACCTAATTCTGGTCTCTTTTTAAGGGCCATTACTGCTGGGAGCATGTACAATCCAGAGACCCCGCCTCGCAGGGTACGAACTAGCGCCTAATAAGGTACAAAAAGACTCATCCCTACGTTATTCACAGCCCTAATCGAATGCGTGGCTTTGATGAGTGCGGCTCTCATGTTGCTCCTTCTAGGAAGGCATCTAGAAAAGTCATATCGATGCTCTGTGACATCCAATGCTCACCACGCAGATCCAGTAGCAGAGGATCGACTAGGCCTACGGCGTCATGAGCTTGAGAATACCCAAGTTCCGTTCCAGCTCCGGTATCAAATGCCGTTGCTGCAGTTGGCTCGCGTGCCGCATCATTGTCATTCGGCCGCACGATCCGCATGACACCGAAGTAGGGAATGAAAATGGGCTCGCCCTCTTCCGGAGAAGAAGTCGAAGTGGCAGTAGCAGGTTGGTTATCGGACTGGCCGTGGACACTGACGTACGCGCTGCCTGCGGCGGCGTAAAGATTTTTACTCGCTTCAATCTCCAGCAATCGATGCAGAACATCGGCGCTCTGCGCACAGAGTGCATCCCCACTCGAATGGCCCACGCATCGCATCGTTTCGAGAGCCTGCTCCATCATCGCTCGGTCGCCGGGCGCTTGGTGAGAGAGTAGACTATCTACTTGGGAGGAGATTTCATCTTGGTTATGAGGATGAGGACGACGACTTCCGCCGAGGTGAGCCAACACGAGTGTGATGGCTGCCATGAGGCCTAGGAAGTTTGCGAAGCGGCAGCTGGACGCTGTCCGATTGAAGTCTCGCAAGAGGATGAAACGGGAGAGGACTTCGCGGGAAGAATTGATGCATACTATTCGTGCCATTTCAGATCGCTGTCTGTCTGCTTCTCCCTTGGCTAGCATGTAAGGGACATTGAGCTGAGCTCGTAGATCGTGGTGGAGCATTTGGATGATCAGCCGTCGCATATCCCAGAACAGCTTGGGTGGACTCTTGGAGCTTTCTGCCAGTATCGGCGGCAGCCACCTATGACTAGGGACGCCGTTCGCCGCTCTCTGCAACTCCTGGTCCAGCGCTTGCGTCGCCTTGACGTCTGGCGGACTTGCGTCTGAAGACCTCTGTGCGAGCGCAAGAATCATGACGTGGCGATATACTCGCTCCAGGTATCCCTCTGGCGTTTCGACCGCCATATCGTACGGGGATAGGGCGTTCTGAGTAACATCGGCCGCACCCGGTGGGAGGCCTAACATGCGGGAGAGTTGAAGGTCGTAATGGACGATACGGAACCATAGATTGGGCAACTCGGCGCGCGTACCACTGGGGTCGAAGGTATAGAGGGTCTCCCGCTGGTGGCTGTCCCCTCCTGCCAAATGAAGTCCCATCGTTTGCGCCAGAAGCATCGCCCTCCGCACGGCCATCCAGCTGAGTCGCAGACGGCTACTGTTGCACTGGTATACACTCTCTAGGATCACGCCTTCTAGACTCTCGATGCTGCCGAGCAGCTCATCTTGCCGCGTTACGAGATTGATGGCCGTTTTGGCACAGCGTTCCGTCAGGGCGGCAGCAGGCTCGGTCAGGCAGTCCAGTTCTGGATACGTGATAGATTGCATCTCCTGTAGAAAGACGGCAAGCTGGAGCATATATTTTGCGATCAGGACAGGCTCGGAGGTCACCGAGGGCGGCTCACGCAGGACACCATCTGTCGGCCGAATTCCGTCACGGCGTAGAGTAGCATATGACGTGGTGATGTGAATTGTCGATAGCACGGGGTGGCGTGCAGTTGCCTTGCGTAGCAGTTGGATGTCTTGAGGGCAGGGCAGCGAGACATGCAGGGTTTGAGACAGCACCTGTAGCCTGGCCAACCTGGCCGAGCCCAGGCCGGTGGCAGAGGCAATCAGCTCGTTTGCCGCTACCGGCGAGGCAGAATGCGCCGTCGACGCTGGAGGTGCCGTCTGAGACAGCGTTTCTCGCGGGGCTGGAATTGGACTCGAGCTTATCGCAGGCGTGTACAGTGGATTGCTTTGTCTTTGGCTTAGGCTTTGGATTTGAGATGTGAGCTGCGCGACCATGTCCTCGATGCGCTGCAAGCGGGTGGCGGCGGCAGCGGCAGCATTAGCAGTCGCTCGTGTATCATCGTCGGCAAAGTGCTGGCTCACACAGATAGTCCCACGGCGTAGACAGCCAGTGCAGGCGTCGCCGCCGTCGAAAGAGCATTTCTCTTTGCGCCGCTTGCATGCCCAGCAGCTGTGTGTGCCTTTGCGCAGCCTTCGTTTTCCTTTCCTGACCGGCTCGACAAGCTCAGCATGTTGGCTTTCGTCGACAGGCTCGTCGTCGGCCTCGACACACGAGGTTCGCGAAACGTTGATTGTGTCCGGCATGTTGCAAGTTAGAGCACGATGCGACGTACGTACGCTACCCGATCACAGATTGAGTGGATACGCTTGCTGATCTCTCACATACGCCGTACCTACCTAGGTAGGCTTGTTCGTTGATTGAAGTTTCGTTATTCAACTTGAAATGCAGTTTATCAGTGGAGGACTCCTGCCCGACTGGGGAGTGAAATCGGGTGAATGTGAGACGAATGAACGACATTATCTACGAAGTACCTATGCTGCTGCTTAGCAACTGACATGACTAAGTAGAGCTGGGGATCGATCACGTGTGCCAAGAAGTCGTAGAGATATCTATATATATGTATATATATGGATCCGACTTGACTTCGTCCGCCGGACCGGCGGACGAACAAAAGGGGACCCTGTTGCGGCTTTCCCGTGGGGCGGGGGGCGGGGGTTGGTTTGGAAACTAGCGGAGGTAGGGAGCGAAACTAGCCCGTCATATCATAGAAGCTCCGCTCTTAAGCAGTTAGATTGACTTGCAACTGTGTTCCACCGGCCGGCCTCCGGTCCACCCACTCTTATTGATTTGTGATCCGATCGACCACAACAGATGAAATCGATATCTATTCCATGTCTTCGGACATGTATCGAAAGACAGGCAATTAATTGCATACGGAGCCATGTCTTCCACCAGAGATCGCGTTGACACCCGCCAACACAGCACAGAGAAGCACGCCGAGCGAGATTGCTCTACCATGGCTGACAACAACGAAAAACACGACGAGGGCGAGACATCGCAGAGTGGCTCGGACAACGACCTGCAATATGCTACATCCTTCAAGCTTGCCGCCATCATGGCGACCATCAACCTTAGCACCATGGTTGCCGCTTTGGATCTGGTAAGAAGCAGCCAGGCTGAAACCTCCCATCCAGATGATGAAAATGACGGCGCTGACCTCTAACCCTTTAGGGAATCGTGGCCACAGCCATTCCTGCCATCACCAACGACTTCCAATCCCTCAACAAGATCGCCTGGTATAGCGCGGCCTGCTTTATTCTCGTTGGAGCTACCAGTGCTACGTGGGGGAAGCTGTTCACCTACTTTTCAGCTCCTATTACCTACATGAGCGCTCTCGTGTTGTACCTGATTGGAAGCGTCATCGCCGCCGCAGCACCAAACTCCACAGCTCTAATTGTCGGGCGAGCCATTCAAGGATGTGGCTGCTCAGGAACTTTAAGCGGTTCGGTTTTAATCATTAGCTTTACTGCTGCTCCCAAGAATCGGCCTCTGCTGATCGGGGTCTGGATGGGTGTTTTCATGGGCTCTACCGTCCTTGGCCCTCTCCTAGGCGGCGTGTTCACTTCTAAGGCGACCTGGAGATGGTGAGCCTTCCTGGTCCTCGCACTGATAACATCTAACGTTTTCCAAGGTGTTTCTGGGTTAGTCTTCCCATCGGCGGCCTGGCCCTCGCTCTGCAACTTCTTTTCCTCCGCGTACCGAAGCAGATCAAGCCGATGCCTGCAACGTGGAAGGAGATCATTCTACAGCTCGATTTCTCTGGCTTCATCATCCTTGCTGCTTCCTTGATCAGCTACACCCTGGCGCTGGAATGGGGAGGATTGACCAAGTCATGGTCGGACGGCACAGTCATAGCTACTCTCGTCATGTGGATTGTCTTGACCATCGGCTTCTTCGTCAATGAATGGCTTCTTGGTGCGAAAGCAATGATGCCGCTCTATCTACTCAAGACGCGTATGACATGGGCAAGTTGTCTATACGCTTGGATGTAAGTATCTTATTTTTTGACATTTTCTTCATTCGAGGCAAGGAGATGCTAATTATCTCCAGTGCAAACTGCGCCAACTTCCAGGTGCTTTTCTACTTGCCTCTTTACTTCCAGTCTGTCAAAGGCGACTCGGCTATTATGAGCGGTGTTTACACCCTTCCCTTCGTGTCCTTCTACGCATTGGGCTCGTTGCTCAGCGGTTTCTGGATCAGCAAGACGAGGCTCCCGATTGCCGCAGAGATCGTCAGTCCTTTACTGGCCCTGATTGGCACCATCGTCTTTTACCAGATGGATATCAATACCTCCAAAGCCTGGTATGTTGGAGCACAGATTCCATTCGGATTTGGCATCGGCCTCGGCAACCAAGTTCCCGTGACCGCGCTGCAGGCGTTTGCCAAGCCAGCAGAGGTTGCAGCCACTATGGGCATTATCTTCAGTCAGTAAACCCTTCAGCAGTCGTCGCGAAAACTACTGACAAGCGCGTATAGCGTTTCAAACCATCAGCGGCGCCTACTTCAACACCGCAGCTCAATCCGTCTTCGAGAACACTATATACAAAAGGTTAGAAACCACAGCTCCAGGGGTCAGCTGGAGCAGCGTCAGCGAGGCTGGCGCGGCAGGCCTCACAAACACTTTCAGCGGACAGGAGCTCACCCTTGTGCTCGAGGCATACATGGCCGGTATTAAAAATGTTTTCATTTTCGCCGTTGCGGGAGCGGCCGCAACTGTGCTAGTCGCGCTCTTGATTCCTCCCACGAGGATCCCGGCTCACGAAGAGAGGAAGACGGATGAGAAAGAGGCTGCGAATGCAAGCATTGACAAGTGAGTCTGTATCACTGTGTCAAGCATACAAATGGTCCATGGCATCCAAGTTGACTTGCACCCAAGATCGTGAGATGCCAGTGCCACAGATGGATGGTTCGTGGAACTAGAAGGTCACTTTGGATCGTATAAGGCCTAAGATTTAGCCTTCTAATAAGACATGCTCTTATGGTATTGGTTTGTTTGGCTTCATTCCCTCTTTGGGCCCGATACTAGCTTGCCCATCAGGGTCTATTCACACCCCTTGCTCCACTTGTCAATATATATTAATTACTAGTTTGTCTGAAAAAAAACGTCCACTCTTACTCCTCTAGGCCCAACGAAGGGGCAGACTTAGAGTGGCAGCCTATGTCATAACTCACGAATCGTCTCGAGTTCCTGCATCACGGGGAGATTTTGCAGGGGCAATAATTTGGGCTTCAACACGCCAAACCGGGACTGGGCACAATGTGAGATGTCATGGGCGGGGTGTGGAGCAGATGCGGCAGTTTGCGCACATTTCGACAGAAGTCAACCGTCAACCCACGCTCTTGAGACGAATCTCCACCAGTACCGGGAAACCGCGCCAGGAGGAGGAAATATGGAGACTTGCATAAAGTATAGAAGCTCCCTCATCCGAAATCACATCTTCGCTTAGTCCGCTCATCTGTTGCCGACCTCCAGAGCATTACATCCGTCTACCCCCTCTTCGTGTTCTTGTCATTGTAGTTTATACTTAGATCATCATGCTCATCCGATCGGCCTTGTTTTTGCTGGGGCTCAGCTGCCTTCCTGTCTGCCTTGGTGGGCGGGCCGAAGCATCCTGTAGGTCTTCCACTCTACTCGAACCCCATCTTCGAGCAAATGCAAAACATGTCTCCAGGATCTGACGATGCCTAGGTAGCGGCCGGCCTAAGCCACCGCCGGTGAAGTTCGGCGTCATTCTGTTCCAGGCTTTTGAGATCCTCGACGTTTTCGGGCCTCTCGAGGCGTTGAATATGCTGTCACGCACGCGCCATCTCGAAATGTTTCTCATTTCCGAGACCATGGATCCGGTCGCGACGAAGCCAGTGATGGCGCCCATGAATCCCTTCGACTCCACCTTTGTGAGTGCACGTAATCCCGAGACATTGGCCTCCGGCTCGAATGTAGTGGAACGAAGTCAAGTGGAAGCTTACGGAGAGAGATCTTAGTGGCCAACACTCCCACCGACGCACACACTCGAAACCGTCCCAGGCGACCTTGATGTCCTCATCATTCCAGGGGGCTTGGGTGTCCGCTCTCCAAATATTAACGCCACCCTTACATACCTCGCCGACACGTACCCCAAGCTGCAGTACCTCATCACGGTATGTACCGGCTCCGCGCTGGCGGCCAGGGCCGGGCTCCTGGATGGACGGCGTGCCACGACCAACAAGGCGCAGTGGGACTCCACTGTCGCCTTCGGTCCAAACACGACATGGGTGTCACAGGCTCGTTGGGTCGCTGACGGGAACATCTGGACCTCATCAGGCATTTCGGCAGGTATAGATGTCACGCTTGCTTTCATTGAGGAAAGCTACGGAAAGGAGAACGCTACCTGGGTGTCGAATCGGATGGAGTATGAGAGGCACACCGATCCTGACTGGGACCCATTCTCAGGCATCTTCGGGGTATCGAATTAGTGAGGCCCGAGATCTGGCTAGCATGAAGAGAGGCGTCAGGATAGAGGGCGAGATAGATAATAGGAATATGCTTGGGAATACGCCTTACAATTGCGAGAGGCGCTGATCTAGAGCGTGCTGAGGGGGCTTCTTATAAATTCTCGCCGACTAGCATTCGGCACGAAGTTTGAGGAAAGATCGGAAACTTCGAGATATCTCGGCATAATATCTCCAAATGAAAAGAAAAAAAGGTATAAAGTCTAGCCCCAGCTTCGAACGGAGAGTGTCTCCAAGCTTCAGCGCCGACCTCGCCTCGACCATCACCAGAGCCCCAAGGAAAGACTCCGCAAACTATTTCGCAGAAAGAGAAAAGGGGGGAAAATAAAAAAAAATTAAAAAAAAAAAAAGAATTCCCACTTCTCCCCAATTCTCAAATCCCCTTTCCCAATTTCCTCCACGTCTCATGGTTTGACTAGACCGGGTTCCACGGCGGCGCCTTGCGGAAGTAGTTTGCAACCAGTGCGCCACCGCTCGACCGCCTGAGCTTCCAGGAGATGTTGAAAACCCTGACTCCAGATCTCAAATATACCACACACCAACAATCGCCAACACTCGGACGGAAGGTGTCTCCCAACCGAATTTCTACGGGAAGTACCTCGGAAGTATGGGGAATATGCGCCGAAGTGTAACTCAAGACTTCCATACGTCTGCCAGCCAGAGGTTTTGCGAAAATGCGGCCTGTGAGCCTAGTTTGCTAAAGCCGCGCCACCAGAACCGCCGCAGCTACCAATGGCGGAGAAGTAGAAAGGAGAAAATAATCAGCAAAGTGTAGAATATAGAGGAAGTTAAAAGAGCGAGCAAGGTTTATCTCCTCTACATCATGAAGAGCATCCCTGTCCGGCATACTTTCTGTCAATTGGATCTACTTTTCCCTCACTTAGGCTAGACAGGGGCAGGAACGTTATGTGTGAGAAACCGGGTTAATAGTCCGACATCAGTCTCATCTTCCTTGTATGGGCGAGCCAGTCGTCGCTTGGCACTAGCTTCATCCCATCATATGTGAATACGGCGACGGGTTCACCCTCGCTGAAGAGGTTCTTAGGCAGAGTTTGAGCCACGTCGGTACGCTTAGCAGCGAGACCAAGATGAATTTCTACCATCTTTTAGGCTGGTAGATAGTTAGAGTCCCCACGGCTCCAAGTGAGTCCTGATCTGGTAGATTTAGTCGGATCCTATGTTGACGAGAGATTGTTACGATGCCCAGAATAAGGACCGTGCCTAATACAAACAGCGCATTAGGGTAATGAGGCAAGGCTAGAAGCTCTAACAATACGATGAGCGGAACAACAGTATTAGGCACGTTGGTATCTCAAAGCCACCACAGTTATGTCATCGGCAGTGGTTGTCGCCCAAGAGCTGATGCTCACATCTCAAGGACTGAAACGATGCTGAGATTTCTTTGCATTTGGCAACTCTAACACCCCGACGTCTGCTGTGAGTCCGAACGGGTCTAGATCTTACCATCCCACTGATGGTGTCGGAATGAAAGAAGTCAGTGAGTGGAATTCACATCTATTCTCCACATTCTCTCGATCGAAGACTCCGATTATATCTTCGTCAACTCTCGTCGGCCGGTATCGGTTTCTGTCCGCTGACAACAGTCCTGTAGCGAAATAATCGTGAGCTAAACACCCTGTGGCCTCGAAGCGGCAAGTGTCCTTACATGTAAGTGTAGGCGTGAATGTGAGGATCGGTCAATTCAGACCGGGCCTGCATGAGGAAGAGCTGCGCCTCTTCAAATGACCACTTTCCACGATTGTCAGCATGTGCCACTATCGAAAATGGAAGACGTGATAGGAGGAAAGGGAGGGACAACAGCTTACCCCCAACAGGTCTGTCAAGCCACGAATCACGAATCCCTCGAGGCCTTGTAAGGCGAATTGCCTGTACCATAATCCCCAATTCTTCAGTATCGGATCCTTGGGCCAGGTACCGATTGGAATTTTTATCTTCCGTTCATGGATGTTCACGAGACCGGCCTCTCGAATCTGTTCCGGCGCTGTCTCGCTAACACCAAACGTCTTGCCGATCTTATCACCAACTTCCTTGAAAATCTCGAACCACCTCTGCATGGCGGAGCCCTGCTTCACAGTCCCATCGTCCGATGTTATGATGCTGGACAGTTCAACATGTTCGACCCACCCGCCGGGTTTGACGTGGCTTTTTATACTGTTAACAAGGATGCCTACCCATTAAAGACAAAGATGAAACGTACTCCATTGACTTCTTGTAGAATTCGACCCAATCAGGGACACAACCGGTCATGTATCGAATGTGGATGAAGTCGAAATGGTCTTTTGGGTAGGTCCAATCTTGGTTGATATCGTCCACCTCGAACTTGCAGTTTGGCGGGATGAAACTGGGCTGGATGGGAGAGAGGTCTACGCCGATGACCTCTGATGATGGATTCTCGTCGGCGAACTCTCTGTTTCACCTTCTCATTAGAATCTGGGGAAAAGAACGGAATGCGACAACATGAGTGTGGCTTGGGCCCCATCTTTCTCTGGAATAGAGTGGAATGAGATGGTTGGCACTCACATGGCCCACTGTCCCGTACCGCAACCAACATCGAGAACTCGCTGGGTTCAGAGCAACCGTCAGGCCTGACACAAGACGTTTTATTGCTGTTATTGAGACGTACATCGACTTTGTCCCCGAGTGGACTTGTGAATAGTTTGTCATCGAGAATAATTCGAATCATTTCGTGCCTAATGAGCGCGATTAGATATGGTGGACACCTAGCGAAGCAGGAGAAAACTTTTATTTGGAGTTATCATGGCGACTGGAGGTACGTACATCAGGTCTTCTGCCTCCTGTTGCCTCTCATCATTCGGGGAGCTACCGAACCGAGTCAGCAACAATGACCCTGCTTCCACGTTTGAGACAGGGGCTAATATTACTAGTAAGCACCGTCGCGATAGGCATGGTATCGTCGCCCATTTTCCCACTTGAAGGCCAATATAGAAGAACGAAGGGATGTCGTGTCTGTCACCGCACTAGACTGTCGGTGAGCGGAGGCTTGAATAGCCCTTCGGAGCGAAACTGGATGATCGACTTACGATTGAGCGTAGACCGAATCGGCATCCGCGGCGTCCTAGTGACAGTCAAGAGGGCGTTAGGTCCGGTACAGAAAATTGAGAGAGATGCCGGAGGGAGAGAGAGTGACTAGGACTAGCCAACTTGGTTGATTCTAGGGGAAGGTTCATTTACCACTTCAATTACGGCGTTCCCATCGCCGAGAGGAGACGCTACCCCAGGGGAGGGAGACTTTGGCGGGGACTTCGGGCTACTCATATTCCTGAACTGCTAATGATTCGGAATTGGAGGGGCGAAGTATCACAGGAAAGCCATACTCTGGAGATTGCAGGTCAACCTCGGGAGAAGAGAGGGGCTGGCTGCAGCCACTTTTTAAAATCCTTTCTTACTTCGTATAACAATATTGAATTACTCGAGACAGCTGCAGGACCCACTGGCGTGCGTTTTCCGTGCTTCCCCGGCCTGGGCATGCTGCTCTGTGGTCCTCCTTTCGGACTAGTTCCCGAGGAATCATGAGAGATTACGAGTAATCATCGGGGGACCATCCACTAACGGCATCGCGAGGTATCAATGCGGGAAGAGAACCGAGATACCTGTACAACTGGCGGATCAATATTGATTGGATCATCTCTGTGTGTGGATTCCTTTCGTTTAATGCTTGGCGCTTGATGCGGGGCAAAGGACTTTGCGCAGAGGTGGCATCACACGAGACTGGTGGAAGTGAGTATGACACCACAAAATTCGGCGGTTGGGGCGGAAACTAACCATTCCCTATCTCTCCGGCCTCTAGCGTACCCGTAGGGTCGTATTTCTCCTTTCCGGAGTGGGGAGACTAGGGGGTTGATCGACTCAGATCATTCTAGTTCAAGGATAGCGTTTTGCGACAAATCGAAGCAGAGCTCGTGTAAGATTTCTTGTACGAAAAACCGATATTTAAGAGAGCACTCCGGGAGTCTAGGGAGCATCATGCTGCTCGATTTGTCGAGAGCAGCGGCAGTCGGATGGAGCGAGACTCTGCTCGCCAGAACCGTCATACTCGCGAGTACAGAAACCAAAAACCTACCGTGCCGGCGGGATCGAGATTTGCGGGGCCTAAGCGAGGGCCTATCCAGTGTGACGCTTTTCGTGGGATCTATACAGATATGGATAGAGCGGGCAGTAAAGGCTAGTGTTTATGGGTGAAGCATGGCTGAGGTCTCTCGTAATTGCTCGCAGCGTCAGCCGAGCTTTGGAGATCTAACTAGAATCCATGCAAATGGAACCGAGGGGGTGGGTTTTGATTTTCTGGCAAGGATGGATTGGGTCTGCGAACTGGAAGTCACTCCACGATATCTCTGCCCGGCACTTGTCCTACCTTTTCGCTCTACCATTCTCTTCAGCAGCCTCATTGCTCTGACAGCGTATGTCCCGGACACCTTTAATTTTAACCGTGCCCGACTCTCCCTAGTATTAGAGGTGCCGTCACGGCTCGATTTTGAGCGAAATATTCTTGATTCCAATCTCTACCGAAGAAAAAAAAAAAAAAAAGGAAAAAATAAACCTAGCGGCGCTAGGATGACATGATAGCCATTTGCTTCAAATGCCATGGATCATTCATCAACATAATTTCCGACTCTCCGATATTTTGCTACCTTATAACTTGTTGGAGAATAGGTTTGATGATGCTGTCAAAAGGCCCAAACCTGCCAAGACCAGCCTCCAGCTTCTGACCCGTCAAGATTCTCGAGTCGAGAATCTTACCAGCGTTGACACCATCACGGCCCAGAACCGAGATCGTGATAGCAGGCGCCTCGCGTCTGTTCGGGATCTTGACCCTCAGCCGACCGTCGACGGTCGTCTGTCCCGGTCCCAACAGATCGTATTGATGCGTCAGAGGTTTACCCTCAAGCACAGTCGTGACCTCCATCTTCGCCTGTTTGAACTTTCCAGCGGTGTTTTCGATATCCACGAGACTGAGACCAGGCTTGGGCGAGAGCTTGATAGTCCCCGCTGCTTCGGTGGTAATGTTGAATTTGACCGCAGTGGCTTCCGATAATCCCTCTCCGTGCATGACGGAAATTTCAAATGCTTTAGCTCTTGAATGCGTTGTCAAAATCTCGCTGTTTACCGTGTTAAGGGCCTTGACTTCGACGTCCGCCGTCTCGCCTTGGTTAAGAGGCGACGTGATGGAAAATGTCGTCGTCCCAGATTTGACGAGCTGCCCGAGGCTTCCTCCGGCACGCTTCCCCTTGATAGAGTGTTTAAACGATACCGCAGGAGAAAGACCAAGGATGCGACGCTCGAGATCCTCGAGGGATATGTGGGCCGCAAGATTGGCGGCCAGTTTCCCATCGGCGGCCCTGATCGCCCGGGCCACCGTTGATCGCTCGGGAATCATAGGCAGGATGTTTCGAGACGTCTGCCCGATTCCGCGCGCAAACTTGATCTCGGCGAAATTCCCCTCGCCCATCATGATCGGAGCGTTGACGAAGTGCCCATCGAGACTGCGTTTGTTCTTCAGGGCCTCGGTCGCCTCAGCGCTGTGGGCGTCGAGGTTGGCTCCGGAAGGAGAAGTGATCTTGGTCGTCTCGGCGTCGGTGCCAACTATCATGATGGTCCCGGCTAGGAGAAGAAGGATGGCATCCCACACCGGCGTTCGTGGAGTTGAGTTTAGAACAGACCATGGCAGGTAGTGAAGGCGACCCCCGGACCAGGCGCCACCAGAGTAGTTGCTGCTGCCGGAGTACTTCCAGGTGTTCTTTGTATTATCAACCTCGAGGACTCGGGTGATTCCCCGCGGCTGGTTTGGATCGTGGACAGTAATCTTCCACGGATTCGAGGACGAGTCCCATGCGAAAGGGTAGATGCAGTGGGGTGCGCCGCTGAAATCGTAGTTCTGGGAGATGCAAAGGATCGGGTTGTTCCCCTTGTTGAATTCGTTCCGAGTCTCGTTGAAGACGTCGACGGGGTCATGCGTGTTTCCGGAAAGGAACTGACCGACGAACCACCAGATGGCGGCAGCGCCGATCTGGTATTCATGCTTGACATTAAAGACCGGCCGAAGAATATCCCAATCCGTAAATCGATTGATCGGAAGTCCAAACAGGCTGACGCGCTTCCACGAATAAATTGCCTCGAGCGACATACCAAAACAGTTTCCATTCGCCGCGAGGCCCTTGGCAGCGATTTCGTAAAATGCCCTGTCAAGCCAATCCAAGGGGTCCCAGTCCTCCGGCGACGAGTCGACGTCGCGGAACGCCTGCGCGTAGGTCTGGTAATCGATAACCGGAGTGCCGCGATTGGACGTACCCCAGAACTTCTCGAGGCTCGTCAGTGAAGACACGTCCACTTGTGGTTGGACGGCGGCGCTTATGTTGTTGATTTTGCTGAACCGGCCCGAGTTGAAGATTCCTTGGCGTTCCCGTAGGCCCCAGGAGTTGGCGGCGTTGAGGGGGATTGTCCAGACACCGAGATGGTCGTCGTTGCCGGGGTCGGCGTCCCAGACATCGATGATGACGGTGAATTCTTTGCCAACTGCCGGAGTGAGGACCGGAAGGGTGATATTCACGTCTTTGGTGTTATGACCGCCAAAGTCTCCGGAGCTGGGATACCGCTGACGGAAGATTGTGTTGTTGGCCTCATTGATCGTGGCATGGAAGTAGAGGTCATTCTCGCCCATAAGCCAATCCTCGCTTTCCCTCGTGTTGAGATTGCCGATGAAGAAGTTAAAGGGTCTGCAAATTACAATGGAGTCCCAGCTACCGTACCATGTAATAACACCTCTCTCGAAGCCACTCATGCGACCGCCCGAGGGGACATCAACCTCGTCGGTGATGGGTAAGCCGAGGGGACTCGTAGGTCCACCAAGGTCAAGCCACTTCTTTCGAATGTCGCCGTAGATAAGACGCACGCCCGTCAGCGGGGACCAGTAGATGTCGCACCCCTCAAAGTTGACGACGCGGACGTCGCGCTCCGTGGCACCGTCCTTGACTCCCCTGACAACGAGCTCATCCGTGAGGGGGAAACCCCACGATTGCGGGCCCCCGCGTCGAAGGTACGTCGTAAGGATGGAGGGGATGATTATGTGAGCGGTGGGGGCTCCGGTTCGGTAAAAGATCGTTGCTCTTTGCAGGCGCTGGGACTCTCCACCAGGTTCGGCCTGCTCGGCAGCAATAGGGAGTCCCCAGGCTTGCGCCTCGCCGGTAGCTTCATAGTAAAGATACATCTGTCCGGTGATCTCGAAGGCGCCAGTGCTCGAAGACCAGTAGATACCTCCACCCTGAAACAGACTCTTGCGCGCACCAGAGAGACGGGACGGCTCCTCGTCCGTGGCAAGATACCCGAGCTCGTTTTGCTTTGCGACAGGAAGCGCAAGGTATCGGCGGTAGATTACGCCATACATGATAAACGCCGAATTGACAGCGGAGTGATACATGATGACGCCCGATGTGTAGGTCTGGCTCCAGGCCGCAGTGGTGACATTGAACGTGGCAATGCTGGTTGCCTCCCCGAGGTTGGTGGTGGGCCGCTTCGCCTCGAGTTTGGAGGTGATGAACCACTGAGGCGACAATCGCATGCGGTCCATGGCGTCGTCAAGGGAAGCAATGGTGCCAAAGCCAACACGCAGCGAGGCGATCTGACCAGCAAATCGCTGACCGCGAATGAGTCCACCGACATCGACAGTCGTGGCGTTGGGAACGGGCACGACGTCACCGTTCGGTCCGAAGCCGTGGCAACCGGCGGCGGAGCCATCAAGGAAGAGGAAGAGGGTGTCCACATCATAGACGAGTTGGAGCAAGTGCCAAGTGCCCGCCGTCAGGACAGGAGAATCGATAACATCGATCCCACGCCAGGCAGACGTCTTTACGGAAGCGAGGGCCTTGACAGCGCCGCCGGCTCCGTTAATGTCTACTGCAAAGGGCAGGCGGTTCGATTCAACGAGCCTCTGGCGGCCCGTAAAGATGCTGTCGACCTTGAACACGACGGCCACGTGAAAGCGGTCCTGCCCCGGGATGGTTATTGACTGGATGTTGATGGAGATGGCACCGGATGCTCCGACGCGGACGGATTTGGGAAGCTCCTGACCTCGGAACGACCCAGGACCAGCGCCAATGATGGCGTCGGCTGGGAGGGTAGTTGGGAGGGTCCCATTGGGGTTGGCAATCTTGGCCCCATCGAACTTGTAGTCGAGGAAGTATGACATTTTGAGAGTTTGGTGTTCTAGTTCAGCTTTCAGTGTCTGCTTGGTCGGCTGGCCAGGGATGGATCATATTCATGGGGGTCTAAGACGCCGAGATGCGGTTTTATAGCTGCAATTCACTCCACCTAAGTCGGGAACCACAATAGTTCCCGTTTCCTGCTCGAAGTCGTTGCCAGTGGTCTGATGCGATGACATATTTGATGTGCCTATGAACGACGGCCGGCGACATCCTCAAGACCGCGAACTTACGAGCCTATGCGCCCGTCGTTGAGAGATGTCACTGATATTCCGGTCGAGCATTTCCTGTCATAATGTCCGGTTGCCTATCCTCGAGAAGCACCTGATGGATCGTGGGGCCAACGACGCGCTGGTTGGATGATACTGGAATGTCACCAGCTGGGGCTGGGCCAATGTAAGCTGCATTGTATTCAGCTTGTGCTACCCACGACATATAAGACGACTTCTTAGATTGGCTGTAGGCGAGAGTCGCGTTACCGAACCCCGCACGGCACGACGCCATTCTCCCGATCATGATGCTCCGACGAGGCACTCCTCTTTCGAGTGGATGAAGAGCGAAGACTGACCACCCGAATCTCAAGCATTATTGGTCGATGTCGAAACTGTTGAAGCTGCATCAAATATCATTCCACCTTTAGATGGAAAGCGATAGCATGAAGAAGTCACTCTAAAAAGTGATTGATTTCCTACCGCTGGCGTCAGCATAGCTCGTAGTACCCGGGGTTTACTATCTCCCACTAGGGTAGTGGGCGGGTGTAGGTCGATCACGCCTTACCGATCTGTGCTCTGTAGTCAACTTGCTCTAGCTCATTTTTCCTTTTCTCTTTGAATGCCCTTAAACCTTTACCGGTGGCGCGGCTGCGAAAGAGTCTCGGATCCAGGCCGGGGAAGGGTATTCTTGCCTGTGTCAACTCGAGAAATAACATAGTAAGGACGTGGCTTTTCTTTTGTCAAGGCCTGCAACTTGTGTTAGGCTAGTTTTGTGCTCTCTCTCTGTCTCTCTCTCCCTCTCCAGGTAACTAATGTGAAGAGTGGATGGACCTTCGACACATGACTGACCGAACCTATCAGCAAAGAAACTCAGTGATCGCAGGACAAGAGGCGTAGGTGGAGAGACTTCCAGAGCCAGGAGCCACGGCACAAATTTGCTGCGATTGTAGTGACGCCCTGATTAAATTGGATCACCAAACAGGGAGAAAGGTAAATGATGCTGGATGAGACGATCCTAGGCGCTGATGATTGTGTCAATCATTCTATTCACTTTCTACCTGGTTAGTCTCAGATTCAAGCCGAAGGTTGGGCAGGGTCGAGGCATGTCCGGAGAGGATACGCAGCAGCTTCTGGGGGAGCTGTATCAGATAATGTTGTAGAATTTCTGATTTGATCGTTTAGGTGTCGCCGGGGGGGGGAACAGATGAGGACTAAGGGCCGGCCAGTGGCTGTGGCACCGCAGAGAATACGCGCTATCTACAATACTAGGGTAAAGGTAAGTAAGGATTGTTGTTTTATGTTTTGCTAATTGACTCTCTCGTTCCTTCCGCCATACTACCTTACCGATCTTGTCACGGCACGGAGTGTCCACAGGGCTGCAGCAGGCCGAAGGGAGCACTGGAATCACCCCCAGAATGACGGAACCAGCATGGAAAACAGTCATCATTTAAATTGGAATAGTATGACGTGGAAAATAGGCTAACTAGAGTATGCCTATAGAGCTACAGGCGTACTGAACCTAAAGTGTAAGATAAAGCTAAGATAGGGTTGGACTAGGTAAACTAAGAGGGAAACTTTCAGTGTAAATGGAGAGGTCAGGGGAAGATCATTTGAGGAGCTAGGGAGGATATAAAAGGTGGGATTCTGGGGGAAAAGGAAGGGAGGAGGAATTAGCGATTAGTGACCCTTTCATACCAGACCTAGACTGGGCCTTTGCTAGTTCTACTGTTCCCCTTCACTCTGTGGCACGACCATCCCTTTACAGATCTACATCATGAAGCAAGTCGTGTTTTCTTGGTCCTCCAAAGTTGGGTCTCCTTCAACTCGTCACACAACTTGAGCCCGTCGTAGCAGATAAAGCCTGTGATATCGCCGCTCCTTTGCTTCTGCTGGCCTCCTGCACCAATCCAGGGGTACTCGTTATCTACCGTTTCACAACCTCACGTAGCACACCGTCGGAGAAGCCAACCTATAGGAAACTATTCAAGCAATTGACGATTGATACTGCCTTAACCAGGGTTTTGCCGAGAGGGGGGAAGTGAGGGAATGAGACTCCTCGGTGAGTCATTCTTGCCCCGACCCGCCAGACCCCAACGGACAGCCGAAGGAGAATGGGACCACGACCCCGACACCACCTGAATCGAGCCATCTTGTCTCCCCTTCAAGAGGCACGAGGCCTTCTTTCTTCTCCCTCTTTCCCTCTTTCTCAGGCAAATACTCCTTGACTGACTTCGGTCTCAATCCCAACCAGTTGAGCGCACGCAGCATGGCTTCTGACGGTCGCAAACAGCCGCCATGGAGGCCCCCCAAAGCCCAACCTGACGCCCAGCTGCCCCGACTGAAGGTCGACAACAGCCTGACAAGGAGCAAGGATGACTTTGTCCCAGTCGATCCGACGGGGAAGGTGGTGACGTGGTACGCGTGTGGCCCGACAGTATACGAAGATGCCCATTTGGGCCATGCCAAGAATTACGTCTCGACCGACATCCTCCGCCGCATCATGAAGGACTACTTCGGCTTCCGTGTCAAGTTCGTTATGAATACGACCGATATCGACGACAAAATCATCCTCCAGGGCCGGCAACAGTACCTGCTCGCGCACTTCAAGCAGGAGCATGCTGCTGAGGACGACTCGGTGAGCGATTCGGTTTTGGCTGAGGTCAGAGCCGCATTTCAGCACTACATTGGCAAGAACCTTCCGTCTCTACCCTCTGATACAGCCGCGGAAGCTTTTTCTGAGGCAGTTGGCAAGGTATATAAGGAAAAGGCAGATCCACCTCTGGCCGACGCCGCGACAGCCCAGCAGGGCCAAGCTGTTACCGTCGCCGATTTGCTGTTGAGAGCCCACATCGGAACGGCACGATTGGCCGCCGAGGCCCTACAAGCCCCGGGAAAGTTGCCTGAATTTTTTGCCAAGACGGACGATATTTTGCGTCCATATCTCGATGCCTTGCATGGAGCAGAGATGGACTCCAATAACCACAAGATATACCTGGAGCTGAGCCAGAAATTCGAACGCCGCTTCTTCGAGGACATGGATGCGCTTAACGTCCTACCTCTCGACCAGCTCACTCGTGTGACTGAGTATGTCCCTAAGATTGTCGGCTTTGTTGAGAAGATCGTGGCCAATGGTTTCGGTTACGCTACCCCCGACGGCTCCGTATACTTCGATATCGACTCTTTTGAGAAGGCTGGACACAGCTACTCCCGGCTGGAGCCGTGGAACAAGAACGATCGTGCCCTCCAAGCCGATGGCGAAGGCTCTCTATCCAGGGGAAAGTCAATGAAGCGGAGTGAGAATCATTTTGCGCTGTGGAAAGCTAGCAAGCCAGGTGAGCCGGCATGGCCAAGTCCATGGGGTCGTGGGCGGCCGGGATGGCATATAGAATGCTCTGCCATGGCCTCCGAAGTGCTCGGGAAGACGATAGACATCCATTCGGGAGGCGTCGATCTTCGTTTCCCTCACCATGATAATGAGCTCGCACTATCGGAGGCGTACTGGTCGACTCCAGGCTGTCAGGTACAGTGGACAAATTACTTCATTCACATGGGGCAACTGAGGTAAGAGGTTTCAAAATGCCCCTTTCATCGCACAAGAGCGCTAACGGGTTGTAGGATTCGAGGCTTGAAGATGAGCAAGAGCCTCAAGAATTATACGACCATCAGAACAGTCCTCTCTGAAAAGGAGTGGAGTGCACGTTCTCTCCGAATCTGCTTCCTCCTCATGCCTTGGCAGGATGGCATCGAGGTCACGGACGAGTTTATGAAGGCTGTAGTCGGCTGGGAAGGCAAGCTCAACAACTTCTTTCTAAAGAGCTTGGATATCTCGAAACATTCGAGTCCGGAGACCACTACAACCGACGACCTTAGCATCGCAGACCATCAATTATTAAGCTCCCTGGCCAAGGCGAAAGACGACGTCGATACAGCTCTTTGCGATTCCTTCAACACATCAGCTGTTATGAGAATCCTCTCTGATCTTGTTACCGAGTCTAACTCAGCGGAGGCACTTTCAAGCCAGACGGTCATCTTGCTCGCCCGATGGGTAACACGCATCGTCACCATATTTGGTCTGGATCCCGAGGGAGATCTCAGCAACCAGGACCGCATAGGGTGGTCGGGCCTCGATATTCCTGCGCCAGCAAAACCCTACGTCTACCCTACGTCTCAATTGCGTGACAAGGTTCGAACCGTGGCCTGTTCCGGCTCGGTCGATCATACAGCTATCGCGAAGTTCGCTGATGGAGTTGCGGTCGCGGCGTCAGCGCCAGTGGTTGAATCCTCCAAACCATACGATCACGTACTGCAGCAGTTCCGCGCCGACATCAAGGCACTCGCTGCCCTGCAAGCGCCAGCGAAAGAACTGCTCGCCTTGTGCGACCAGCTCCGCGATGTCCACCTCTGGAACCTAGGCATCTATCTCGAGGACCGCATCAGCCCCCAGCCTGCTTTAGTCCGGCCCCTTGATAAGTTGCTCATAGAGGTGCGGAAGGAGCGAGAATCAGCTAGCATTGCGAGGGCAAAGGCTAAGCTGGAACAAGAGGCCAGGGAGGCCGAGAAGGAGAGGGAGCTGCGTGAGGGCGCCAAGGTCGATCCCTTGCTGATGTTTAGGGCCTCGGGAGAGTATTCGGAATGGGGCGAAAACGGCATCCCGACCGTGGACGCAGCGGGGAATGTGGTGTCCAAGAATAGGCGCAAGAAGCTGGTCAAATATTGGGAGAAACAGAAGAAGAGGCACGAGGAATGGCTGTTGACGCAACGGGCAGCATAGAAAAGGGGGGTCGGAAAAACGCCACTACCTCATTTCGGTGAACCTTCCGTTTTACTACTATCTCCATTTCTTTAGTCAACACGAGCTAATACCTTATCCGCAGAACACTTCAGCAATGACAATGATTATCACAACAGTCGCACTTCCCACATGTCCACAATGAGGAGCAGTGCTTGCATTTGCTTTCGTGAGTAATCACCGTGGTCAAAGCAGGGGACCACCCCATCGGACGCTAGGATTCGCAGTTTAGACAGGGGCGCAGTATGGATACACAGGTTACTTACGAAAGCCGCTTCATCATGATGTCCGCAGCTGTCATCTCCTTTCTGCTCTTTCAATACACTCACAACCAAGTCACGTCTGGGCCAGCGAATTCTGTCCTTGACATTCGGCATATTGATCAGTTCAGGCTCTAGATAGGATTGTAAGTATGTCGTCTAGATAAAGCTGGCTTGGGAGCGAGTATCCACCTACACTTACCGATCAGATTTGAAGCTGGTCAGTACCGGTAAACACTTGTGAGGCGTCTAAGACCAATTTGTTTTAGTGTCGTTCATCGAGCAAATGGGAAGGGACAACCGAAACTTTATCTACTTGTCCAAATGCCCCCCGGCCCTTCGCTCAAGACAGACCGAATCGGTGGTGCTTTATACTGAATTGGTGGCAGTTCGCCAACGAGAGGGACGCGAAGAAGGGGGTTCGGCAAGAATTGGCCGCACGAGCTTGCGTTGCTATCCCCGACCATTTCTGCTGTGTGTAAGGCTCGGATGAAGGAGCCAACAGATGGTGATGCCTTCTTGAGGCGGACTGCAGGTCGCCATGCCGATACAGAGACAACACGCTATCGGGGAGGTGGCTTGCACCCGGCTGAGCTGGAGACGACCTAATCATGGCGTAGAATATACCCACACACTTGCACAAGTCGCCCCGCCCATCTGCACCCACCCTGCGACGTTAATACTGCGTTACTGTACTTGTCATCACCTTATTTTCCGACATGTCTACAGTAGTGTCTCTTGTTTTCCGTGGGTATTCGAAGACAAAAAGTGCGCGAGATTTTGGTTACCGTGAGTGGCCCCTTTCGGGGTCCCCCGTCTCTCAGCTCAGCTTCAGCTCAGCCCTTGCATCAGCACTCGTCAGTCCTGCTCAGCTGCTCTACTCACCCCTTTAGCTGAGCAGACCCCCAACCCTGCTCGGCTAAATGCTGGGTTTTTCGATTGTTCCTTATTATTTTCTGTGTCTGTACATGTATATATTATCGAAGCCTTAATTTGGAGACCAACTTTGGAACCTTCTATGGGTCCTAAATCTTGGGGCCGAGGACATAACCCTCTCCTGCTTTATGCAGGCCCAAGGCGGTAAGACATGGGAGAACGGGATAAACTACGGAGCATCACCAGCCAAGACCGAAAGCATCGTCTGTCCCGGACAACGAGGTAACGCGATCGCACCCACCCGGCTGAGACGCTGAAGCGGGGGAATCGCCCGACAAGAAGAATAGGCCTTAGATAGCAAAAGGTGCGGTGAGCTTTCGGAGAATAAAGAAGGAAGCTTGGGAACGAATCTTGGATTTGTCCCCCAAGCTGAAGTCTTACTGGCAATTCTGCGATTGGAATCCGTTGCTTCTGCGACTGGACTCCGAACTTGTGACTGCGTGAAGATTCCGTTCCTCGTCTAAGTTCCCTTGTTGCCCACGGGCAACATCATTACCGATGAAATTTTGGGTGTCAGAAAGTGGGGGGTGTCAGAGAGGGGGGTTACGAACTTACGACTTGTTACGTTGGCCTTTTTCGAATATCCTGTTCTAACAACAGGTACCTCTCTCATTTAGGCAGCACTGTGTTGCTGCCTTACATCGATAAATCTGACCCCTCTCCAGGGTTGCCTCCCCAGTTGGCCTAATCTCAAATTCAGGAGGACCGCTTCTACGTTTTTCAAACATGACTTATTGGTCCGACCCGACCACAGCTCTTACAATTCCTTCGTAAACCCACGAATGTTGAGACGCATCCTTCGACGTCTTTATCCTATCCATCGAAAAATTCCAACGATGTGGAAGTATCAATATTCTTCGCTTGCACCTGGGCAGTTCCGTGTCATTAATCTCGATCCTGGCATGAATTCGAAACTCAGCGCCTGGCTTGAGGTTGCCGAAGGACTAGAGCAATGCAACTACGAAGCGGTGTCGTACTGTTGGGGCTCAGAGGAGCTAAACCAAGAGCTTGCTATGCACGATGGAACCGTTCTGAAGGTCACAGACTCAGCCTACAGTCTTCTATACCATCTAAGACATAGTGAAAATACCCGCAGGCTCTGGGTCGACCAACTGTGTATCAATCAGACTGATCACGCCGAAAAATCAGAACGGGTTAAGCAAATGCACAAAGTCTATAAACACACTGACAGGCTCATCATATGGCTGGGGGACGGGAGCGATGAAAGTAGCCAGGCAATGGATATACTTAACAGTGTGTCTAACCGCTTGGAGCGAGGCGGAATGATGGAATTCGGCCGTACCCAGAACCTGACCGAGGTTCCGCTGACGGCTAACTCCTCTGGATGCCTCGATATGTGGCCTTGGGAGAAAGTTGCTCGCCTGCTGAGTCGACCATGGTTCACCAGGATATGGGTAATGTCTTAATTCTTTTATTCTGACTCTAAAACTTGGACTAACTTGCTTCAGATTGTGCCAGAAGTCTTCCTTGCAGGAGACAAGGAGTCCATTGCGTGCTGCGGGTTTCGTAAAATCAGCTGGTGGAAGCTCTCCATCATCCATATGGCCTTCTTTGAGCTGCCATTCAGTCACGAGGTCAAAACATTTATCACCAGTACCAGCCTCAATTTCAGCATGTCACTGCCCCTGGAATTCTTGCGGAAGCTCGTTGAGCCCTTAGAAGAAAATTCGAAACTCTTCTACCTTCTGTGGTACTCGAAAGAAAGGCATTGCAAATACCCTAGAGATAGGATCTTTGCAATTTCAAACCTTGGCGACGGGGATCTGGTGCCCAACTACGACAGCACCTACAGTGACATCCAGGCCTTCACAGAAGTCACTAAGTTTATCATATCGAGATCTAAAAGCTTGAGGATTCTTGGCGCCTGTCAGTTGCGGAGGAATATCCCAGGATTACCAAGTTGGGTTCCGGACTGGACGTGTGATGCGTCAACCCGACCACTCAGACCCATTACAAACATTCTATTTCCCTCGGAAGCAAGTTGGTATACTGCCATGCCGCTTTCTGAACCAAGGATCGACGACTCGCCGCTGAACGAATTACATATTCATGGTTATTGCGTCGATATAATTCTTCAGACGATCTCAAACTTCGACTCCATCCCAACTAATGGCTCAATAGACACCAGAAGTCTTGTAAGAGAATTCCTAGGCCTTGCTGGGACAATCCATGATGATGGCGAAGCTTGCAATGAGTTCAGAGAAACGAAGTCATTAATGGTTAAAAAGACACTGGTATTGAACCAAAGTGAAGAGGGCATCCTCCCTGGCGGCGGCGACCCACAATTATCAAGTTTGCTGGTAACTGGGTCTCTGATGTTTCGGAGACCTTTTGTAACGGGAAAAAAAGATCTTGGCATTGGACCATATGAAGTCCTCCCTGGGGATAGGATCTGTCTGTTTCCGGGAGCAGTGGTCCCTTTCGTCCTGAGAAGAATTGGACAGCACTATATTCTCGTAGGGGAATGTTACTGCCATAACATAATGCGAGGCTCGGCCGCTAAGCATCTCGGGAAAGAATATGAGCTGGAATTATTCCACATCAGATAACTTTTCTCATTCTGGCACTGTCAGCCAGACTAATGAGAAGCTTGGCGCCCACCTCCATGGTGCTACCACTCTCCTTGGCCCCGTCATCAGCATGGCTCTCGGCGTCATGTTCCGGATTAGTTCACGACTGCCTACCTTCGCCAGCAGGGTGCCAATCTGAGCTTACGAATTGCTTTGAGACCCCGATGAGTGGATTGTCTAGGAACATGGGCCTACAGAGCTGGCTCGATTAGTGACCTTGGGCCTGGGCAAGCGGCTGGATGGGAGGGCCGATGTGTGTTGACCCTGAGCCACCCTCACAGCAACAAAGGGAACCGGTTTTTTAACAGCCTTGATATATATATCGTTACGGCGTTGACGTATCCCATTCATCTCCGAACCTGAGAAATTTCTCTGACGACGATCATTTTCTATAACGATTTAAGTAAAGCGTATGTGAGATTTAGGGTGTGCGTTTTCTGCCAGTAGGAAAGGCGAGTAAGTAGGGCAGTGGATGCGCGCTTTCTACGCGTAGGAGAAGGGAGGGTAAAAGGAGGGGACGGATGAGTCGCTTGCTACTGGTGGGCCGATCAAGGGAAGGGGCGCTTTCTACTGGTAGGCCGAGTGTCACCAGTAGGAGCCCCAAAAGAAGGCCAGAACTATATCCGCCTAGCCATACCAGTAGCGGGACATTTACTAGTAGGCTGGGTGCTACCAGTGGAGGCCGTTACTGGTAATAGCCCAGACCCCAGTCCGCCTCGCCGTACTGGTAGGGCTTCCTACTAGTAGGTCGAGTGCTACTAGTAGGAGGCCCGGTAACGGACCAGTGAAACATTTACTGGTTGGCTGGGTGCTACCCTGACCCGAGGTCAACCAAGCATGGTAACGTGACAAAAGTCGAGTACGTTGCACGTCCTTTCTCCGCGATTCTGCTAATAGCATCCAGCATCATAGCCTGGCCGTCCACGGCCTGAATCCTCGAAGCAAGAGCAATGCCGGACATGCCTGGGACACCTGGCGGACGCCTGTGGGACCCGACGGACGCCTCTGGCTCTGTGACGGCCTCCCCCCGGCATGCCCCGCAATCGCGAATCTTTCTCTATCACTACAGCTCGACGGCTGTATATGGCGAGGATAGAGGTACATTCATCGACAAGGCCTATGAGCTGCTTGAGGTGATCAGGGTGGAGAGGGACTATATGAATTCTCGTCTGATTCTTCTTATAGGACATAGCATGGGCGGATTGCTGATCAAGTAGGTACTGATCAATGCGCACAATAGCATCTATTCGACACGGGTATGCACGAATGATGAATGAGACCTGTCACTTAGAAGTCTTGAGTGCATTCCTATAGAGGTCTTTGATGTTGCTTCGCACCAGCTTGAAATTGCCTTGATCCGTCTGACTCGAACCAAACCTGCACACGAGTTCGCAGCTGTAGATTCTCGACCTACATGGGCTGTGCTGTGCCTGCGGATGATTGCGCCTCTGCGAGAAGTTTGCTGTGGGGCCTGATAGACTTGCGCCCGCTGAGCGATTCTTCGTAAAATGCCGCCCAAACACGCTATGCAATTTCCTCTCAGACGGATGCCAACTGAACTTTGTAATCCGATTGACGGTTAGGCTGACCTCGCTAACAGCGGTGCTTATGCATCTCAAGGGGCAGATGAGGACAAGGGCCAGGTCAGTTGCCGTGGTACCTCCGGAGAATGTGCACTATCTACGAATACTAGGGGTAAAGGTAAGGAAGCATTGTTGTCTCATTAATCAACTCTCATTTCTTCCGTCATCACCTTCCTGATCTAAATCATCCCGCAGGTTCTGTTCTCCTGGTCCTCCTCAGTCCAATCTCTTTCAGCTCTTCTCGCAAGTTTAGCCCCTCCCAGCAGATAAAGCCTGAGATATCGCCGCTTTTGTCCTTCTGCTAGCCTTCTGCTCGGGAAGGTTATCCTTTTAGAAAGCAGCCTTGATAGCAACGCTTGCTAACGCGGAAGTAATCCAAACGACTGTGAGAATTTCTAGCCGAGGGGGACAGAAACTAAGTCTGGTTAGCTGGGTAGACCCGAGTCAGCATGGGAGCGAAGACGTACTCTTCCGAACTAAGACGAATAAACCCAACCCAAAACAGCCACTGCGCAACCCAAAGAAGCGGCGCACACATAGCCATGAAGACTAATAGTGCAGATGCTTGTCGCGATATACCATTACCCGTTTTTTCAATACGTAGAGTACCATACGCCGTGAACATCCCTCTCTTGCCGCTTATTAACGATGTTTCTTTTGAAACCCTGCTCATGTCTATCCAATGATGGGTCAAATAATCCTCAAGGCACGTCCAGTATTCATCCAAATGGCCTACCAGTTTCTCTGCAGCACTCGAAGTGGTCCGCTTGCTCCTATGCCGTCTTGGAAAATCGGTTCTATCAGGCCCGACTAACCGATTCGACCTGTACAGCAGTGTCCGGATTAACTGGACGAAAGGTACTGTCGCGATGATGAGCCACATGAGTGCTGCGTAATACATGGCCTTGGCCGATTGCCCTCTTTCCGCACTCTCTAGACTCCTGACGTAGAAATTGTTTTCAAGACCATATTTGACGGTTAGAAACATGTAATATGACGATAAAGATTGAAGAATCAATTCCGAAAGTAAAGAAGGCGCGGCGGTCGACACATTTACCGCTTCAAATTGTTGGACGGCAATCGGCCATGTTGTCAGCCACCCAAGCCGAGGCATTGAGCACCAGAGCAGTGTCAACTGGACAACGGGAACGCCTTCATAACCGACGGTTGTGAGAATAAGAACCCCGTTCAAGCAGTTCAAAAGCAGTTCAACAGCGGCAATCAAAATCCCCTTGAAGAACCAGAGCTCCCGGGGCACCGGGTGTAGTAGTGGTTCGTGTTCCGTTTGATGGATTCCTTTCCTCTGAATCAGGAATGTGGCAAGAAAAGTAGCTAAATTAGCCAGAGCAAAGCTTCCAAGCTTCCTCTCATTCGAGGGGCAATTCTCCGGCATCATGGATCCTGGCCGGGTGATGGAGGCAATGCTTGAATTGCGTGATGGCTTGAGAGTCCATTGCCATGGAATCATCTCCAGGGGGTACGGGGAGGCCAACCGGCGCCAGTCGACTGAGAGACCCTGCCAATCCTGCACGTTTCCACAAAGATCGTGGAGCCACTCTGCATATTCTATCCGAGTCTCGAAAACCTGGCACGAACCTCCACAGGTATCGTAGTTAACGTCGCGGCAGAAGCAAGCCCTGTCTATTGTACGCTTGACTCTGCAATAGCCGCGAGAGTCGAGCTCACAAGCATCCGTTGCACATTGATCAGTTAGCTCGATAACCTCCTTCGGCATATCTGTGACACACGTTGGCCAACACCAGTCTTCGATCGGGATATACGCGAACCCTATCATTTTCAGTGTGTCCGTCCAGTTGCTAGGTAGGGACGTCGGTCCACAAGTGGCATTCATCCATAGCCGCTCCTGCGTCAAGGATATCTGTCTGGAATTGAAACAAGGCTCCTGTTTCAGATCCATAGTGAAGGCACCGCAGAAGCAGTCTTTATCAAAGAAGTTGCCTTCTCCAATGTAGCCTCCAGTGAGATCATAGCCGACAGTTACAAAACCTAGAGCGGTCATGGACTGTGAGGATTCGCTATATTCCCAAGGACGAGTAGCAGGTCCGGTACGTTGGGTAGTGCCTGTAAAACTACAGGATGCCATTACACGTTGAAATGGTTCCATTGATGGGGCAGAAACTGAGTTCCTTAGGCATGCTGGTGCTTCGTAAATCGTATTGACGGCCGCATATCCTCCAGCCAGGGAAGCTGGGGTAAGGTCTTCCGGCCCGATCGCGTCGCCGACATCGACAAGCCAGGCTCGCCCGACAGTCTTACGAACCCAATCGTATAACTGTGCTTTGGCGAGAACCGATCTGCTGCAGTACGGGAAGTAAAATTTAATAACGTCGGAGGAAATTCCCGTGCTGAGACAGCTGAGCTGGGTCAGCCATTGATGGTGAGTGCATATGAATCCAAAGTGCGAGGTGCATCGTTTGTGAGTACATTCCGTCATGGCCCTCAGCCAGGTGGATTGATCCTGCTGGGCGATACATTGTGGCATAGGAATCAAGTCTTCGGGATTGACCCAGCCGTTAAAATTGTCTTGGATCGTCGGGAGACTGTCCCCACCAGAGTTTTTGCTGGCAGTATAGAGCGCTTCTGTAGTAATTCTGTTGGCGTCAATAATGAGGTGAAGGCGTGAGGGGGGAAAATACTTGTTACCGCTCCCCCACAAACCCCAGCCACTAACAGATAGATACTGGCGAGTTTCATCTTCGTGATAGTGCTAAGAGACCTTGCGCTCGAGACTGCGCAACAAGGATGATTCCTGCGGCCTTCGTGCAGTCGAGACTCGATGCTGCTCAAGTATTATAATACGCCGCCCTCGGATACGAGAAGGCAATGAGGAGAGATAAGAATCGAGAATTCCCGATTGTGGCAACTTATTGCATGAACAACCGCGGTATGAAAATGAAATTTGCATGTTCAAATAGTGAATTTATTTCCTAACCTACTCGCATAATCAGGCATGACCAGGCATTATTGAAGCTTTCTGCCAGGAGAGGCCCCTCATTTTTAGCTCTCCCGCGGCCCGATCCGAACCACACTATCTACCATAGCTTTCCGCCCAGATAATACATTAGTGTCCGACATAGGATGCTGTAGAACTTGTGGCAGAGGCTTCCGCAGCCGAGAAACGCTACAGCAGCATTTACAGAGCTCAAACCGGCATACTAAGGATTGTTTGCGGTGCCTTAAGCATTTCTCCTCCCGGACAGCCAATCGAAAGCATTTTGTCGATTCCCTGAATCATCATGTTTGTGTGGCGAGCTGAATTTCGATACCGGAGATGATGAGAAAGAAGGGCGGTTGGCCTCCCGCGCAACCCCTCACGGGAGCCTTCGGTCTGATAGGTCCACATACCTTATGGGTCCCAGGCTCAGCATTTCCCCCGATCGCAGCCCTCGTCTTTACAAATACCACAATCATCAACTTCATCGCACATGCTGTGTCTGCGCCGTGCCCTCAACAATCTTATAAGGCTTCTCCTCTGTTCTGATTGAAAACGTGCAAATCCTCCACTCACAGCCATATCAGCCAGAGACTTATACCACCATGTCACATTTCCTGAGTGGCGCTGATCCTGTTAAAGAGCTTGGCATTCCACTTTTCGAAATCAAGGACATCCCTGGGAAAGGCAGAGGCCTGGTCGCCTGTTTCAACATTTCCGAAGGCACTCGGATCCTTTGTGAGAAGCCTCTTCTCGTAGTTCGACGCATACCGCCCGATGAGTTGGAGCTGGTCATCGCGGCAAAGTTAAAAGCTTTACCGAAGGCAAAGCAACGACAGTTCCTGTCTCTCCACAACAACTCCCCGGGAAAGTACCCGTTCAGCGGTATTACCAAGACCAATGCTCTCCCCTGCGGACCTGGCTCGCCTGTGGGCGGAGTCTACCCCACAATATGCCTCATAAACCACAGTTGTTTTCCAAATTCTCACAATAGCTGGAACACCAACGCAGAACATGAAACCATCCATGCTATCCGACCGATCAAAGCCGGAGAAGAGATCACCATCTCGTATGATCGAGGTGGTCCATCTACTGGTCGAAAAGCCTTTCTGAAAGAGGCATTCGGGTTCAATTGCAACTGCAGAGGATGCTCTCTTCCGCCCGCTGAGCTCCAAGCCAGCGACGCCCGCCGTCTACTGATCCAAAGCCTCGACAACGCCATCGGGGATCCATTTCGCATGGCGAAGAGCCCAAAAGAGAGCCTGGGGGACTGCCATTCGCTACTTCAACTGTTAAACGAGGAATACGACGGATGTGCTGGGGCGCTCAGTGCCAGACTCTACTACGATGCCTTCCAAATCTGCATTGCGCATGGAGACCAGGCTCGGGCAAGTGTGTTTGCCGAACGCGCGTACAAAGTTAGGGTCATCTGCGAGGGTGAGGATAGCCCTGAGACGCAGAGGGCGAAGTCTCTTGCGTTGAAGCCAGCGGATCATGGTAGCTTTAGATTGTGTTCTATGAAGTGGAAGACGAGGAGGGAAATGGTACCGAAGGGCTTGGATACAGCGCAGTTTGAGCAGTGGTTGTGGAGAGAGCAAAACTGAACCATCATGTCTGGCTGCGTTCCCTGGGACTCATAGAGGTTCTCGGTGAGGTTGCCCTCATCTGTAGAGTCAAGATTGGTCTTGAAGGACTGCTTCATATCGCCCAGTAACAGTTTTATTGCACAGACTGCGAAAATGATATTTATACACTCATTGCCTCTGAGATGATGCGGTAGTTCTTTTTCTTTCCTTCACAACCTGGCGGTGCTTAGCCTTTTTCAATCGCCGTCGCTTAGCCTCCTCAGATGACCTGAGTTGCACCCCGTGGACTTACTGGACATGTTCCGGAAATGGCCCAAGTGCTCAAACTTCATGTCCCTACACTCCGGGTCCCTACACTTCGGGTAGTAGCATTTGGTCGGCTCGCCGCGCTGTTCGGCACGCTCCCGCTCTTGCAGGTGACTGTCGTTGAAGTGGTCATTTTCCTATAGGGCATCATCCGTAGCAATTCAAGAGAAGAAACAAGACGCAGCTATTGAAGAGGCCAAAAAAAAAGCAGTCGCAATCGGTCGATTGTATAAATTGCCACCGGGAGCCGGCGTTCGATTTTCTCACCTACTCATGAAGGCATATCTTATGGACCTCCTAAATATACGAAAAGGAATCAGAAGAAGCTCTCCAGGAGCCGCAGAGATTGAGAAAGTTGCTACCATCGGAGAGGCCGGGTTTGAACGGCGAGAGCGACAAGGCTTTTGACATGCTCCTTGATAGAATTGTGAGATAGGCATTGGTCTCAAATACACTCTAGGGGAGATATATAGAGAAATAGATTTGATGGTGGAACATCCTCAAGCTAACTCCGCCTCTATCTTCCTTTCCAGACTCCACACCGAGTCTTGAAAGTCACTCTACATAAAAAAACTACTTTCAACAGTGGTTTCTATTATGAGAAGAAAACTACCCATCGCCCCAAAGCCCATCCCCTTAATCCTTATTAAAGTCTATCACAACTCGCCCAGCAACCTCGCCTCTTCTCAGCTGTTGGACACTCTCGGCCCACTGAGATCGTCCCCTTACTTCAGAGATTCCCTTCAGCAACCCGCGCTGGGCATAATCGAGGCAAGCCGCAGTATCCTGCATTGTGCCTACCAGCGTGCCAATAATGTGCAGGTTCTTGAACACAAAAGTACTCGGCTCGGCGCCGAGCTGGACGATGCCGGCCGGAGGGAGAGCAATGCACATTATCTTTGCACCTATTCTGTTGCCGACGAAGCTTATGGAGTCTGGAAGAGGCCCGCCCCTTTGTTAGTTACACTGTACCTGTGATTTGTGAATGATTAATAGGGGCGACTTGCCTTTGTATGCTTGGTACGCGGTCACCAGCACACCGTGTGCACCGACTCCATCAGCTATCCTAATGACCTCAGCAGTAACATCCTTAGTCGCTGTAAAGTCGACGAAGGCTTCGGCGCCCATGCTAAGGCACAAGGTTTTCTTAGCTTCCCCGCTATCAATTGCAATCGGCCGCATTCCCATGGCCCTAGATGTCTCATTAGCTCTGCCATCCATCGTACAGTTCCTTCTCTGTTTCGACAATAGCTTCTTTGTCTCGATAGCACTTCTTCCTACCTTGCAAGTTGGACTCCTTGGACGCCGACGCCGCCACCACCACCTGGGAATACAACCCAATCGCCAGCCTTCAAGCCGGAATCAATAAGGGCGCGGTGCATGGTCGACGCAGAGCACATGATCGGCCCAGCAACCTCATCGGGCACTCCATCGGGGATTCGACTAGTGTAGATGGCCGGCGTAACCATATACTGCTGATACGTGCCGGGCGACGTGAGGCCTGTCAGGTTTCCCTTGGCGCAGTAATTCTCGCGGCCATTCCAGCATTGCTCGCAGTTGTGGCAGACGTCGAGCAGCGGCTTGATGCCCACGCGGTCTCCGACCTTCCACGCGTCCCCGCATTTCGCACCGACCTTGACGACGACGCCAGCGCCCTCGTGGCCCGCGCACTTCACGCCGCTTGCTGACATTTTGGGTAGGCCCCAGTCGTTTAACATGTAGTGGACGTCGGACATGCATAGGCCGGTGACGTTGAGCCGGACGAGGAGCTCATCATCCTCTGGGCATCGGTTAGAACTCTTTTTTGGGGGACCTCATCGAGATTCGACAGCACACTTACTCGGCTCTGGAACATCGAGTTTCTGAACTTCAATAGTAAAGTCCGGGCCCTCGTTGACGACGACAGCACCCCATCCTTGCTTCGGAATATCGGTAGCCATTTGAAAGTAGTGGTCCAGATTGTCGGATTGTTGTGATGGAAGTGAGGCGAGTGGCTCCTCAGTTCAACTGTTCATTAGCTTCTTAGTCATTAACGTTAAAATAGGCTGAAGAAGTTCAATGTTTGAGTATCTATTCCTGATTCCAGCTAAATGAGGATTTTCTATTATATACTAAACAGTTTGGCTTATGAAGAAAATTAAGGACCGAGGCAGTCGGACGACTTTCCAGATGCACCATCTGCCGACCACGCAAGCAATGGGATCACTTGACCAGGGACTGATCCGCTTCGGATCCGCATTTGGGCGACGATGCTTGGACTCCGAGAGTCTGTGCATGAAGCTGGCAACAAATCCAGGCGAGTGCATGGCGTCAGCCCTGGAAAAACGTGGCGATTTCCCCTGGAACATACGGAGTACTCTCTGTGATATCAAAATCCCCGCAATTCGGGGGCCGAGGTAGTCTCCTGGTTTACTACTTTCGGATTGTGGGATTTTTGTGGCGTTGTGAAGACTCGTTTAGGGAAAATTCCATCGGAGAATCCCCCAGAATCTCCGCAGTGACTACAATTGCGGTAGCATCACCATTGCGGGGTGCAGATTATCAGGCGATGTGGGTGTGGTCCGCGGGTTTATTTTCAGGCCATGATTGGGTTGTCCCCAGCTCAGCTGGGCTCTGATCTATGCGGGGTGCGTGTGGTGTTTCATTCCATCGATCCCCGCACCGCCGGCTCGCATCGTGGTCTTCCTCAAGGCGTGTTCTTCGAGATGATTCTCCCAAAGAATGCCATCGCTGTCTCGAGCACCTCAAGGGCATCACTATCCGTTGACTGCTTCGTGAGTGTCTCTCCCGGACCCATTCTTCCCACGGAAACTAGTGTTCGGCGATAGCCCATCGCTGTCGTTAGCTAGATCCCGAAGATCGAACCATCCAATGAGAGTGCATAATGCTGGACTCACAATACTGGAACATCGATATTTCGGCCAGCACCATCGTGACTGCCCCCAAGTTTACTTCCTTTCTCCAGATTTGGTTCAGGTCATCGAATCACAGATGAGCCATTGTCCGATAACGGCTAAAAAAAGTACGGGGCCTGTTGATAACGGGACAGTAACGGAGTCCCACGTGTTACACCATCAGATGTGTCGTCGATACTGACAGAGTGGTACTTTTAAATCTGCATCAGCTCGTTCCTTCCCAATTTGCCATGCACGCACCAATTTTCGTGTTAGCGGCCCGGTTGCCAGCTGGAATGCGCTGGTGCCGGTCAGACCGAAGAACAGGAAAATGGTTTCCCGGATCAGAAACGTTTTTGTTCCTCAAGGACTTGAACCGAGAGTCCTCAATTTCAGCTCAAATTACACTCAACCCTTACGAAGCCCTTCCCCTCCTGCAACCATGGGCTTAAAATCAAGGGTCAAGGAAAGAGCGGGTCATTGATGCCTGCTTCGGACTCTTCGAGGCCCTCAACACGTGACGCGAGGCGGACTCGGATCCGCAACCGGATAACAAAACAACAGTAACATAACTTCGTACAAGCATAATCATTCCCTTCTCATCTCATTCATCTCCAAGATTCAGGAGCCCCAGAACCCCAATCATCGTCTGAGAACCACAACAGGGGACAGGGATTAAACTCCGCACAACAAAGTAACTTGGGTTAGTGTCTCTCCAAATCTGCATCCGCCACCTATTGCCTTCTCCCCTGCCCGGTGCATTCCACTCCACCATGTCCAGCGCGCGGAGCCCACTAATCGATACGAAGTTCTTCGAGATATCCCTCCAAGTCGGCTCGGCCGAGAAAGTTAAATCGATCTTTTTAAATCGATCTTTTTGACCAGGCTGCAACCACATTACCATGCCGTTCGTGCTTATGAGAACCTCGATCATTTGGCTTGGGAGCATGCGAATGGCCTCCAATACCAATATCCTGGTACCGACCGATACAGGCTCATCCAGGACGGAATCCTTCTTCGCTTGAGAAAGCAAATCACAGAAGTCATGGATCACCAGGGAAGGGATGAGGGGAACGACTAGCCCAATCCACCTTCCGAACTATCATGCACGGATCTCGACTAGGAATATTTGGGAAGGAAGGGAGAGGCGCAGAACAGCGGCATTGATTCCTTGGTTGAGAAATCGGGAAGGCATCTCCAAGGTTAGACGGGCAGCCGCGACCCCTTACTCTGTATTCTCACAGTCTCCTCCCACCTGCCTCGTAGAGGCAGTGAGTCATGTGTGATAGAGGAAGAGGAAGGTGCCGAGAAGGGACCGGGCTCAGGGAGGAAGGAGTATCGCCAGAATGGCGCCCAGCACTGGCACCACCCACCTGGGGAGGCCAGAATCGACCTTATTTTCGGCTCAGCCACGGGCGGAAGTAGCTACGTGCGCGGTTGGATATTTTTCGACTTGGCCGTGGTGGGTGGGCGGCGGCGGGTTCGTGTGCCGGAGGCGACTGGAGTCGACCTTTTTCGCGTTTGGCGGGGCCGCCGAAGGGGAAGCTTGCAGGTGGCTGTGGACCATTCCGTCCTTTGGAGCATTTTCGCCGCTATTCTCGAGATAGAAATTTTTGTCATGGGGCAGGGCCACCAGGCCCGGTAATTCTCTGGGTCGCCGCAGTGACCTGCGATCCGGTCTTGCGCCTGCGATCTCCCAAGCAAAACCAAGACACCACGTGACCCGACAACAGAGGAAATGAGACTTAGACGCATCGAAACTCCAAGTCGGCGATAGGACCACTATGGGCAGGCATGCGTAGCGCCTATTGTGTGTCTTCTGAGTCTATTTCTAGCCGCTGCTGCCATAGTGAGCTGGAATCCGCAAGGCCGCTCGGCTTGGACAGCTGCCGGTTTGGGGGTAATGGGTGTGGTGGTCGTTCCTATCCACTAGGCGGGCCAGATCTACCTCAAGAGTCGGCTTGCAGCTCTCAGGAGCCACGATTACCAACTTGTCGATGTTGTGTGAAGTCCCCAAAGCCCAGAACACCCAATCCCTGGTCGTCCTCCCCAAAGATGAGGAGGAGGAGGTGGAAAAGGTACAAGGCGCGCCAAGTTTTGGTTGACTAGGAGGGTAGTATGGCCCGTGCTCTTCTTGTTTATAATGATTGTATGCACTTGTATAATTTGAATCAGCTGAGAAAGCACTTGAGTGTAAGTAGCCTTCCCTAGCCTCCAATGCCGCATTAGGCAGTACCTCCGCGCATCTCTTCGAGCTTGACTGGGGCGACTTGTAGTCGGTAAAATTCCAAGCTTTAGCTCAAGTGTTTGCATTATTAATAACTGATTGCATCAAGTGTAGTATAATGCACGGTGGCTAATAAATTAACTAAGGGCAGACCGGGACCCCTTCATCCACGACCAATTCCGCCTCGATCCTTAGCATCAAGTGCAAGCCTCCTCCACAAGCGAGAAAGCATCAAACATAAAGTTGACCTGGCCACCATTGCACGTGCTCGAGACGGACAAGACGGGTGTAGCATTTACAGGCGTCAGGGTCCTCACCACCGATATCCACTGCGAGACTGGTCCAGGCGTGGGAGAGATGGTAGCTCCCAGCTGCACGCCGTCGAGGTAAACGGTGAACGTGCACTTGCTGATGGCGAAGTTCTGGAAGGTACCGAGAGCGTAGTGGAGCTCTAGTGTGTAGGTCTCGCCGATCTCGACATCAGACAGGGTCTGGGTGAAGGCTGCGGTCCAGCCACTTGGAAGGGTGACAAACCTACATATGTATATATAGTTAGCTTATATCTTTGGCGTCGGTAAATTACAGGAGGTAACGCACATGTAACCGTTGCCATCATATGCCGTCTGCGCGCCATCAATTCCCTGGACCCAGGCACCGGGTGGAAGAGTCCAGTGGTCCTTGCCATCCACGCCATCCTCAAAACTGGGGTTCAAGATACGGTTGGTGCAGGCGGGCGCCGCAGTTGTCGACGTCGCTGGTGCAGAGCTCGTCGTTGGGGTCTCGGTAGGCGTGGGCTCATCAACACATGGGTCCTCAACGATGGAGAAGTTGTCGAGGAGCACATCGATATCCGCCGGGAGGGCGGGATTGCAGAGCGCCCAGACTTCGAAGAGTGGGTTCGCAACCGTGGGGACAAGCGTCCTCTCCACCTCGGTATACACGCCGGGCGTCTGGAAGGCCAGAGGGATCTCGGCGCCGACGCCAGCGCTGCTAAGCCTGATTGAGATCTTGCAACCGGGTACGTTGACTTGCTGGGTTTGGCCCAGACCGTAGTAGAACTTGAGCTTGTAGGACTTGCCCACCTCCAAGGGGGTGAGAGTCTGCCTGATGTAGCCCCATGTGGCCCACCGGTGCAATTTCAACTCTCTACGGCAACACATGTTAGTTTATGCTAGTCGTGTATTACGAGGAATGTGGAGTATGGCGCACACGTAGTTGTCTTCATGCTGCGCGGGAATAGAAACATCGCCAGCTTTGACGGCACCGGTGGCAATGATCCAACCGGTGCCTCCATCTTCGAAGCTGTAGTTCTCGATAAAGTTAGTACACACAGGAGGTGTCGGCTCGGGGGTGGTGGTCGTGGCAGTGGTCGTAGGAGGCTCAGTCTCGCATCGTGGCACGATGGCAGCATGAGTTCCAACGAACGCGGTGGCCGAGAGCGCAGCGACGACAAGTCTTCGGAGACCCATATTCGAATTAGGCTTGCAGAACTAGTGTGGAGGGAGTTGTACAAAAGAGTGAGACAACAACGGCCTTTGCTGGTGAGATTCTTCAAGCCAAGAAGCGGGGATCGCGAGTTCTTCACCTTATTTATGAAAGTAACGCCCCAGTCTCGACTGGACGCCGCTGGAAAATGCAGATGCATCTGATTCGCTGAACCAAGCGAAACCGCCCCTGCAGGCACTAGAGGAACGCAAGGTGACGCTGACGGCAGGTGCAAAATTGCGGAATTTGGTCCATAGAAGCCAGCCCGCCCGTCAATAAAACGCGGTCCGGACTCCACTTACAGTCAGGGGGACCTACATTTAGAGCAATTCTAATCTCCACCATGCAGAATTCAGCCTTCAGAGGACAGACTTGCAGGGCTGCATGAGCCGTCTCCTGATGCGGAGAGCAGGTCACATTCAGCTGATCCTTGCCAAGCCCTCAGCCGCAACCCCCTGTCCGTGACCCAGCCAACAGAGCCATTTTCAGGAAGAATGCCCATTCGTCCCTTTCCCTGGAGAGCCCCGGCAAGGTGTTAGTGAAAACGGAGATCTCTACACCTAAATACTTGTAATACCGCAAAGACTAGAGTTGAATAAACCCCATACACCAAATCCGTGCTTGGGGGCGAGCTGAGGAGGGAGCGGGACTGAGCACGGCCGGGCTGTCCTCTACCTTCATCCGGGACGTTCAGGTCCAGCACAGGGCGCGTTGCGGAACCGGGGGGTCCTCACGTGTGCCAAGACTATGCAGTGGAAATGACGAGGCTTGAATGTGGGAAGATGACAGGCACGTTAAGGCGCTCGGGTGCCTCGGGTGTGCAGCGAGCTAAGCCCTAAGCGAGCATAAAATTCGCAATATTGCTCGCGAACGCCCGTCCCGAAGAATGGCGTGTTCGACTACTGTCACTTCCGCCTCCCTCGCCCTTTACCAATTTCAACACATCAACCATGGATTGGATTCTCCCGAAATCTGTGGGTAAACTGGAAAGTTGCCATTTTGAGCGAGTAGTCCATTCAATCCATTCAATCATTTGGCGGCGTGCAACTTCAGGTGTACAGTGGACTTAAATTCCGGCTTTCCTGTCCAACTCAGTTTCGACACCGCGCTGTCTCGCTTTACCCTCATCCTGGTGTGCAGATTAGCAAGGTGGCCGAAGGAATAAGTGGACGTAGGCTACCCTACATGTATGTCCGCGTGTCTCTGTTGCTCAGCTCGATCTCCCGTCAGAGCAGCAGTGACACCGCCAACAGCGCCCTGCACCCGCTCACTAACGCCGCGGCCCAAGTCACTCAACTGGCCTTTCGCCTCCTGCTCCTCGCCATGTCGACTCCGCTGGCGTCCACTTTGCACTAGGCGGTCGTTCCCAATCAACCTTCCCGTGGCCTCGTTTACGCTGCCAACCGTCTGGTCATACCGGCCCTGCGTGCGCTCGGGGCTGTCTTTGGCCACGCCTCCTTCGGGACCTACAGAGTAAGGGCCAATCTTGGCGGCAGATTGTGAGGTAGCGCGTTGGTCCTCGGATTTCTTCTTTGCTTGCTCCGCCTTGGTCTGGCTATGTGATCAGCCATATACACCACGGCCGGGATATGATCGACTATTATAAGGCGCTGAGCGGTGGCTTTGACTGTACCTTATCTTCTGAACTTCCAGTGACGGATGCAACGCCAGAATGGATGGCCGCCGCGGCTTCGTTGAGGTATGAGGTACGGGTGGAGGGATTGTTATCCGACATGATTCTGAATATCCTCGTTGTCAAAATGCTCAGTATGTTCAGTATGTTCAGTATGTTCAGTACGTGCCCGAGTTCACAACGGTTATGGAAGTCTGACCCAGTATTGAGGGTCTTGGATGCTGGCGAAATCGCACTCATTTATAGAAAATCTACATTCTCCAGCAGTAGAAGAGATTATCGACAAGGCGGTTAACTGAGAGGCGAGATATGACGTCACGCCAGTGACATCATATTTACCAGCGCTGTGGCACATTTATCGCGGCAGACATCGTTTAATCTAGTTTACCTCATCGATGAAGATCAATGCCCAAAGCGACCTGCCTTGGAAGAAGAAGGCTACTTTAACATTTGTGGTTGGCGCATTCCGCACTTCCGACGAAGCAGTGTTGATCCTGTGGCGAGGCCCCTGGTTGAATGATGTGCATCACTCTCACGTCTCCCGTCATCTTCTGTGAGTTTACATTGGTGGTGGGCTGGTGGCGAGATGGGGAACAACTAAGTTGAAAAAACCAAGAAAGACACACACCTGCAAGTTACGAAATAGAACCTTGTCGAATTACATGAAGACGACGGTATCATAAAGGCGGTAAATACGAAAGGCCAGGATGTATGGCCTCAGATTGAAATTGAGACCTAGAGCCTTAGACGATATGATTGTTCATAATATCTCATCCGCCTCGTACGCTCTCCTCCATATAACTTGCCCCATCTCGGGATCCATCACCGCAGCGTAGTGCGTCTGGTCGTTATTTATCTCCAGATCCCTGACAAACTTCATCACATCGGCCATCGCGACTTCCTCTCCTCGAAAGCCCAATCGCCGTCGGCATGCCGTGACCCTCCTCCGCCACATACGCTCGAGATGATCCTTGCGCTCTAGAGAGTAGGCAACGAGGCCCACCATGCCAGATTGAACCTTGGAAGAGGCGACGTGCTCGACTAAAGACTCGAGCTGCGCGGCATCGTCCTCGTCGGCTCTGTCATGGTTATATGCAGAGAGAAAGGTGTCGGATTCGTGAATTGTGCCGGAGTAGTTGTCCTTTTCGATGACACGGACTCGTTTCGGGGTGCAAAAGATAAGGTAGGCTGCCGTAGAAGGCGAAGGTAGTAGGCTAGCCACTATGGCGACTACTCTGGATTCGCAGAGATGGCCCCCAGTGGGGGCTCCCTCCGCCGTGTCAGTAAAGGAGGAATCGTCCAGCAAGATTTGCCTCAGAACACTCGAAATTGATTGCCGGAATCCCAGAATCACCATCGCCTGGTGCCATCGGAAAGATATCGCCTTCTTCCGCGTGCAGGTATCGTGTCTCCCTCGGAAGTTCAAGCTCATGCTCAACCCGCTCCTCACCCCCGTCAAAACACCCACGTACCCGAAATATGTCACCACACTCGCCACCACCGGCCCACCTTCTGACCGGACAAAGTCGATCTCGACGGTAAGATTTCGCAAAGGATCCATCGCCCAGTCTAGCGTCCGGAAATGTATCATCCTTGATTCTCCGTCGTCGAGCCCCTCTAACCCGGATCCGACCCGCACCCCGCCACTGGTACAGCCTAGCAACAGATCCAGGAGCACATTGAAAGCAACGAGCAAAAACATGGGCAAGCCAGTCACGTCTGAAATGCCCTGTAGTTCCTCGGTCTCCTCATTGTTGTAAACGCGTCGTAGTAGAATCTGCGCAATGAACCTCACCAAGGTCCCAAAGGTGCGTCCGACTAGACCTTGCACAACATCGTCAAAGAGGCCTGGGAGGTTGGAACTCTTGATGGCGAAGAGAAAGTGCGGTGCGATGTGGTTGTATCGGGTCCTTGGAGGCTGGGACAAGTCGACCGTGAACTTTGGAATGGGGCGACCGCGCTCAGGTTTCTTGGGGCCGCGTCGCTGGCGGGCTTGAGGGTTTGACTCTTGATCGGGAGCCATGTGATAGTGAGAGACGAGGGAGATCAACGTTCAATGTTTTGGGAGGACGTGGGCGGGGGGGGGTTTAAGGGGCCCTAAAATAGGCAGCATCGAGACTGAAAAACGACCATCCAAGACGACGCGTCCAAGGCTGCCACCAATTATTATTGTCTTCGGCCCAACGTCAAAAGGATTTGTTACGTAAAAACCCTGACGAAAGAAAATTTCAACTACGGAGCGTTAAAACCGAAGACCAAAATTAATATTGTTCTTCAATACCGACCAGCGACGAGTTCATCAGTCCAGCTGCCGTTGATTGTGAATCGTGATTGTTCATCCGAGTTTGGTTATTGAGGGTTGTGCACCGGTAATAAGTATCCGTACCTCGATAAGACGATATTGAAATTAGGCCACTTAACTTGTAATCCAGTCTTAGCTCCAAAGCATCACGTGGATCATTCTCTCGATCTATGAAAGCCTCTCACGGATTCTCTCCCATAATCTTTGATTCCTCTTGTCCAAGATCATCTCCGACCAGGGCCTAACTATGGATACGTTTACTTACACAACCCCCTCTCGCGAAAAAAACGGGGCCTGCATGGCTCAACTTTCGATCTGCAGATGGTCTTAGAAGACTCGGGTCTCAGATACTGCATCGTTGGTGACCCCGTGGCGCGGCTGCTGGGGAGTTAAGTGCTCGTCGGCGGCTTGTTTCTTGCCATCTCAGACGAACAGCTTGAGGATGCCCGATCGACCCTCCTCAAGAACAGCTTCACGGCAATTGAGCAAAAAAGCCTTTACTACGACGGTAAATGTGAAGAGAATAAAAGTGGTTGACCAGGTTATGCGTTCACTCCCACTGATCTCGAGAGCCCTTCCCTCACGACTATTATGCTCGTACCAGCCAATTCATGGTACCTCGATCTGTCACCCTCAAATTTCTTAACAAGCACAGTTCTTCTTGGCGATACGCGTTATCGATTTCCTACTCGGTTATCGTATCCTGATGGCGAGATTCGCAAAGTCTATTTCTCCCCTCGTAATGAACTGTCAGTGTATCATGCTAACCGCTCTCCTCGCAGTGCTTATTAGTGCCATCGTTAATAGAGTACGAGTTCCCAGGTTCAACATCCAGATCAACGCATACTTCCTGCTTCAGTACTCGTATGTCGTTGCGTTTTTGGCCCCTGACGCCATCGTCCACCTCCCGCCTGAAGACCAGTTCTTCATTGAGCTATATGACAAGGTTATCCTGCGGTCAGCCAGGAAATTAGTTTGCCAAGAGCGGGAGAAGATTCGAGATGGTACTACAACCGTCGATGCGGCAAGGAAATGTATACTGATCTCAAATTTGCGGCGTCGAAGCAGGGAGTAAGATTTCAACCATTTCACATGTATTCTCTTTGTGAAGTCTCGATTGCAACGTCCTCGGAGTGTATACAAAATGCGTCGCCGCAAGTATGTGATCCCAAAATGATTAAGTGCCTTGTCAAGGAGATGGGGAGCACGAGTAAAACTATTAATACAGGGCCATGCTTGAAACGTAGAAAACAGCTATGACGATGCGAGAAGCGAGTTTAAATTTGGCACGATCTATAGACAAAGCCTGCGATTGTGCAAAATGAGATTTCACTGATTATGCTCCGTGGACAGTCTGAGCCAAGGCGTCGGTGCCGAGAAACCATGAGATAGCGCAGGAATGAGCGTGAAAACCTTACATGTTGCTGATGCAACACGCTTAGGCTCGCCTGCATCCACCACAGCAGCAACTTTAGTAGTAGATATAGCAGAAATCGCCGCCCAAAGTATCCGTGAGCTGGCGCAAGGTTCTCTTTTCTCCATTGACACCAAGGTCGACCAGGTCGGTTAAATACTCGTCTCCTCCACTAACCTTGTACTGGCGAGCCTCAATATCCTGGATCTGCCAGATCCACCACAGTCGGTCGATGCCCGCTTGGTGAACCCAGAACACGGGGTCGGAGGAGAAAGATGCAGGGTCCTGTGATATGTTGTTAGCATATCTTGCCCTTATACAGAAAGGAAAAAAACTCTGAAGCGGGAAATATTTCGAGCAAAAACAAAAAGGGTGAAAACATACATTCTCGCGATCATTAAAGGCAGTAAAACGACCCGTATTAAAGACGCTGTCGCTCTTTTCCAACCCATCCTGGAGCGTGCTCATGTAAGCACTATCCTTAACGAGCGGATAGGTATGATCTATTGTCGTGTAGGCAGCACATCCTTCGGAGAGCTTCCGCGGGAGACACCGACGGTGGCTGCCATCGAGGATGCCCTTGGGGCCGAGGTTTACTGTCATGCCGACAAAGGGTCCGGTGGTGACACAGTGATTCTCCGTCCCGTCGCCATCGCCTCCAAGAGAGGCCGAATCTCCGTTGAAGAGGGCCGAGGTGTTGAGGTGCCCGGCAGTGCGATCCCAGTTCCAGTACGGCTGTGCTCCCGTGTAGCCGCACTCGTCGCGGAGCGCGGTCTCGTAGGCGTGGACAAGATAACGGTAGTAGGGAAGGAACTTGCCGCCATACTTTAGTGGGGGTTAGCATTAAGGACAGATACGCCATTGCTTAGAGCAGGGTGATAATATTTTAAGCGCTTTACACCTACATCTTTCGTTGTTTCGTTGTGGTTCCTGATGTTGGTAGCAGTGAAATCGTCGAATCGAGAGCGAGAACCGGGAGCTTTATCGTCCTTGGGCGGCAGCGCTTGGAGACACTTCACAGCATTGATGTACTCCTCCCGTTCATGACGAGGCAGGTCGGCCCTATGAAATAGTATATCAGAAACCACATTCCAAGCACCCAATATCTTTGATAGTGAGTACGTACCATTCACGCCTGACCATTGCATTCTCCAGCGTGCACTTCGTAGACTGCCTCTTTGACAAAGCAGCTCGGTGGGCATTATACTCGGCGAGTTTGGGCATGCTAGCATCCTGAAGCTGGTCGAGAAGATCGGCAGGGAATGTACGGGTGTAGGTCGGGGCAGGAGCAGCCGAAGTGGTGGGCTCTTCAACGTCTGTTTCGGTGGGGGTTTCGGACGAGGAAGTCGTCTCGATAGCAGACTCAGACTCGGTGACCGTGGGAGTTACCTCGGTAGTAGGTGCTTCGGTATACGCAGCGCTTGATTCAACATCCGTGCTGGAGACATCCGGGATGTCGGTGGACTGCTCTTCATCGGTCTCGAGGGTGCTAGAGGCGGTTGGCTCTGGCTCTTCCTCCGAGGCCGTGCTGGTAAAGACGATGATGCTACTTTCCGCTGTTGGGAGGGCGTAGCTCGAAGAAATAGCCGTGGTGGGACGCGGCTTATTCCCAGGATGAGAACCGTGGCTATGAGAGTGCCCATGATGAGGTGGCTTGTGAGGCTTGCCACAGGCCCTAGCGCTAGCAACAGCGATAATGGCTGCGCCAACGAGAGATTGCGAGAGACGCATTATGGAGCTTTTCTCGAGTATTAACGTCCAGGTGAAAAAGGCTTGGAGGCAAGAAAAGAAAAAAGCTATAAAATGAGCGTAGGAAAACAAATCGATAGAAACGAACGTCTTATCCAGTGAGGATACGTGCTAAAAGGAACGGCTGATGAAAATGTTCATCACACGAAGAACAAAACGACTGACAAGCCCAGTAGTGTGACTCTGAAGTTTGGAATTTTTCATCATCAGTCGGATCGTGTGCGCCGTGCTGGCCGACTAAATACCTTCACAGTCGGCTCGCTCCCGCTGCCCGAAATGGTGCTAGGCAGGACTAAGGGGTCCAGTCTTGGCAACCTTGCTTGAGCCATTGGTTCAGCTTAATCCGATTCTGCTCGTGCGAGAGCTTAGCGTGCAGAAAACTTTCATTTCGCCTTGTTGGCTTGATCCAGCATTTGTCGGAGCCGGGGGGTAATCAACGGAGGAAGATGACTCCGAGGAAAATATGCTGGCATTTGATTGACTTCGCAGCGGGTGTTTCGTTCCTGGTTCCTTGCATGCTTTTGGTCCCTGGGTGAGTTTCTATTCGTGCCCAATACCCCACTTATGCCAGTCCGGGGCATACTTCTTCTTGGGTCTTCCATTGTATGTAGGTCCCTGGGGTGTGATGTCAAGCGTGATAACGGGCAAGGGGCAGCACGCTAAAATTCTAAGATGTAAGCCTGCGTTTCTCCACATCTTGAGCTATAAGCTTCACGAGTCTCACGAGTCACGACCCCTTTTTCCAGTTCGCGCTCTTTTCCTATCTCCCATGCCGGGACCTTCCGCTAGGCATCTCATTTCTTCGTTTCTCGCATTTCCTGGGAGACTTCTACGAAGTACAAGCCGCACAGGGGCGTTTTATGATGGTTGCCGGTAGTTAGGTTGGGGTGGTGCTTGGTGGTGAAGCACCCTAGCTTACCACTTCCTGGCAATAAGAGAGGCTATAAATAGCACCAATACTCAGGTACCATTGTCGAGAACATGGCTAGGGATTACTTTTCCGGGTATTGTTCTTCACCCTGGCCCTTGGTTTTGCTACCATATCAATTCTTTCTCCTTGTCGGGTAGAGGAACTGCCCGGGCCTAGGCTGGAACCTATCTAAATAAAGGGGGTTGTCTCAAGCTGGGTCCATGCCCACAATACAGCACTGAAGTAAGCGGGCAGATTGGGGAGGCTACTTCTCCCTGTTTTTATGTCCAAAAGTATCTCACCGCCAGCTGTCTAGCTGGTGTCGTCATCAATTCAAATTACTTTATGTTGGGGAGAAACCGAGTCACAAGAGAGAAATGGGCCTAGCGGATGTCAGATATTAACGGCAAGAGTACTTGTTTGGGGTCGGGAAGGAGCAGTGACTCTGTAGACGTGCCTGATCAATGTTGCTGTCCCATGTGAGCGAGTTTGTTAATAATAAGGATATGGCTGGGGACTGGAGTTGAGCTCGTTGAACCTAAGTGCTCCTGTCGTCCGGCCTGCGGTGACACAGCAGTGGATGGACCAGGCGCTCCTTCCCATGTTGTGTAGAACGCTTCCGATATTGCCTCCACCTCAATGATACGGCAGGTGCTACTTACTCACTCAGCGAGTCTAAGTACCCGTGTCAAAACTCGGCCGCTCACCGGTGGCTCCTGCCGTATTTTGCTTCGTATCACATGATTTCCAACGCGCTCAGCTCCGTCATCTCCGTCATCACAATCACGAAAACAAACACAAAAAGCCCTGGATTTTAGATTTGGAACCTTCCCACCAATCCCCTTGAAATCTCATCTCCAGCCTCTGGCCCCAGGTTTGACAATGGCCACAACTAGATTGATCAAGGGTGAATATCCCATTCCACCCGTTGCCATTCCACAAGAAAGCAACCTTTTGATCGAATTCCACCACCCCGCGTATCCCGTGCGATACTCGACATTCCTCAGCCTTCCGAGGGTAGACCCTGCACCCCACGGCGGAAACGGTCCAAAGAGCGGTGTCTCTCACAGTATAGCCCTACTCGCATGCCAGCTCATCGCCGACAACAGCTTTGGAGGCAGGCTGTTTCTGGATCGGGAGGGGCGAGAGGGGGTGGTGGTTGGGGCGGATGGCATCTTGCTGGCCGATCATTACTATTTTATCGCTGACACGAACAATCGTATCGCACCTTTCGCCTATCCGCCCTACGTATGACAATGTGAACTCAACTAACTGGTAACCCCACGCAGCAAAATCGAAGTACCCCATCGTCCCCTCGTTTCGCGATTGGCAATTTCCCCATGGCCAAGTCCCTGCATCGTGGCCCGAGCCATCCGCAACCAGCGCCCCCAGGTCGGCAGCCGATGGACAATCCAGGTGCTCTCTAAGTAATCACTGCATGGGGCTTAAGAGCGCCCACTTGGTTCCAAAAGAAGAGGCGGATTGGGCTAGCAGAGAGTCGATGGGACGATATGGCGCGCACCCCATCACCAATATACACAATAGGTCGAAGAACACCCTACCTCTGCGGGCGGATATCCACAAATGCTTTGACCTCCAGCGCGAGTTTGCCATAGTGCCTAAAAGGGAGATATACGGCCCTGCAGCCCAGAACTCACAGCGCCGTTACGTGGTCCACTGCCTGGGAAATGATAGCCCTGAGTTTTGGGGTCTGTACCAAAACGTTCCCTTGCAATATATCGGCCATCTCAGCAAGGAAGCGCTCTTGGCCCGATTCGCCTGGGCAGTTATTCTGGACGTCAAACCCTTTCTCTTGCAAGGGCCGGCCCGAAACATCGTCAGATGCAATGTTGGTGGGCAGCAGGAGGCCAGGGAGATGACAATCGCCGAGTTGACGGAGCTTTACGGAGGGGGAGGCAGCATGGCAGCTACCCGTCTGCCTTCGCGCGAGAGGAAGCGACCTAGAGTGGAAGGCGAAGGAGCTGATAGTTTCGGAGATTCGGAAGTTATGTCCGGGGATGAAAGTGATACAGAACAAGAGCTGAGGGGAAGACGGGGATTCTCAGAACAGCTGGAGGACAAGCTGCTCTCTGCTAGATTTGAGCGAGGAGAGCCGACGGAATTGAGTTATTAGTCCCACGATCATCTTTACGAGGTTTAAAGTTGTCAGTATACGTCGTTGATGAGATGGGAACGAGAAGTGCTCCCATTATTCCAGCTCTTGCCCTCCTCACCGCTCGAGGCTGGTGATCCGTCGATAACACCGAGATTGGTGACGAGCCACGCGTAATTCCTGGGCTTCTTGACCAGGCTTCTGTGGTAGTCTTGCCAGTCGCCTACAACTCCCATGACTCCAATGTTGTTGTTTTTCAAACCTAGATCTACGGCCTTGCGGATTTCGCCCTTGACTGTAGCCGAAACGGACCAGATCAACTTCTCTACGCCGGCGTCGTCTGACTTTCGGATTTGTGCAACGACGTCGCGGTTGAACTGATGGTCGACAATGGACACAATGTTGCTAATCAATTTACTCGGATCCCACTTTGCGCTGGCGGGGGTAGAAGGTCTCATATTCCGTGCCGTGACGGAAGTGAAACCCCGCGCCTCTTTCTCGGTCAGTTGGCTGGAGAGACACGCGAGAGTGATCCCGTGGAAGAGTCCAGTCAACGTGGTTTTATTCTCGCGTGACGCAACAACGAGCCGCTGTAACGTTTCATCATCGAGGCAGATGCGGCGGAAGTTCGTAGCGAAGGGTGTTGCCGAAACGGGGGCCCAGGATGCCAGATAGGCGGAGTCCTTGGTTGAGGGGGCGATGACCTCGTGCCACAAGATTTTAGCGACGTAGTCCAAGCTGGCTTTGTAGCGGCCTAGATCTCCCTGCTTGGGCGGGAACGACTCTTTATCCCAGGTCTTCGGAAGGGTGAGGATGTGGTCCTTTAGGGGTATTGAATCCTTGTCCACAGTGTCCAGAGCGCAGAGGTTTCGCAACAGCTGGCCGTGGAAGATCTTGGCGCCCATTCCATCTGTGAAGCTGTGGTGCCAGGAAAACATAATGTCAAGGAAGTTTCCAGCTTGGTTTTGGAGAACCGATATCCTCCATCCAGGTTGGCTCGCGATGTTCGTAAAACGCTTGTCCATCTGTACTTGCAGGGTAGCATTGTAAACGTCGTCGTAATCCTCGGAAAGAGGCTTCGTCCACTCGATGTGGCGGGCGAGATCCAGTTGTTTTAGCGCGACGTAACCTGGGTTCTTGGTGCTATCTCCATAAAGCCCGACCTGCAGAAGCGGGTTGTCAAGCACGGTCTTCGCCACGGCGAGCTCTACAGCTTTCTCGACGTCATAGTCATAGTCTGGAGAGTCTGTCAACTCGGGCGGGGTTATGTATCGGCAGGAGATGACTGTTGCTGAATAGAAAGACATGGAGTGGATGGCTGCTTGGAATAATTCCCTATCAATAAGTTCGTGGTGAGCTTTGGGGCTCACACCGGTCATGCTGGGAGTGAACTTACATCGAGCCAAGTCGACGGATGATTTTAGGCTTCTTTTCTGCCTTTCGTACAGAGCCATTGCTCTTGCCATTGGCCTGGGTTGCGACCGCCATGGTCCCGGAAATTAGTTATGAGGTTAGGATATCGACACAGTTGCTTTATTAAACTGCGGATGTGGTGCTCTCTCTGGTTAGCCTGAATATCTGAATCTTGTCAATGGCCGCGGAGCCGGAGCGCCGTAGGTTATATCCTCCCCCCTTAATATGCTCGGCAGCCGGTTTAAAGTTTAACCACGTGGCAGACTGTGAATCCAGTCCCTCCCTACGGAGACGGAAACGTGGACCTCGGACAATGCCAAGGCTTGGTGGATGCAACCTTTCGCTCGGGGTCCGCATTGTCCGCTGTCTGGGCGGCCGCTGTTCTTGCCACCCGAGGGAGCCGGGGAATCCGGGCTCACTTGAATTCAAGAACACGTCAACTCACCTCCGCCAAATGTCATGTGATTTTGGCATGCTTTCATAGATGTTGAGCAGGAGTTCGTCACAGAATCTTGAGCAAAAAGAGACAAACAGAGAAGAAAAAAAGGGAAGAAGGTTGGTATTATTACCGTTATGCGGGTCACATTGCCCTGCGGCGGATTCTATCTTACCTTTTTATTCTTCTACCATTAATTATGAGGTGCAAAAATATCGCCCAATTCGGCACAGAAAAAAAGGGACAAAAAAGCCTAGAGAGCGATTACGCCAGTCGGTGACCAAGAAGAAATGCGAACGCGAAATACGAGGAAAAGGACACGACACGACATGACACTTCATCTTCATCGTGACGCTTGTCGAATGACACATTCTTAAGCCCATTCGATACGCATCCATCCTAAAGGGGCACGACGGCTGCATACATGAATAGGAATGTGACTTGATTTAGACTTCAGCAACTCCGCCATAGATCTCGATGCCGGCCGAGATCTGCTGCAGCGTCTGGAAATCTAGACGGACATAAACACCCCTGCTCCATTCCCACAATGCCGCGGGGTCTTCCTCTGGGAAAGAGGGTAAGGATCTTTCCACGTTGCGCATAAGGCTCATGGCGCGACGATCTCCCCGATCTTCCTCTCTATTGTACGGCTCGGCGACGTCAACCCGCCCTGCGATTCGGTAGTACCCAGATTGGAAGCTTAAGAACTCTGGGCCCGGAGGTATGGCGTGCCGTTTGGAGAATTCCCACATCTCGTTTGCGGGTTTCTTTGCTGTCGGGGAAGGCCGGATAAGGATGGCTGCATTGCAGTTGTAGAAGCGAACGACGAGGTCGCCCAGTTTCGCGATGGAAGGGGCAAGGCCCATGCACTGATCGGTGCCTAGGAACAGGATAGGATCGGCGGCCGCTGGGGGTCGCTGCAATTCTCCCGGGTCTGGATCCTGGGGCTCGTCACCCAAGGACACCGGCTCTGGCCCCTCTAGAATAGACCACACAGAGGATTTCGAACTGTTCAGCGCGGAAATACGGTCCAAATCCTCGGCGGAATAATAGAGGATGTCGACTTCATAGGAATCTTGCATACGGCGGAGTGTCTCGAGATCCCTGGAGGATGAATAGTGCTGGCGTAGGGAATGCGCCCATTCCCTCTGCGCTTGGTAGGAACCAACATACTGAGAGTAATGAGGGCCAAACGCCAGAATCGCACCTGCTACATAGCCCATGGCCATAATGAATGGGGTGTCGCTCAACCCCGGAAATGGCCTTGCGAATTTCAATTCATGCTCGACATTGCCCTCAAGCGCCCGCTGGACTACGCCTGAATATCGGACAACTCTCTGACAACGCTCGTTCTCTTGCTCTTCCTGCGCTGCTTCTGTTCCTAACGGAGTGGTACTGCTCGTGGACATGAAGCGCACGAGATCATTCCAGATGTCGTAAAACGAGCGCTCATAATCGATCTCGATGAAGCCTAGTTGAAAGTGTGAATGTTGCTGAGGCATGGACGAGTCATCCAATCGTGGTGGTTCCGCCGACTCGGCGGCTCGAGCAAAAACGTTCACATTGTTAGCGAGGCCGACTAGTCCAAACACGCGATCCCGTATCTCTTGACACCCACAGTCGGCAAATTGCTCAACGAGCGCCTCCAGGCGCATCCTGTCGCCAAACTTTCCTTCCCTCGCAAACCGAAGACGCCGGATTTCCGGCAGGGATGATTCAGCGACGACATCCGGGCTCAGAGACTCCATTTCCTTAGCGGCTTCCCATATAACCGACTCCGTCCAGATGGCTCCGCCGCACATGAAGGCCAGGTGGCGCGGCAGGCAAACTTCCTGGACGATCCATAGACGATTCCAGTACGAGTTCGTCGAGATGAGCCTCCTGTGGTGTCGTGATTTGATGGACCTTTGGTTGATCCATTCCCAACTAAAAGGTTTGGCTGGCCCGCCGCGCTTGGGCGGGTTTGTCACCGCTCTGGCGAACTCAGGTCCGATGTTCTGCGTGTTACCGCTTTTCCATTCGTGCATAATGTCGATGTCAGGCGGGGTCGTGTTGGGGTCGATGCTTGGCATGCCAAGCCAGGAGATGACAGCCGCCGCGCGCGAGTAGATAAAGGCCATTAATGCGACTTGTTGATTCCGCTCCGTGATGGAGTTTTGGTCGATACAGATCGCGTCGATCCATAATGGGACTCGAGCCTTTGTCGAACGAAGGAAACGTAGGGCGTTAGCCGCATTTAGCCCAATTTGCAACCCGTGCCCGTTTAAGCGGATCACAGAGCGTTCCTGCCAATTAGCACTTCGGCCTTCCGTATCGGGAGTATATGGATCAGCCCAGGTGTAGGAAAGCGCGATGTATCGCGGTTTCGACGAGAAAGAGATCGACTCGAGAGTTCCCTCAAGGTCGTCGAAAAACTTGTTGGCCGGTTCTAGAGTGAGAAGCCGAAGACCATCTGTCGTGGGAAGTTCTGGATATGGAAAGAGAGGCATCGCGAAAGAGCCATTAACGCCTGTTTCTGTTACTGCTTTTGTCATGCTCGCCATGCCGCTCGCGATACTGCTCGAGCCGAGACGATCTTGGTTTTTCTCACGCAGAGCGGGGCTGTCCGTTCATTTTCTTGTCGTCCAGTCGTCCTACAGCCGATGAGGCTGTGCTGCAGGAGGCAATGGCTTGGCGTTCAGCTGACGCAACGCAGGCTTCGAAGATGATTGATCAATCATTGAGAATGAACAGATCGCAAAGAGAGTGGACTTATTGGCTGGGGAGACAAGACAGATGAGTAATACATAGTATTCGAAAACAAGCGGACTGCTGCTACCGAAGGCTCAAGTAACTGAGGTTAGAAAGAAAACGGCTCGCTCCCCCCTTGAGCTTCTGTAACCTCGATGTTGTACTTTCATCTGAACATTCTTCATGGCATCGTCTCACTGTATGGAGCCATAACAATGAATTATCAACAGCCTGACATTTAATAGATGCACTTAGGAGAAACGGCCAAGTGCATCAGCTATAAACATCAAGGTTCGACATCATCGCCTCGTAGTCCATGTCGATAAGCAACTCAGGTTCAGCCGAAGGGGTCAGTTGACTCCAATCAAAGCGTAGCTGTTCCATAATTCTGGTTTCCGGGGCTTCAATAAAATTAGAGTCATCTGAGTAATTTGCATCATTAAAAAACTGCTTGCCAACCCCAAATTATAGATGGAATTCTAGAGTATTCAACTTACCCAGTACCTCGAATTCTGCGTTCTCGCCGAGCAGTGTCTGGCTCTGGTAATTTGATTCGCCTGTCCGTTCGTCTTCGCCTTGATTGTGCTCTTTCTCTATCCTTAGCTGCGCCGCGTATTCTCTCGGCGTAACACCAACAATCTTCTTAAACACGCCATGAAAATACCGCGACGACAACCCGGCCTCCCCCGCCAGAGTTTCTAATGTTATTGTCTTCCCATTAGCAGCACGCAACGCCTCACACGCCCTCTTTACCGCCTCTTCATGTGCCCTTCGGAAAACCTCCTCCGGCTTGCACCGTTTGCACGCCCGGAATCCTGCTGATAGGGCATCGGAAACCGTATCGAAGAAGACGACATTGGCACGCCGAGCGAGTCGAGCGGGACATGTTGGTCGGCAGAAGATGCGTGTGGTCGTGACGCCGTATATGAAAGCTAGGGCAGCTCCCGGTTCCCGCTTCTGGAGGGCGTTCCAGCGGTCGTTTTCGGTAGCGAAACGGCGATGACGTGCCATGATCACAAGTGATCGGGAAGTTTTGGGGACTACTTGTTGCTAGGTCTGATGGGCGAAATTGGCAATGTCTGCGGTCCTGTGGGGTTTGCTGCCTGGCCGCATGCTTTTAAAGTGACCAATGGCTTTACGCGTCACTAAAAGGGCGTAAAATGGACAATCATCAAGTCCGGGCACGATCTGTTCCTGCATCTTCTGTTTCTAACTTGGGAACGACTTTGCAGGGCCAGTAACCATGCCATTGGTCATATTGCCAGCAAGCTCACAAATTAATTAAGCGGCGAACGAGATTAGATGGGGGTCGTCCATTATGATGAGCCGTGGATTGCGAGTGAGCCCGGGTCAATCATCTCGTCCTCTGGGGAATAATTGGCCACTTTGAGAGCAAGATGATAAATCAAAAGGAGTCGTTCGGCGTTTGCACTGGATATCAAGGCTGGTGGATGGATGGAGCAAAACATCATTTGAGACATTTCTTGGATATAAGATGCCTCATTCGAACCGCTCAACGACCAGGACTCGAAACAATACTGTCCAACAAATTCTATCTAGCAAACTAAACAAGAATTTCTAATCACGATGGCTCCCAATTACGAATCTGCATTGGCACCCGGCTCGGTCGTCCTACTCACAGGAGTCAGCGGCTTCATCGCCAGCCACATTGCTGACCAGCTCCTGGCCGCAGGGTATTGTGTACGAGGAACTACGCGAAATGCGGACGGAGTATCGTGGATGACTTCCCTATTCAACAAGAAATATGGCGAAGGAAGGTTCGAAATCGTTACCATCGCCGACTTTGCAAAGCCGGGGGTTTTCGACTCCGCACTCCAAGGTAAGATATTCTGCCTGATGGCATGGTACGGTTAATCTCTGATAACTCATCTTTCCCCCGTAGGAGTCTCGGGCGTCATTCACGCGGCAGCCGACACATCCATGGGCGCGGATCCGCATAAAGTCATCACGCCTGCAGTCGCTGGAACCATTGAATTGCTAAAGGCCGCCTCAGAGAATGCTGACGTGAGGCGGGTGGTTCTTACGTCTTCTTGTGCAGCGGCAGCGAATCCCGGAACAGCTCGTAAGATCGACGGCAATACCTGGAACGAAGAAGCCATCGCAGCCGCATGGGCCCCTCCGCCCTATGAACCAAGCCGTGGGTTTCCCGTGTACGCTGCGAGCAAGGCACAATGCGAGCAGGAGGCGTGGAAGTGGTACGGCGAGAAGAAGCCCGGATTCGTCCTCAGCGCAGGTGAGTCATTTAGTGGTGCGCCACTTTAGTTTGGGTACTGCATATATGCTCACTAGACATCGGGCAGTTCTCCCGGCCGCGAATTTCGGAAAGAGCCTGGATCCGGTTGCTCAAGGCCACCCATCCACATCAGCTCTCGTCCAAGCCCTTTTCAATGGCGACACTGACACTGTCAGCGGCGCACCACAGTGTATGTGCCACTCTATTCCATCCCTTGCAGCTCTCCTAAGTTCACTTTTTGTACTAATCCCTTCACATTAGATTTCTTCGTGGATGTCCAAGATAATGCCCGCTTGCACGTCGCAGCGCTCACGCACCCGGATATCCGTGAGAAGCGCATTTTCGCATACGCCGCGCCCTACACCTGGAGGGGCGTGCAGCGAATCCTCCGGGAACTGTACCCTGGGAGAATGTTTGGCGCTGATATTCCCGATGCAGAGCTTGACAGCAGTGAGATCGTTCTCGCTGGCGCGGCCAAGGGATGGTTGAAGGATTTGGGACAGCCCCGTTGGACGAGCTTGGAAGAGTGTGTTAGGTTGAACACTGAAGATCTGAATTGATAGCTCGAGCGATAAGGTAGGTTGCCTAGTCCTGGCCCCGAGCATCAATGTATTTACTTCTTTTTCTTCTATTACAAAAGATGGCAAAGCTCGCCTCGCTAGTGTCAAGCCTACACACTCCTGCGGATTGGTTAGATTTCTACACCAGGAAGGTACAGTTGGCTGTGATTGTTTTCCTTTATATTGATGGGTGGGACATGGTCCAGCACCGTCAAGACAAATTTAAACGCATAATTAATAGTTGCTAAGACGGCATTGATGACCCAACCTCATCGCTATCGAGCGTGCCCAAGATGCATCATCCTGAATCCTCTTAATAGACATTAAAACCGCCGTCTACAGTTATCGGTGGGAGGAGCTTCTAAGTTCTGGCACTACTAGAGTAATCCACCAGATGTTTTCAGCTCCTGTCGCATCCATTCCGGTTCCGCACGCCGTCTTAAGCATATATTACTACTCTTCTCTGACCGAAGTTTAACATTATCTGATTGGGGCACACGTCGTCTATTTATCCTCGGACATCACCAATAGGTTAATATTAAGCGGTGAGATGGAGGATATTCCCCCCGAAGAAGGGAGTAAGATCTCTTCCGCTGCTCCACTGGAAATAATTCCGCCATCCCATCTGAATGATCCGATGTTTTTTTTCCATATCAACCCCTCCGTTGACGCGAATAGTAATACTGGAAATGATGGATGGGTAAAGGACTGGGGCGGCTAATGGGGTAACTACAAAAGAGTAGCGGCGGAAGAAGTTACCTTCCTCTTCTAGGTTAGGGAGAGCCGAGAAAGCCATGCAACATAGACAGAGCCTCCGAACAATTCCCCGAACTTGACCAAGCCAACGATCCTATAACAGTGAGCTATGCCGCACCGAGGCAACGTGAAAGGCGTGACATCACACAATGTTCCTACGGCCCGACTTCAACCACGCTGCAAACATGGCAATTAGTCTAGTTGTATCCGGCCCTTTATATGAGTCTTATTGCTGGGAGCCTTGATTGTTAGCCGGGAACGAGGAATAAATACGGATTAAACGGAACCCCGCATATGCATACTCCGCATTTTAGTCCGGGGATTGCGAAGATCATTGGGAAATATCCTTGTGAATCGGCACAACTTTGTCTACGGGTGTGGTATCGTGCGAGACAGCATGCCCGGTTCTTTTCTCGGCCGTACCATTGCGAAATGCTTTCTAATTCCCACTCGGGGCCCCATTCGAGTTTGATGCGACGACAACCACCTTGATGCTGAAGCCGACGAACGTGAGGGGCAAATGAGAAAATTCGACGACAACTTCCGATCCCATCGAGGGATACTGCAAGTTATATAAGACTATGAACGGCGCCTGACCTGTGCTATTTAGAATCGAGCAGTCAAGCCTCTCTCTCCGGGCTTCCCCAAGCATCCATTAAAAATGCGCCTTCAAAAGCTGCTCACGTCGGCTATAGCCCTCAGCGGCTCTGTCTTTGCACAGAGCAAAGAAGGTGTCGACCCCCTGGATGATTCCGGCAATGACCTGTACGAAAAGGACCTCTCCAAATGCCCGGGATACAAGGTTACGAAGTCCTGGAAGACTCGGTCTGGTTTTAATGCTCACCTGTCTCTCGCTGGGCAGGCATGCAATGTCTTTGGGACTGACCTCCCAGACTTGAACCTGGAGGTCGAATATCAGACCGACGATCGACTGCACGTCAAGATCCTGGATACGAATAACACTGTTTACCAGGTTCCAGACGACGTCTTCCCGCGCCCTGGTTTCGGCCAGTGGTGTTCTCCAAAGGACTCCAAGCTCAAGTTCAACTTTAATGCCGACCCTTTCTCGTTCACGGTATCCAGGACTGACACCGGCGAAGTGCTCTTCGATACCACCGGCAACAAGCTAGTATTCGAAAGCCAATACGTCTACCTAAAGACGCACCTTCCGCAGAACCCTCATCTTTATGGGCTCGGAGAACATAACGACCCGTTTATGTTGAATTCGACCAACTACACGAGGACCATTTATACTCGGGATGCTTACTCGACGCCTGAAGGTGAAAATCTATACGGTGCCCACCCAGTCTACTTTGACCACAGGAATACCGGTACCCATGGAGTGTTCCTGCTCAATTCCAACGGCATGGACATCTTCGTCGACAACAAGGATGGTCAGCAGTACCTCGAATATAACATCCTCGGTGGTGTTCTAGATTTCTACTTTGTTGCTGGCCCCTCTCCACGGGAGGTTGCCATGCAGTACGGTGAAATCACCCAGTTCCCGCTCATGGTGCCCTATTGGGGGCTCGGTTTCCATCAATGCAAATACGGATACCGCGATGTCTACCAAGTTGCCGCTGTTACTGCCAACTACTCAGTCAACAACATCCCTCTAGAAACGATATGGACGGATATCGATTACATGGACCGTCGGCGCACTTTCACAATCGACCCGGAGAGGTTTCCGGCCCATCTGTACAAAGATCTCGTGGACACCATTCACGCGAGGGATCAGCACTACATCGTCATGGTCGATCCTGCCGTGTATTACAAGGAGTCGAACCCGGCGCTTGACGCAGGCCTGGAGCACGATATCTTCATGAAGGAAACCAATGGCTCTTTATACCAAGTTGTGGTTTGGGCCGGTCCGAGCTACTTCCCGGATTGGTTCCACCCCGAGTCTCAGAAATATTGGAATGAGCAGTTCCTGGCATTCTTCGACGGAACGAATGGTCCAGACATTGACGGATTGTGGATCGACATGAACGAGCCTGCAAACTTTTACAACCGCCCCTACCCTGGCAATAACACAACCCCGGAGCACTTCGCCGAGGTGGACGGTGACCCGCCGAAGCCACCGCCGGTCAGAGATGGCCCGGACGCTCCCATCCCTGGCTTCCCTGACAGCCTCCAGCCGAACTTTGCTTCCACAAACACTGCGGATATTGAGCGTCGAGACGTTGTAGCCAAGCCCCGTCGCAGCTCGTCCCGCTCCAAGTCTAACAGAGGTGCGGGCCGCTGGCGTTCTGGCAGGCGTGAGTGGGGGCAAGGTGGTCGTGGACGCCCTGGTAAGGGGTGGCAGCACGGCAAGAAAACCGGTTCTGGCTGTGGACCTAACGAGTGCAAGGGTCTGCCAAACCGCGAGCTCATTCGACCACCATACATGATCCAGAACGGCGCAGGACCCACGCTGGCCGATAGTACAGCCGACACGGATGTTGTGCAGAGCGGCGGATACGTTCAGTATGACACGCACAACCTTTACGGTGCTATGATGTCCACTCATTCTCATAATGCCATGCGCGCTAGGCGTCCGGATGATCGCGCTTTGGTCATAACCAGGAGCACGTTTGCCGGCTCTGGGAAAGATGTCTCGCACTGGCTTGGAGGTAAGGATCTGTCTAGAAACCTGCATACTAGAAACAGCAACAGTAGGAACTAACAGCATATCAGATAACATCTCCGGGTGGAGTTGGTACCGCCGCTCCATCAGCCAGATCCTGCAGTTCGCATCTTTGTATCAGATCCCAGTCGTGGGTCCGGATGTCTGCGGATTCGGTGGTAACGCAACCGAGACTCTCTGTGCTAGGTAAGGAGAGACTGAATAGTTTTCCTTCTAGCAGTTTGGGCTACAACTAATAATGGCTGCAGGTGGGCATCGCTTGGTTCTTTCTACACCTTCTTCCGCAACCACGCCGAGATCTCCGCAAATCCGCAAGAGTTCTACCGCTGGCCAAAGGTAGCCGAAGCCGCACGAAAGGCAATCTCCATCCGATACACCCTCCGTAAGTTCTCAATGCGAGCATAGCCCTCCCTAAGACGAGAAAATGGTTTCCCTTCTGACAATAAATCGCAGTTGATTACATCTACACCGCCCTCTACAAGCAGAATCAGACTGGAACCCCGACGCTCAACCCTCTCTTCTTCAACTATCCGAGTGACCCGAATACGTACCCTATCGACCTGCAGTTCTTTTACGGCGATGGAATCCTCGTGAGCCCTGTCACAGAAGACGACGGCACGACGGTCAATTTCTACCTCCCCGACGACATTTTCTACGAATGGGGCACGGGCAAGCCGGTCCGCGGACACGGCGAATACGTGTCCGCTGATGTCGATGTAACGGAGATCACCCTTCATTACAAGGGCGGCATCATTTACCCTCAGCGAGTCGAAAGCGCCAACACCACCACCGCATTGCGTAGGAAGGGTTTCAACATCGTTGTCGCGCCTGGCCTGGATGGTTCTGCAGAGGGTTCTCTGTACCTCGATGACGGCGAGTCGGTCGTGCAGGATGCCGTGTCAGAGATTGACTTTAAGTATGCGGACGGAAGGTTCTCTATGACTGGCTCGTTTGACTTCGACGCTAGTGTAAACATTGAGGCGATCACTATCCTCGGTGTGGAGCATGAGCCAAATGGGGTTGAGGATGCGGACTACGATGCTGAGAATAGGAAGTTAGTGCTGCACGTCGATGTGCCATTGACCGGGAGCTACGAAATAGCCATAGCATAAGTTAGGACAAGGGTCATAATTATGGGAGTCGTTGCCAAACCCGACTCCCCACGTATATGAAAGGCATTTGATGAGAAAGATTTTTCAGTTGGCGAGTCAGTAGCTGCCTCCTGTTTATTTACCCAAGTAGGCCATTGTTCCCACAACTAAATGGGCCCCCAAATCCTGCACCTTTGTACCCCTGGACGATGCTGTCGACGGAAGCGTACGTGCCAACAGTCAAGAAGAAGATACTAATAAGAATCAAGATAATGTTAAAGACCAAGCCGAGCCAGCAGCGGAACCCACGAGCCTCCCAGAACCTGGCGCCATACGTAGCGCGGCGCATGCGTAGGTAAGCGACTCCCCAGAAAATAAAGCCGAAGAAGCTGTCGAAGAGCGAGCTCATGAGGGCTAGCAGATCGGCGAAGAAGGGGATGACTTCGGAGATGATGAAGGCCAGGATCCAGGTCACGCCTAAGATGCCCGCCCAAGCGGACCATCCGACGACGGTGTTTTCGCCCATGCGGCGGGTGCCGGCGAAGAGGCGGAAAAAGATGAAGCGGGCGGATACGGACGCGTACAAGACGCCGAGGAAGATGATGGTGGGAATCATGAAGCTAAAGCTGACCTTGAGATACGTGATGTTACCCAGAGAGCCAAAGGCTGGGGCCGTGTTATAATTGGTACCAGTGTAGGCATAGATGATGGAACCGACCAGGGAAAAGACGATAACCTCGGCGATGGTGATAGCCCAAAGAGCCTTGGGGAAATCCTTGGGCTCTTTCATCTCGGCGATAAATGAGGGGAGGACGATCTGGCCGATGAAGGTGTAGCTGATGTTCATAAAGGCGTTGAGACCCATGACGAACGTCGTGCCCGGTGGTGGCCTCGTGTAGAAGACGGTGGGGTCGCCCAGAGAAGGCCAGCCAGCGCCCGGATGATCTTCGACGGCAGCGAAGATGGTCGCCAGCATGACGGACACGAAAGTGAACAAGGCAGAGAAGGTGGCGATGAGAGCTAAAGTGCCAAAGGTCCGGGGTAGCGAGCATACCCAGGATACCACGGCAGTGATGGCGCTGAAGCCGACAGTACATACGGCGCTGTGGCCGTTTGTCATGGTGTTAAGATACTTGGCTCCGGTGAGGCAGTGGAAGCCCTGGATGAAAGTGTTGTTCAACAAGAACATGACTGCCGTGAAGTACCAGGCCCATTTCTTGTTCCAGAAGAGTAACTGGCCAATGTCACAGACATCTTTGACTTCTGGGTGGCGCATGCAAAACTCCCTACATGTGACGGTTTATGAGTGTCTGTGTTCTGTTCAATGCGCGAGTGAGAACCGGTTGACTGGACTTACCAGACGATCAAGGAAGTGTATAACACCAGACCGGCGACCACGACCGTCAGGATCAAGCCTGGGACGAGACCAAGAGTGGCGTAGGAGTATGGGAAGGACATGATGGCCAAGCAGATGTACTCGGAGAAGAGGAGCGCAGCCGTCTTTGTCCAGCCGCATGTTCGGTAGCGGATGGCATTGTCAGCCTCTAGCTCTATTTGCTTGCCGATCCACACGCTTGCGTCGGAGGCGGTGTCTCCGGTGACGGCACCTCCATCGGCATGGGAAACAGCTTTAATGATGGGTTTGCCAATGCGAGCCATCTTCCGTACTTCCCACGAGTCCGGCGTGGTTTGGGATTCCGGGTCTTCTGGTGACAGGCCATCGGCGACATCGGCCTTGACAGCCTTCTCCTCGCTAAAGACCCCTATCGCCATGTTGCAAACTAAGAAACTAACAGTAACAATGTCAAGAAGGTAACACACATTAAAAGTAAGGTGTGACAACGAAAATATTGATAGGTAAGAATAGTTAGTAGCGTAATCGGAGCTGCGTCGATTAGACAATCCGGAATAGGTGCCGTGAGGAGAGCCGTGTTGTTATACAATATTATAGGAATACATGCATCGTGACAAAATTCCCTAAATGGAGAGCATCACATATCAGTAATCCGTAGTAAACGAGAAAGGCTATTGCGCCATGCAAACTCAAAGTTGTGCAATTCAATGTCGTGCGCAGGAGATGCAATGTTAGAACGGAAGATCGGCACCGCAGTCGCGTGTTACATATAAAAGACTGTCAGAATGTCAGACTCGCGTGGGCGGGATCCCACTATTCGGGCCCACGCAAAGTGGATAATAAGGAATCTAACGATGTCACGTTGAGAACATTCGAATGGAAAGGAGAGGCAGCGGTGCTTCCGGGTGAGGCAAGGACGGGAATTGTTTGTTTCGAAATAGAGAGCACCCTAGGGGGAAAAAGACTTTAAACCGAACTTACTCGTGGACCTTGCTCTTCCTCTGATTCCCAATTCGACAGTAGGCTTTGCTAGAACAGATTTAGCTCCAAATTATGGACTCCTTCCACTACAGAGTGGCCTGCTCGCTCACTTTTTGACATGCGGAGTGGCTAAATCTTACACACTTCACTGAAATCTAATCAGGATCGGCTCGGGGTGAAATCAAAGCGGATGTACGTACAAAATTCCTAGGGGTCATTATATCCGCGGAGCTGCGTACGCTTATATTAACACATCGACAGCAGCTGAAAGCCCTCGGGCAGTCCTGGCTCTGGAGAGACCCAAGAGCCTGTCGTTTGGGCGTGTGGGGAAAATCCTTTCCTTGGACGGTTTGGGGGATCGGGGATCGGGGACGCCGCCGACGTGCAGATATGCATGCCTGCGGTCAAGTCCGATGGAGTGAGGAAATCCCAAGGACAGGGATTGGAAGTTTGGAATACAAAAGATGTGCTCGGGAAGTAGTTTACATGAAAGAGAGTAACCACCCCTCTGCAGCTGGAGCGAAGCCAGGGCAATCCCCTTTATACTTATTGCATTGGTATGCGAAGCATGACCAAGGAATGTATTGATACTCCTCAGTAAAAGGCAAGTGGTAAATCCCAGTCATAGAGCCAGTCTAGGCGACTTTAAAATATACGCCGGCGACAAGACCTGATCAGCCCCCAATTCTCCGAAGTTGAGTTAATATTCGGAGGAAAACATGGACAGTCAGTCGGTTAGGAGATTTTAGGCGAAACATACTACGAACGACGAATCGGAAAATAGATCAGTTAATCGACGCCGCAATGGGAAAACCAACCGTGGAAAGCCTAGGCTTGGCAAAGGCTTGTTTTGGCTAGCCCTTGCAGCCACCGATCCAGATTCGGATTGGCAAAGACGTTCGCACGGAATGATGCTGCCAAGAAATAAAGAGCAAGATGGCGTAGGCTGGTTTGCCCTACTAAATAGAAAGGGTCTCGCTATCAAAGGAAATATGGTCGTTGCCTGGTAGGAATGCTGTCTGCTCTGCATCTCTGAATAGGACACACATCAATGAACTCTCTGGGGGCTTGATGCTGCTCTATAAAATATGGCAGCAATCTCCAGTCCTGTTTCTCTTGCCGCCTTTTTCGTTATCATCCTTGCCTCCTATCCCAAGAGCAAGCACTTCCCACTCTATACCAATGGCGGACAGACAGGGTATTACAACTCCCATTGAGAAGGCGGGCCTAGGGTTGGGTCCCGCGATAGATTCCCTGGATCTTAGTGAGGTGTATCGAGAACTGCGCCGGATAGATGAGCTCGAGCGAGGAATTATTCCCCGGCTTAACAAATCGGCGCGCCTGTCTGGGGGTATCGAAAACGAGGGTGAGACTTCTGAGAAGGGTGGGGGAGAAGTTTCTATAGAGGACGAGAGCGATATCCTCCGGCGTATAGACTCCCTACGCGACTCCCTCCGCGAAAGGGCAGCCTACCTCTCAAAAGGAAAAATTAGGGCCCAAAAGGTGTCTGATCTCCCGCTCGACATCCTGCAGCACATCTTTGACTTTCTTGGATACAGAGAGTACCCCATCTCCAAACTCTGGCCCCACCAGCACTGGATGAAGTACTCATTTTATTTCGACCAATATAGGAGGCAGTGCGTCCGAAACGCCCGGCTGACCTGTCGCCTCTTCAATAATCTAGCTTCCCCGCTTCTCTTCCCGTCTCTCCGGGTCACCATGGATAAAGAGTCTCTGGAGATCCTCGACGAGATTTCCAGAAGGCCTTACCTTGCGTCGGGGGTCTACGGCGTCGAGGTAGTGCTCAGGAACAAATATCCCGAAAGTATTACATTCCTGACCGATGGCTCCGATGTCGATCACCGAAATCAACGAGAATTTGATGCTCTCAGCGCCAACTTGTCCTTTTCCAGTGGCTTAGCAACGGCGATGGCGAGAATGCCGCATGCCCATGTTCTCAACCTGAAGGATTATATTCCTGGTTGGGAAAACCCGCTGCCGCCGAGGCTCCGACGCCCAATCCTCCCTATCCCAGAAGCGGTACAGCAGTTCGTGTCGTCCCCGTTGCAGTGGAGCGCCATCCACTCACTGCCGACTGCCGGGGAATTAAAGCCTATACTGCTCTGGGAGATTCCTATCGCCCTAGCTAAGGCCGGAGTTCAGGTGCGCTCGTTCCACCTTGAATGTTTCCCCTTGAGAGGCGGCTTTCCCATGCTTCTAACAAGCGTGAATCACGCCCATCCAACCGCTTCTCCGTGGGGTGAATTACAGGCCGCCTTCGGCCAGGTCCGGCATTTTTGTTTCAACAGTGGGACGTCGTACCCCGTACGGGAGAGCTCGCTCGTACCAGACGACAAACTTTACGCCGATAACTATCTCACTGCCGTGCTTTCAAGTCCCCACCTTGAGGGATTCAAAGTGCAGTTCACCTCAGAGTATATGCCGCGCATCGACATAGATGGTGACGAGGAGTTGGACGAGGAGATGTATACTACGATGTATAATGTCACCTCACTGCTCATGCCATCCATATTTACGGGCGTGCCGTTCCTGAAATACGCCGCTATAACCGGCGCGGCCGTGGACCAGGCCGCCCTCGAGGCGTTCTGTCGGTCGCTTGGCCCTGGGTTGGCCCAGCTGACCTTGTCCCGAGTCCACCTGGCCGAGGGAAGTTGGGCGGAGATCCGGCAGATCCTCCGGGCCAAGTTCTTGGACGCGTTCTTGGCGGAAAGGTCTATCCTTCATATTCACGCGTTGACTGGAGGCGAATATGGGTTTAACGAGTTTAGGGAGATGCGTTTCAACCCCAAGTTGACGTTGGAATTTCTGGGCTCGGAAGAGGCCTCGCGGTAAGGTATTTTATATATTATTGTAGACACGTCCCATGCGGCATGGATATTGGACGAACACCCGCGTTTGTGAACAATCGCCATGCGCAGCCACAGCGCCGCAGCATTACCACTTGTACTACTAGCATTTACCAAGATCGTCGCAACCCCGTAGTAATAGACTTTCCGTTTTTTTTCAATAGGAATTATCGTGTGAGGTGGAAAGTGGGGAATACTGGAGAAGAAACGATACGATATCGCCTGGTGTTTTGTTGCCAGGAGTCAATTGCGTTAATATCGTTTGGTCCAATTCAGGCCTCCCAAGTCCGGGCGATAAACCTTTGTTCCATCAAGCCTCTGAGTCTTCCCGTGGTAGTAAGAGCTATTTCGAAGTATTGAGGAATTGTACTTGGCCAGTTCTCTAGCGCAAGCTGCTAATTCGACATCACTCATGCCCTTCTCATATCCAGCCATTCCCGTTTGCTCTATGAGGTTGTCAAAGTATGGCCTTAGTGCAATTGCCGGATCTCTCATAGTGTTTCCTTCCGGTTATAAGAAGGCGAACTTCTCATCGCCTACACGAACATTGACATGAGAGTGCCTTTCCGAGTTGTAATTGCATCGCGCCTCCCAGTAGTTGCTGCGCTTGATCTTGACAACAATCTCTTCTGATTCGTTTCCATCCGGGATGACGACAATCAATCTCACCTCGTCCATTGTCGATTTGTTCCCCTCTCATTTTTTGGTTTGAGGGAAACTGGCTGAGTCCAATCTTCATGTCTCTAGCATACTCGATGGCATCCGGGCTGCCCAGGGCCTGGAGAGCGTCGCTTAACAGGATTTTACTCGGGATAATATATTCGAACATCCTAGTTTAGCCTTTTAGGGGACTCTAATAAAAGGGGGGGTAGAAATTGGATGACGGGCGAGATATTACACTGGCATGGGTGGAGGGACAACATACCTTTACGATATTCTGGCTAACGGTCGTCGCCTGTACAACCTCATGTGACAAAAATGCCCAGGAGAGGTATCAAATAGATACGGGATGAGAATTTTTAGCTATTGGAAGGTTATAGAGGCAAGCCGTCACTGGTTCATTTGAGTCTGACATACCCGATTGCCAATAAATGGTAATTGACCGACCACATCTGCTCCGAGACAACACCAGCCTTTCCGAGAGCTTCTTTACCCAGTTAGCAGAATAAAAAGGAAAACTCAGGAATCAGAAATAATATCAGGGACGTGTTTATGTTTTCTTAGTGAGGAGGAAGAGCTCGACATCGGCCTAGATGTCAGGCAGAGTGCACATTCTATTGCTTGAACTCTGTACTATTGGGATTTCTTGTGTTCGTATATCTCCACCATATGTCCCCTTTCCGTTTTCCAGTCCTCGACATTCATCGACAGTGCCTCGAGTAACTGTGCAGAAAATTATATCGTGTCATATCCACAGGACAGGTCGAACACGAGGCCAGCTGCGATAACAGCAGCATCCTTTGGGATTTCACCCACGCGTCCGATCCTTCCGACTACCAATCGGTCTGGCACCGCGGCAGGATTGGATTGATCCTCTACAGCTTCGCGCTGGACGCACCAGCCGACTTGCCCTTGATGAAGATAGGCTTAGCCGTAGTGAAGTTCGCCACATCGGCAATGACCTCCTGGGTGACCGGGTTGGCCGAAGCCGCCTCAAAAGCCTCGGTAGATTTCCATCTCAAGATGGCTTGTACCTGGTACTGCTGGCCCTCGTCGAATTGCAGCACTTCCCAGCTCAACAATCCAAGGGGTCCCCACTTCCTACCAGCGTGATGAGTGCTGTAAGTGACGAGAAAAAAAAAAAGAAAAAAAAAAAAAAAAGGAAGAAGATTGGAATTAACGGTAGGGAAGGAAGGCATATCACTCACTCCTCAACAATCGCGAAGTGCTTGGTCACATAGTAGTCAATATCGAACTTGGGTCCGGATTCGTACGAGACGGTAACGGTGGTTGTCATCGTGGCGGTTGTGGTAGTATACTTGAACCTGGAATGTAATCTTCGGTGGAAAGGTGAAAGTTGGCGTGAATCTTTGGTTTAAGAGCTGTGATGCGAAAGTTAAGCTGAAATGACTCCTCTCTTGCTCGCAGAGATCCCCGCACCTGAGCTGCAGATTGCCGAGGCACACGCCATTGGGAGAGACCAAATCGAGCGAGCATCCGAAAAGATGTGATTTATAATCGGAAAAACACTGAATATTATTGACGCGCTACTAGCGTCCTCTTCACCTCATGCGTTCGTCCCTGGCCAGGGACAGGTGCGCCAATAGAGATCTTATCGACGCGCTAACGACCGCGTCTTCAACGCTAAATTGGTTTGATGTGGACCACTCTGAAACGCTGAGTTCCCCATGCGGCAGCCACTAGGTCAATAGAACCGTCGGCCCAACTTGAGCTCTCCCCCGAAGCATGCAGGGTCTGTGTGGTTGAGGGAGACATCAGACTCTTTACCCCATCGATCATTCGTATCTATACATCCCTTTCTGCCCAGGACTGGATAATTCCCACGTTGCTCTCCTCATACACTTTCAGCTCCACTTCGCTATCTTTGATGAACGTGTTTGCCTGTACAAACTTCCATCGAGGCTCCGGTTTTGAGCACACGATTCGCCTCCACTCCTCGTATACACCCGAGACGGCAGAAAGATCCTCGTACAGCGCTCGGCAGGAATCCACGTCGGCGATGCAACGCCAGACGTGCAGGCGGCAGAGGAGTCTTCCAAGGGCGGGTTTCCCGTGCGATATAATCTTAGAGCGATCAACGCGGACAGTAAGGTTCTGGGCATTACCGTCATGTTCGATAGTTAGCACGCCACCTCCGTCGGTCACGAGTTGTTTGAGAATGACAAAATGGCCCTAAGATGATTAGGTTAATAATATTGAAAGAAAAGGAGGATAGTATGGCTTACCCTTTTGTGAGCCTCGCCCCACGTCTGGTCTTTCACATTAAAGTGCTCAAGTGCCTGGAGGCCTTCAACACCTATCTGGATATACGTGTTATAAGTGACTACACGAGATCAGTAAGAAACTGGAATATGACCGTGGTTACGACGCTGATGCGGGCCGGGGCGAGCTACTGACGATCGTCCGCAGTGACGCTGCTGTTTTCATCGTAACCGAAGATGGATAAAAGTTCTTTGTTGTCCATGAGGTACTCTGAAATCAAGGTCGCGCGGCATTCCTCGACAGAGGGCGCAATGTCTTGGAACACACTCGTCCAGGTCTGACCGGGTCGGTACCACGATCGGATCGGTTCGTTTGTGAGAGGGTTGAGCGGCGGATTATTGCTGTCGAAATTGAATTGCCCAGGGGCACTCTCGCTCAGGAGCTTTCCGGCGCCGTGTCCAATCAACTCGTGGACGGCGGTGGTGATGAACCTCACAATATGGGTGCAGGTCCTGAAGCTCTCGACCTCTTGGGGATCGACATAGTGGCAAGGGCTCGTTGGGCTGTGGTTGGTGCTCATACGGTTGGCAATTACGACATTTTTAAAGCCGCTCGTCTCTCGAATGTCATTGTACTGCAGTGAAAGTCAGCTGGCGGTTGCATCATTTCAGTCAAGGGTTTTTCTAGACTCACATTGGGTAGATTTGCTGCCTCCCAAACCACGCTCGCGCAAAATGCGAGAGCTGCTAGCGTTAGGGGGTCTAAAATAACACTGATACCGTAACCAACATACCGTGAACACTCGTAAACTCAGGGGCCTCGAACAGAGCCTTCTCAAATGGCCCTTTGCCGTCGTTGTCCCCATCAACAGCCCAAGGGAGCAAGCGGATGAAGGTGGAGGACTTTTCCACAAACTCCCTCAGTCTCACTGTCTCATCCGGATCGGAAATGCAGACGACGCCTTCCCATTCGGCACGGACCCCATAGGGATCGCGGTACGGCTCGACAAAGCCAATCATATTTTCAACGGTTGGGGATCTGTCGGCCACCCACGCCTTTTGGGACTCGCGGAACGCTTGAAGACTCCCAGTTTGAAAGCTCCTAATGTAATCGCCAAGGATTTGGATTTGTCGGTCGTTAGCTGCGTAGTTCCTGGCTTGCTCCAGCTCGAAGCACACCTTGGAGAGTTCCTGGGAATGGTCTCCTTGCACCACTCGTACGACACCGTCTAGATCGCCAGAGTGTTTCAATTCGAATACGCCGTCGGCGTGTCCCGATGCCTGGAGGATATGATATGCAACATTTCCGTTGTCAACAATTTTTCTGAGCCTGGTATTCTCTGGCTCGAGGAAGTGACTTCCCATGACGCTAGACACCAGGGCAATCTCCTGCCGGGTAATGCGCTCGTTTCCCGGGTAGTAGTTCGAGATGGTATCGTTGGCGGGAAACCCTAGACTATAAGGTGGCGTGGAGAATATCGCGTCGATGGTATTGGGCAGAAGATTTGTAGCTGCCGCAGAAATGGCGGCAATCTTCCATAGGCTCTCTCGGGAGAGTTCGGGCACGATCTTTTGATTACCTTCGCCCTGCCACCGCCTACAAGCATCAGCAGACATGTCACAATCAGGCAGTATGAAACGCTTGAACTGTAAGAGGAAGACCTACGTAATAGTTGCCAAGGTTGCAAAGGAATAACGCAGCATATTCTAAGAAGGCCTCCAGCTCGTCTTCGGTAATGCCGCAACGGTCAGTCAACGAGTGCCACTGCCCTTCGCAAGATCTGTGGATCTGTAAAATCAGCTCAAACACCGAGATGGATTCGGGTGACGTTTGCCGCATGATTATTCTGCTGCCATGCCAGGCCGCCCGGGATAAGTGATGCGCGTAGAGCTTGTCCCGACTTGAGAGGCGGTGAAAAGTTGCCTCAATTTCCAATTGATGTACGGCCGCTCTAGGCCGAGAGCTGTCCCTCTTCATGGCAGGTTTGGCACCGTGGCTGGGGGACGGTTTACCTGGCGAGGTTGGGATGGTAACGGGTTGCGAGTTCGTGGTTTGTAGGAGTTAAGATCTACTGCCAAGTATTTCCATTGAGACTCGACAAGCCAGCAAAATTATAAAGAGCATTCCTTATGTCACGTGCATTTCCCAATGGACCTCCGTGAAGTAATAGAACCCAGGGAAGGACAGAGTCTGGAGGAAAGGGGGGAAAGCCTTGCTACACATCGAAACGACTGGGGGAGGGCGATCTATCTGGCGATCAGATAGAAGTACATTCCTACGGAGTATACTTCTGGAAGGAGGGAGAACAAAATGTCCGATGGCCCAACAGATGCCTACTTAGGAGGCACGAAAGGCTTTGGTTGTCTCGGATCGGGGTTTGAAATTTTGGGGGGTGGAGATCAAATTGATGCGTTTGCGGAGGGTAACTGAGTAGGAAGGGCGACCCAACCAAGTGTATATCTCTAGACTTTACGAAGTAGGGATGGCGGGCAATCGGTACATCTCCCGAAATCCTACCCCTATTATTTGACTAAATGATCCAAGAAAGAAATACTCCGTAGACCGACCCGTACGCTCCTTTGAACAGAGCCATGGAATACGAGCGTCGAGTGACCACATAAAAGAGCCTCATTTACAACAAGTAGCCGAGTGCTATGGTCAGACCAGGCTGCGGCGCTGGCACCCGCGACGCGTGAGAGACGCGTGATGCATCAACCTGTGCTGCATGACACAACCCGCTGCACGACTGCGAGAACCAATGATGTTACAGATAATAGAGGCGACCGGTCTGCACGACCCCGTAATTCGTGATCCATGTACCGTGGACGGGTTGGGTACCTCAAAGTTGCGTCTTAGCTGTCTCATTAACATAGATCTAGGCAATTTTTTCACTTTCACCACTCTCGACATTTTTTTTCTTCTTCTTCGGTAATATTGATAACTATCTGATCGAATGACAAAATGAGTGTTCCTTCAACCCAATATCTTCTTGCTTGTAGCCAGCCTTTTGGCACCCGAAATAATAATATCCTCACAACGTGTCTAGGTCGAGGTGATCCGGGGTAGCTTGAGTTCTCAAGGACGCGGGCTGCAGCATAGTAGCTGTTTAGTGAATGTGAAGCACGGGTGAATGTAGTGATCTCTTACCGGACTGGTCTTTCTTTCTCTTGGCCCAAATTGACATCGGTGCGAGGATACAGGGCCACGGTGCCATGTGTACTCTTACCCGGCCCAGTATCATCCCCCTCATCATCCCCCTTATTATTGCAAACGATTGCAGAACTAGAGCTGCGGTTGGCATCGAGCTTACCAGCCCAGTCTTTCCATGGCTGTTTTAGGTTCTGCTGTTGAGCTTCGCTCGGCATGTTGTTTATCGAGCAACGAGGCCAGGTCTGTATTTCGTATTTCACAGTGTTTTTGTAAGTGTATGGGGACGAAGGGCGTGTGTGAGACAGCGGTGCGGGACTCAGAGGAGATGAGGAAGACCAAGGGGGAGGAGGGCTGATTAAGTAGTATTTTGGGATCTTCCGGTCCCGACTTTGGTTCCAATCTAGGAACTGGTCTGGGGGAAGTACTCGCGATCAGGATCATGGAAGAGTGGGTGTGGGAACATGGAATGAGACTGGCTGTGTGTGATATCCTGAGGCATTTTAAATGTATTCGGTGAGTCGGCTGTCAGTAATGTGATTGATGCAACATTCATGTTAGCATGAAGCACCGCTGCGGGCTGTAGCCTGTCTGCATATACCAGAAAGTTCAACTGCGTACCAGGTAGCGAGGTGGCCCCGTGGTCCCATCTAAACTGAATATCCTACCCCTCTTAACGACTAACCACTCCTACTCGAGTCTCCCAAATCGATGTTCAGCCAGGACTCCTCTCCTCCTTTTGATTACACCAAATACACTTTCATTCACAGCCATGGAGACGACAATGAACTACATCGCCCGAAGCCCCATATTCGAGACTGAGAAGGCATTTGATACAGACTTCCCGGTGGACAACATCGAAGGCGCCCGCACAGTCATCGTTCACCCTATCCAAGATCCCACTTACTGGGACCTCGACGTTCATGGGTTTTGCATCCTCAAGGAAAAGACAAACCTCGATCCCCAGGATGCATTTTCAAGAAAACGAGAAGTCCAGGAAGACTATTGGTTTGAAATCGAGGCCATCCTCCATGAGGCGTTCCCGCGGTACTCAAGGATAGAGAGCTATGATTGCACCGTCTGTTCATTTGATTTCTGTTCCATCTATTTTCTTGTTGACTTTGTTCTCTGCTTATAGTGTTATGCCTACTAAGAAGTCAGATTCATAGATTCGTAAACGGGACGCGGACTTTCCGAAGATAACACGACTTTACGTTGATTATGAACAGCCAGCAACAAGACCTCACAGCGACTGTTCTCAGGGAGGCGCCTACATGAACCTTGAGCACGCTTTTCCCCGGCAAAACCAGTTCTGGGAAGGCAAGGATTTTGACATCTTGAAGTTCGTATATGCTCCAGGTCGAAACATCATCCCCTATTGGCTTTTAACCCTGTGAGCTCAGCGTTTGGCGTCCCCTGGTTGGGCCTTGTGACGACTGGCCGCTGGCATTGTGTGATTGGACAACCATCGATCCCGAAGCCGACATCCTGCTGAACGACGCCTTGAGACGCGACCGAGTCGACGAGAACTCTCTACTTCACTTCAACCCGGCCCATAGATGGCATTACATTGACAAGCAGGGTACGGATGACCTCCTTGTCTTTCGAAACGCGGATTCCACGGGAAGGCGGGCCCGTAAGTGTCAAGGTGGCCCTGCCTGACGCGGTTGCTTCCTTTCTTCCTGCTTACGAGTGAAATAACTACCAGGCGGCTTTCATTGCTCGGTGCCCAACCCAAACGCGACCTCTGAGCCACGGCAGAGCGTCGAGGTCAGGCTCGTTGCGTTTTACTGACTATGACTGACAAAATAGCGACGGCCATTCGAGATTTGACAATAGTGTGTTTGACACTCCCCCCCCCCGCCCCCTTCTTCGTGTGTTTCATTTATCTCGACTTCGTTTTTACGCATGTACCTATGAACAGTCACAGAACACTTGTCATTGATGTGCGCTTTGATCTGATTGTGCTGGCATCACCATCCTCCCTGGTGAGGCAAGTAGCAGAAACGAGTGTCAGTTTAGCCCGGATGGAAGTGAATTCTCAAGTGGTTCACATAATACCGAATTACAGTTATATGAAGTTTTTTTTCTTCTATCATAGGGCTGTCTGACGTTGAAAACGTAGTCTGGCAGGTGATTAATATCACCACTAAGTAGCAAGGTCCGGTTGAGTCTACTCCAATCAATCCCACAGGGCATGTTACCCTAAGTATAAGTCGATAAGTACTTTGGGCTCTAAAATGAAATATTTTCGATAGATCTCGGCTGTTAAACTCTTTGGTTGCCTGGCTTGGGATGCATTATTATTGTCTGATTTGCCTGGCCTCTGGACTGGCATAATATAGCTGACCGGCGGCCAAACCTACTTGAACAGCGGAAAGTATGAGGGACAATCCGCCCACCCATAAAACAGCCCAAAAGGTATACCATTGGAGAGGATTCCTCCGATCACGCCAGAGGTCCCTCACCCGGCTTGGCTGTTGCCTCAAGCTATATCGCTGAAGGACCAGCAGCCGATTGCCAAAGACTGGAAAGTCATGTCGAGCAGAATAGGTGTCGGATTCCAAGATGGAACCATCAACGTCGAGAATGTACGGCGGGAATATACTCGGCGGCAAGCTGCTGCTTCGAGTGCCAAACTTGCAGAAGCGCTGCCAAACGCTACGGGACAGGTTGGCCGTGCAAATTGCATACAGGAAAGGATCATCCTGTCCCTTCTTCCCAGCCTCGGCCAGCAGCCCTCTGGCAAGGTCCCTCGATCGGGACGATTGGCCGAAAAGCAAACGGTAGGATAGAAGCACCTCGCGATATACTGTTGCAGGGTCGTCTCGTGGGCTATCAGCAAAAACGTCCCCCGGGACAGGGAACAATTCCTTCGTGATTCTGTGGGGAGAGAAAAGAGTTAATACGAATTCTCATATCTGGTCGGTATAAAACGGCGAAAGCAACTGACTCCCTCAATAGCTGTTGATATGTCCCGCGACCTATGATGTTCGCGACGCAAAAAGTAGGCAAACGGAAAACGTGAAGAATACGTGCGGACCGATCAAACCGTAGATGGTCGATGAGCGTGTTCACCCACTCGATTCGAACGTGGCCAATCTTGTGCAGTGTAAAGTAGTTCAAGCTCGACTCATACAGAACATTCTGGTCCTCGGGACCGTAATGTGATGTCGCATCAGCTTCCCGTGATTGAGGTTGCAGTCTAAAGTCGCGGAACATTTTGGCGACAGGTCTCCTTCCGCCTTGAGACGACCGCTCTACCGTACCGACCTGAGCAGAAAAGGAGAGCTGCCTGTTCGGCTGTGTGGTATTAGAAGAGCTCTGGGCAAGAATTGGTCTCAAGACCATAGATGTCCAGCAGAGTGAAGCGAATATACAAGTGATGACTTGGTGCTTCTCCGAGGGATCTACTTCCCCTGGCCGAGAGTGTCTCACTAGCATTTGATAGATCTTTTCCAGACTGGCCTCACCCTCTTGAAGCTCTCCGACAGCCCCAATAACAGCTCTGCAAAACTGCCAGCAGTTATCTCGACTACCGGGAACCAGACGATTGATAACACCGAGGTCCAGTGCATCGCCGCCTGCAACCAATTCGCGAAACGATTCCTCCATCTGGTCGCACACGGCATAAAGACCCGGCCACACTGAAATCGCCTCATCGGACAGGCCAAATAACGATCGAATCATCTCGTCACGAGAATTTGTTGTATCATCGTCTGTATCGCGCAAGTCCCTCCCGCGGATGCTGAGAGAGTGCCACGTTCTTCGTCTCTGTGCCATGTGTCCCTATTATGTGTGATGTGAGACGAAGTGGACCGAAAGCTCGACCCTTCAAGAACAGAAATATGGTACGTGCATAAAGCTGGGAGAGAGTGACTTACCTCACCTGCGTTGTTTGTTGACCAAGTTGAACCTCTCCGGCCTCGGCTCTCCAGGCCAGTTTCCACGTCGATTTCATTCATCTGGAACTCTGGACTCAAACGAGCTGTTGGTGGAATTCTGTCTTAGCTTTACTAAAAGGGAGAATAAGTGTCTCGATTAAAAAGATTCAACACTTTTCCCCAAAGAAATAGATGCCCGATAACACATCAGTAGGCATGGTTCGCCTTGGGAAGTGATGGCAGGATTTACTTTTGTATTCTTCGGATCTGGAACCTGTGGATGTACCTCCGTGTAAAAGTGACAAGCGAAAGCACCGAGACACGGCTTGGCTGTTGCATATTCGAAGAGAGGGCGTGGCGGACTTCGCTGATTTTTACGCTCGTCCATCCCTTGCCCATCCATGCCCGGCCATGTCCCTCCAATCAGGGCGGTTCCCCAGGTGCTGGTGCCACGGCCTTCGCCGATTAAGGGGTGTCCGGAAGCCTCTTTGAAAGTGAATTCTTTTTAAAAGTGCAGAGTAATAAAAGGCAGTGCATCTCAGCAAAAGGCAAGCCCCGCATCTCAGGCCATCTCTTCTCTATATGCCTCAATCTCTCTAGCTTGAATGGCATCTGTCCCCCTTCCAAAGGGTGAGCATTTGATTCGTTATAAACGTAAAAACGGTTCTATATATGCGAATATCAAATGATACGCCAAGGGGAGTAACCTCTGGTTCCAGTCGTCCCACCTTTACGAGGAGCAGGCCACTTACGAATTCTCACTTGGTAGACAACATGAATACCGATGAATTGTAAGCTCAAGACTCTGGATTCTTAGTTCGATGTTCTCACTCTTTATAGGGAAGGATATTTCCTATGGCACTGGGAGGAAATAGTTGGAAAGTGCATGAGGTCACCCGGTCTTGATCCCGATGATCGGGAGCGGATTCTCAATGGCGGCGACTGGAAAGATCTCCAGGCCAACCTTTCTTCCTCCGGCGATTATGCAGCATCACTGCCTCCCCACATGATCCTTCAAATTAAGCCGGAACTAGAGCATATCAGCACCTTCGCCAAGTTCTTCGAGACTCGCTTAGCTCCCAACCTAGATTCCGGCTTCCTACGGGGCATTATCGGGATCCTGGTACAGGTCAGAAGGTGGCTAACGTATATGATGATTTCGCAAGCGGCTAACTTGGATTGCCAGGCGACATTTGGCAATGAGGAGGCAGGGGTGCGAATTCCTCGCATGATCCGGTCGATCGCTTACAAGGCAGAAACCTTCAATTCGTTATGTGAGCAGTTCGGTCCGTCACAAGAGTTGGCTAACTCGGTCAAGGAAGCCTGCTTCAAGATGCAGGTTCAAATTGTGGAATTTTTCGTGGAGGCAATTGAAATCATCCGTGGCGAGCACTTGAAGTGCAAAGAGGAAGGTGAGCATAAGTCCGCGAGACGTAACCTTGACCGCGTTTCTAAATACTAGGAGCTAGGTGTAAATACGGATGACCTGTGGGCCATTCTTGAACTGCGGTACACCGAAATGAATCAAGAACTGTTGGAGAATCTTCGGCGTGTGGAGAGGAGGGTCGAAACCGACGCGTTATTGCGAAGCCAAGTCCTATCCCCTGGAGACGACCTACAGTCTCTTGCGCAGGCTTTCCGCTGCTTGCTGCTACCGAAGGCCAAAACGCCCTTGTTTGATCGTGTTGATGTTTTCAAAAAGATAGATGAGGCCTTGGGGAAAGCGGACTCGCTGTTTTCATCGGTGGCTTTATATGGCCTTGCCGGAGTTGGTAAGAGTGCGGTCGCTTCTACCTATGTCGAAAGGTTGGCGGAAGAAAACCGGGTTGATGTCGTTCTTTGGGCACACTCCGAAACAAGCGAAGCTCTCAGGCAGAGTTTCACGGATATTGCAATGAAATTGAAACTTCCGGAGGCCAAGCCACAAGAACCAGACAACAACCTACTACTTGTTCACGATTGGCTTCTGACAACGGGTAAGTTAATCGTTTCGGGAACCAGATTCGTCTTCCCGTTAACCATCGTGAGTTTTCATGTAGACTCGCGGTGGATCGTCGTATTCGACAATGCCGAATCGGAAAAGCTTCTGGCCCCGTACTGGCCAGGCGCAAGCCATGGAAAAGCCATCATCACAACGAGAAATCACAAGCTGGCGCTTAGACCCGCCAACCAAGGCTTCGAAATCCGTTCATGGGATTCTCATGATGGTGCGAACTTTCTTCTGTTCCTTTTGAAGCAGAATATCGGCCGTGATACCGAGGCAGAGACTAAATCCGCGCTGCAACTCTCGGAGATATTGAGCGGGCACGCACTCGCTATTCAACATATGGCAGGGCTCATCCACGGTCGATCATTCTCAATCACCGACTTCATGAATCACTATCTGAAAAACCCCAGGCGCATTCACAAACCGGGAGAGAAGAACCCTGCCAGGAGATCCGAACTCGAAATGCTGTGGGAGTACTCGTTTGAGTCGCTCAGAAATACAAGTAGCTTCTTGCTACTTGGTATAATGTCTTATTTAATGCCCGATAACATACCACAGTCCGTCTTCGAGATAGAATCAACTCAAGATAACAACCTTGCTCATCTGGACTTTCTTTTTGACGAGTTTGAGTATGCCCCCTCTCGCTGTCTCCCATGAAATCGGCCTCACTAACTTGGATAAACAGCCTGGCCGACTCTGTTGAGAGTTTGCTTTCTTTGTCGCTTGTTCACAAAAATCGCGACACGCGTGTCTTTTCGATACACCGCATGGTGCAACAGTACTTTAGGTACCATCTCACTGCGGCAGAACGGCAGACCACCTTCGATGATGCGGTGGCAATTGTGTATCAGGCGTTCCCGAAACAGGATAACATGAAAGCCCAACTATACGAACAATGGACAGAATGCAATAGATATGTCCAACACGTTCTTTATTTGAAGAGCCATTTCCGCATTGAGCGGAAGTTGAACCCGGATTTTAAAGCGACATGGCAATTCTGCGAATTACTCAAAGAGTGCCAAAGGTATGACTGGACGACTGCTCCTTGGCTCAGATTTTCCCTCCTTTTCTCTCTCTCTCCCCCCCTCTCTTGTTTTTTCTTTCTTTTTTCTTTCATTTTCTCCACCGCTCATGAGAACATCCTAGGTACATGTACGAATCGAATGCGTTACAAGATCTCCGAGAGCTTTGCGAGTGTAATCTGATTGCTGCCAACACACTAGACGATGGAGAGAGGACGACTGACCTGGTTGCAGTGATTTATTCGCACCAAGCGAACTTGGAAGAGAGCCTAGGTAACCCATTAAAGGCAATTGAGCTAAATAAGAAAGGTTATGAGATGCGACTCCGCGAAAGTGAATTAAAGCAGGGCCTCCTTGCCGGCTTCGAGAGCAACCTGGGCTATAATTACAACACCGCTAATGACCACAAGTCTGCCCTCCAGTGGTTTCACAAGGCCCGTGATCGGTGGTATCAGTGGATGGCAGACCAGGGCAAAGAGCCGGATTGGCCAACTCACATGAAGGCAAACACAGCGCGGTGTCTCGTTTATCTTGACAACCTCGCAGAGGCACGTCGGATTCTGGATGTATGCATCCCCGAGTTCAAGGTGGCAGCGCCGTTAAACTGGGGCATGCTGGCCTAGTGAGTTTACCATCAAATGTTTACTGTTCTTCAAGTGGTCACTTAAGCGACCTACTAATTCGGCAAAGTGCCTACCACATTCTCGGTACATTAGAAAGACGCGAGTCGAAGGTCCAGGGTAGGAGTGGCAATGCCAAACTAGGCGTTCAAAAGCTCGTGTTAGCCGAGGCCCATTTCATGGAGGCCCAGAATATCTGGCTCAAAGGAGACAATTCTCGCCACCACCCATTTAACGGAGGGTGCATGCACGGAATAGGTATATGCTGCCTGGAGCAGGGGAAGATCGAAGCTGCTATGTGAGTCCGGGGTTCTCTCGACTTGCCTCGTCTGATCTGATTCTTGATACCGCCTAACACGTCCTATTTCCCCAGCAAACACTTGCGTGACTCGTGCGAAGTTACGAAGCGTTACAGTGATACCATGCCTATAGAGCACGGGCGTTGTCTGTTCAAGCTGTCCGAGGCTCTGCTTCAAAGTGAGCAAGACGATGACGAAGAGGCCAGGAGGCTGAGATCTGAAGCGGAAGAACTTCTGAAGAAGAGAAGATCAGACACAAGCCACATAGTAGATGCTTCGTTCGACGATCTGATTCCTATATTCTGGAGGTAGTCTTCAATAGGAACGGCACTGGACGTCGTGGCTCAGGTAAAGTTTATTGAACAAGGTGGTACTAAATGACTTCCTCTAATAGGGGCCCGGACTATGAGTCTAAGCTGGAGGAGCTTCTCTAGTATAGCAGAGTATCGCCACCGGGAGAGCGCTAAATAGAGTGGGCATCAGAAATATGTGATTTGCAATCCAGAGCATCGATATTATTTGTTCGCCAGTCCTGTTCATATCACTTGACGCCTCGGTGGATCGAAAGGCGCCACGCTCTGTTCACAGCAGCAGTGCTGAGTAGGTCGCCGTAGCCGAGGGAAAGATCAAGCCCTTTTAGCCTATAGACAATGGTGTCTAGACGTATCTAGAGAAAACACAAATCGAACGGAACTTCTACTGCAATGTGAAATGAGTCTTTAAATCTTCCCTGCTATCCAAAATATTGTGCTAGGCTGGTTCACGTCATCTCTCAGAGCGGGAGTTGCTTCTCGTAATATTAAATAGTCCTGCTTTCTCGAGGCCCTTTCTCGAGGTCGCCTGGTGTTCCTTTTGGAGGCGAGCGGTCAAAGGTTGCCCCACGAGTAACCTTAGACGCCAGAAGAGAGTCTTTCCCCGCCCCAGAAGTTTGAGTAGTCCAGGTCGACTCACGAGGGGCCCTATAGCCTCCAGGATTCGGCGGACGACGATTGGCATCTCGCGCCATCGCTGCATCCCACAGCTTCTGGCTCCTAGCCCGCTGCGCCTGGACCTGCATCTCCCAGATTTCCCCTTCTACCCTCTCCACGATGTCGTCGATAGTCGGAAAGTTGAGATCGGGGGTGTAGAATCGCCACGTAGCTCGTATCTTTTCCCTGGCGTATCGTATTGCGATCCAGACGAGCGTCCTAAATCGCCGGCTGAAGCCCGGAAAGAAGATGAATGGCAGGATGCAAATGGATGTTGTGACTAGTACAATGAGGAGGGTGGTCAGTTTGACTTGGTTGGTGCTTCAAGGATGGAGTTAGGGTGGCTCACAAATAATCCAGAGCTGTCTCCGGATGGTAGTTGGATAAAAGTCTTGGATACGATCTAATCCTCGCTTCCGCATAGCGTTTCTGAAGTCGAGAGCGCTAGAATCACTAGGATCGGTATCGAACTCGAATTCCAAGGCATTCATCCCGAACAAGCTCGACATGAACGAAAGAGGAAGCTAAAGAGGATGTCAGTCAACCACAAAGCGTTATGGAGCAAACATCAGGTATTGTGTCTGGGGTGCACCTACGAAGATGATTGTCATGACTGTAAACAGCATGATGGCTTGCCCCTGCTTCACAGTCTCATCTCCCTGCACTATGGCCTGATACGCCTGGACAACGCTGGCCTGCTGCTGCTTCAAGTCCAACAGGTCCTTGACGTTCTGCGCCACACCCTCGGCGCTCTGCCTGAGACTCTGCAGCTCATCCATCCTACGGTCGACCTTCCGAGTGAGCTTCTCGACTTTGTCCTGGAAGGAAAGCTGGGCATAGTTGGGGCCATTGACGCTATTATCATCGCTCTCCCGTCCGCCGTCGGTATCGGCCCCTCTCCAGGAACCGTTATCGAAACCTTCGTCTTGGAATATGTCACTCGTTTGATCGATGAAGGTTTCGATCACTTCTCTTTGCTCCCTGATGACGTGGATCATCATGTCGAGTTCGTCGATAATGTCGCGGATCTCTTGCTGGAGATGGCCCTCTTTTGTCACATCAAGCAGAGGCAGAATTAGCTTGTCAACGTTTTGCTCTGTCCGGAAGAGGCCAGAGTTGAGTTTGTTGGAAAGGCCGTCGGAGAGCTGCCAGAGATGGCGGAGAGCAATTGCCTGTTGGTTAGACTGTTGGGATCGTCAGCGCCGAGAGCAAGGCAATGGAAGTGCGGAGAAGAAGGGGAAAGTAGGTCACTTCTCCGAAGTCATGTACATACAATGTTGCCAATGGATTCGCTAAAGATGTCCAGTACTTGCGGTCGTCGATCAGTCGTGATGGTACGATCGAAAAAGGAATCGAAACAGGCGTCCAGGATAATCACAGCCAGATCCCAAACAGAAAATATAGACGTCTCTCCGGGAGGCGTAAGCCTCCGAGCGATGACGTTATGGACTTCCGACGGGTCCTCTTTGCCCGAACCATAGCGTTGCGGGAAGCATGTCAGGATCGTATCATCGTCCAGGACCCACATCCACAGCTGATCAACCATGATGGACCTTGCAACCGCGAGACTATCCTCCCAGCACTCGTAGCATCCGTCCTTCTCGGCCTCGCCGTGGTCGATCCAGGCGAGCGGATGTGGTTCTTTCAAGTTCCCAATGCAGTCGTTGCCCATCGGCTCGAGCAGGCGGGAAGGGAGGCCGCCTGGGTTACTCGGCATGGGCTGGAACTTGTGCGGTATACGCGGTTTCGTGTGTCGGTAGACGACTTGGTCCCTGTCCCTCCGACGTGTCGAGTTCAGTCGCCACAGGTACGACTGGTCAAGCGAACGACGGGGATGAACGGGTGGGTTAGCAAAGAGATACTTGTCGAATAGCTTGAACTCCGGGTAGTGCGACATGGTCTCGAAGAGCCTAGCCGCATCAAGAAGATATTGTGCCAGCGCTTTCTTGGGCCCGCGTGGGATGAAACGACGCCACTCATCAATCCGTATGCCAGTAAAGACCTTGCTCGCCTCTTGCTGCTTTTCGTTCTTTTTCCAGTGGGCTGTCCTAACTTCCTGCCAAAGGACGTCCTCGAGGTTCTTCGTGATGGCGTTGGCGTAGTATCTGGACTTTTCTCTCTCTTCCCTCTCCTGCTCCTCGGGGGTCAGTTGCTCTTTGGATGCTGGCCTGCTTCGAGCCGCGACATCGACGGGGTCCCGAAGTTCGCCCCATTTCCTCTTTTGCATTTTTCGGATTTCATGGACGTAATCCTTGAACTTCCCAATCTCTTTGTCGTTATGGCGCGTTGTGTATCTCTCGATCATGTCGCCTACCTTGACACGAGCACGGTCGGTTTCCCAGTGGAGATACGGCATCTATGGAGAGAGAAATTTGAGTTAGATATGAGTTGGCGGACAATGGAGGGCCCAGAACGTACAAAAAGGACAGTATTAGAGAGAGCGGAGTCCTCGACGGTTACCCACTTCTCCTTGTCATGGAATTCGGAAACATCGCCGGTCCAGGTCGGGAATCGGTCACAGAAGGGCCTCAAGTGGCGCGTGTGGACTGTAGTGTCATTGGAGCCGTGAACTTGACCAAGCCAGCGCGAGTGCTGCATCACCGGCAGGTCCATGACGTCGCGCCTAACGGCTTCCCGAAGCGCTCGCCCTTTCAGGTTGGGATATCGCTGAGGTAAGCGGTAATAGGTGGCTAGAACATCCTTGAAACAGAGATTTTAACACGTTTTGCACGACTGGAAGAGAGAGAGAGGAAGATGCCTCTAGAGCGTTGGGATAAACTCTTCTTACCTCCACCCACTGTGGCCCCGGGAGTTAGCATCGTCGTTTAAGGAGAATCGGGTTCATGTACATACCGACATGTTGTTACATGGAATGTGATAATGCGTTAGAGTCTCATATTTTGATTCACACTTTTCGGAATGCTTCTTCCTGGAGAACTTGCCATCGGCCCCGACACAGTAACAAAAGGCGATTTGCTGATCAGGGAATACGCCCTTGAAAGGCTTGTCCTCGGGAGAATTTGGCACGCCGGAAAAGCGCTGCTGCCCGCCGTCCCTGATTCTGGTGAACCGGAGAACTCGGGCTTTTACGTCCCTCTCAATTCTATATCGAGGAATGTCCTCGTCTTCGGTCGTCGCATGGTCGCCAGCAGCTCCCCCGGGGCTAGAGATGGCCGTTGGCGAGACTGTCGCTTTCTCTGCAGATTCCGGTAAAACTTGGTCTTTTGTTCCTTCACCAATGTCGTCAGCGATTTTCGTGCCTTCCTTGCCCTGCTTCCCTGCATCTCCAACCTCGAGGATGTCTGCTCCACGCTCTTCCCGATTTTCGGAAATTTCCCTCAGCAAAACACGGACGTTCGGCCAACCATCAGCTGTCTCACGTTCGGGCGCGCCGCCGGCCAAGAACCGTTTTTTCGACTTCCAGGCTTCCCTGCTAGTATCGATATTCACAATGAAATGCTTGAACATTTCGTCTTCGCGGATGGCCTTTCGCAGAATATCGGTCCGCGTGAGCGTCTCGTAAAGCGAATCGCAGACATCCCTTCGCATTTCGTCCTTTCGAATCGCCTCGCGCAACCGCTCTTCGGCAGACGAAACAGGCCTCCATTGCCGCCCATCTCGCGCTATGTATTCCCAAAAAGGGTTATCTTTCCGCAGGAAGTCAACCCTGTCGCCTATTGAAATGCATCCGAAGAAATGTCTCTGAACATCATTCGTGTCTTCGAGGTCGTGTTCCAGAGGAGAGAGACACTCGGGACGGCGAAACTCAAAGACTCGACGCGCCATTCGCGCATATTATCTCAAACACACAATCGCCTAAAGCTTTAACAGAGACGGTGCCAGAGCGAAAGTGTCGTCGAAATGAGAAAGACGCGCTTCTTGCGGGGCTTGCGCAGGATGATCAGCTGCGCTGAGGCTGAGCTGTGACTCGTGAACATCGAGCCATGTTTAAATTGGGCTTACCTAAAAATATCAATAGGATCGCGACAGGTCAGATTGAGGCGCGTAAAACCAACCCTGGCAGGCGAATGACCGTGCCAAGCTTAGCCTGCATATTGCGCCCCAATATTGAGCCGGGTAACACCAGCGAAAACGAAAAAAAGAGAGAGAGAGAGAGAGAAAAAAAAAAAAAAAAAAAAAAAAAAGAGAAGGAAAAGAAACAAGGCAAGAGGAAAGGCCTTAGAGAACAAAAGCAGCAGAGATTATCACAAGTAGCGGCTGAGGACAGCTCCCATTCGGGACACAGATACCCGTGAACGTTGATATGCCTCGAAGCACTTTGAGGATCGCAGCGACTATTAGCCAGAGAATTTTCTTCTCCGGGTCGACATAACGTGAATGTCTGCGGGCTGCTCCCAGTTCTACCTATGGCCTTGCGTACGTAGACCCGAGAAAGAATAGAGGGGACAAAGGGGGGAAAGTCGGTATGGAAGCTGGATTCGACCAGAAGAGAGTTCTGATAAATTTACTGAACGTGATGGAATGTCGAAACCTCGCCTTGTCGACTCCTTCTCTCGAGGGCTGACAATCGTGTCCTTACCTCTGACTTGTCGGAGCAAGCTGGGGGCGCTGAGATCTGGCTGTCGATTCCTTACGAAGTTATGTGAACTGGCAAAACATGGCTCAGAGAAAACCGAACTAAAGTCGGCAAAAGGATATAACAAAAGAACTTCTTATGGCATGAAGCTACGTATATGTACCCTTCCATGGATGCCATGCTTCCAAACGCACTTATTCGGTGCGAGTTGTAAGAGTAATATATCCTTTCTTACAATACCCCGTTCTTGTCGTCTTCGGCCCATTGAGCCAGTTTTCCCTCTAGCTTCCAGCCTCTGATAAGGCGAATCGAATCGTTGCACATATTCTTCGCCAGCGCACGATAGTTTGTCCTAATATCTTCGGCCTCCTTGCTCCCCGGCGCTGGTGATTTTTCTCCCATTCTGAGCTCGTAAAATAGGGTGAGGTAGGGCTCGTCCTCTTCCTGGGCCGTCTCCGTTTTCCCACCGTATGATACAATTATTGTGCTCTTCGCTCCAGTATCTTGTGTCGTGGCAGCCACCTAATTAAGGAATTACCATGTTATTAGCAACTCTGGCGTTGGAAGGGGTTGAGCAGAAATAAAAAGGAACTAGACATGCATATAGATCATCCTGGATGAACACGTCTTGGACGATCTTTTCGCCATCGCCAGTGTGCACGGCGCCGTCGCCAATGACCAGCTCTCGTACAAACTCGTTACGGCCGCCCGAGAGGACCTCACAGCTCCGGACAAAGGTGGCGAACTCGTCAGGATGTCGGCCACCTCGCTTGACACCCTGCCATAGTTCGGCGTGGGTGAGGCGTTCTTCTGGCTTCGCGCCTTCGTTGGCGGCGGCAGTGTAGGAGATATTGCAGCAAAATTCTTGAGTCATGTTGTCGGTCTCAGAGGCAGGTTGGTTATAATCCTAACACGATGATTGCTATTGTGCTCGGAAGCTACGGAAGGCATCCCAAAGGTGTCCAAGATGTTAATATACTAGACGCATAAACGGTGGTTCAAAGTAGAACTTGGCAGACCCCGAACCTGTTCTTGCCGAAAATGGCTCGGCGAGCGGGCGGTCCCAGCATCTAGACAGCGGGCCGAGCAGTTGACCCACAATGCCTCATGCGGCTCGTACTGTCCGAAATGACTAGATAACAGGAATATAAAATGAGTCTTTCCAATGCTTCTTAATTCATCGTATAAATTGATTAGCAGTTCATTCCCCTCTCCAAGGCATCTATGAGGATGGCCGTCCCACCAATTCCAGAATACTGCCACTTCGTTAGAACATTGGCTGTGTCTTACTACGGATCGGGCCGGGCCGAGCAGAGGGGGCAATGACGCCTCTACCGACCAGACTTTTCTTCAGAGTCTGCGCCTGGCCATGTCGGTCCGACAAGCTCACAGAGAAACCCCGCGGTGCACCGCCTAACTTGCTTCCTGCAAGGCCGCAAAGGAGGACGGCGCGACTGAGCAAGAAGTTGGGCTAGAATTATTAGCCAAGTCGAGGTCTCATCCTGCAACTCGAACGCCTCCAAACATGCAAAGTTAACTCCAAAGTGGCTCAGCCGATGGTGGTGCGGTGTAGAGTACGTATTACCAAACGCAGATAGAGAGGATTAGCAGAAGGAAGAGTCATAGTCTATCTATGTTGATCAGGATTTGGCCTCAATGGGGTTTTAGGACCAAAGGATGAAGGTGGGTTGAATCCAAAGACTACGGTTCATCCTGTATCATCTGAAGTTCGCTAGAAGCTGGGTTCCTCCTAGGAAGAGCATTTACGAAGTACACAGTCTACCAACGAAGTCTTCACCACCGTACGAACAGAAACTTTCATTACATATACCCTACACGTCTTGAACGGGTTCGAGCCCGTTTTTAACAAGGTATTCATTCGCCGCGGCGAGTGTATTCTGCCACAAACCCCGTACCTGCCTCTCATCCTTCGTGACGGGGTGTGTTGGGCTAACCTCTCCAAACGGCAACAGGTACTTCCCCCCGTACATATCCTCATTTTCCCGGACGACCTTGGCCGTGGCGGCAAACAGCGACGTGACAGCTCCCTGATCGGTCGTTATGGAATTCAGCCAAATCAAGGGTTTTACCAAGTTAGTGAAGACGGCCCTGGCACCTTCAGTGCCGACTCCGCCCGGGTGGAGCGACATTGATAAGATCGGGATGCCCTTGGCGTCGAGAAGGCGCTGGAGCTCCTGGGCGAAGAGTACATTGGCAGTCTTTGCCATGGCATCGCGCGGCATGTCGACTTTAACCACGAGTTTACTCAAGATCTTCCATTGTAACGAGGTGAAGGTCTTGTGATCGGTGAGAAACGTGGGCGAGTCGAAACCAAAATCGAAGTCTAGAGGGACCAGAGCGGTGGTGATGATGGAAGATACCTATACATTTTAGTGACCTTTCTCTGCTTAAATCGGAAATAGTACATTGCCTACCGTCAAGACACGAACATCGGCGTCCTCTTCGCTTGTTGCCTTCTTAAGAAGGGGAAGGAGTCCTAGGGTGAGAACAAAGTGGCCGACGTGGCTGAGAGAAGTTAGGCGATTACAGGGATGACGGTAGAGAGGGAGAAAGAAGAGATCAGGGAGGTTGAATCACCACACAGCCATGACCATTTCCCATCCGGCGTCATTCACTTGGAAGTCACTTAACCCGATCCCGGCATTGTTAACTTCGAAGACACATTAGGTCTCTTACCGCCCCGAAAGATTTCCAGATGGGAGAGGCAGAGGATCTTACTGAGAATATCTAGCTTCTCTTCTTTTCTTTTCATCTCATCGACGGCTTTGATAACAGCCTTCGGGTCACTCAAGTCAAGCGGCAGCCATACAATCCGATCGCCCTTGATGGCGGGATTTTCAGTACAAAGACGTCGGATGGCCGCTATTGCCCTCGATTCAGATCGTGCCGCGAGGTAGACTTTGGCGCCGCCAAGGGCAAGGAATTTGACTGTTGCATAGCCGATGCCGGCACTAGGGATCGTTATTAGTTTCGAGATTCGCTTCTGCTATAGAATAGGTTATGGTAGACACACTTCCCGCCCGTGACGAGGGCAATTTTGCCTTGCAGATCTGGCATATCAGCCAGGGGATCCCAGATTTTGGACATGTTGGCTAGGTCGAATTGTCCACACCGCAGGAGGCGCCGCGTCGAGGAGGAGGGAACAGTGGTGTTGGCTGGTCTCAATGGGAACCCGGACGATCAGAACGACCAACGACTTCGAAAAGTGAAAAACTCTTAGTAACAAAACGGTGTGAATGATCGATATCGAATCCCCAGTTCAGCCTGTCCATGAACGCCAATGGATTCTGTGAGTTAGCCCCTTGTGATTTCGTGTCTCCATTTTCAGCGGCCCGACCGGTGCTGTTTCGGCGGCCGAGCTGGGGCCCCGGACACTGAGTGCCTCACCCAGCCCGGAAATCTTATGTCCCACGGAGGAGATAGTCGGAGCGTTTTTAAACATGTGTAGGGAGAAGCATGTTTGAACATTGGACAAAGAACTCGCCCGTCGAATACTCTGTTGGTGGATGTGTGTCAGCGACATAAGCCCTTCATCAACCGGACAAGCGTTGATGTCATCGGACCGCTGCTCTGGCGAACTGGTCAGAGCTTGCATGATTGTGATCTCAGAGTAGGTATAGGTCGTCGCAAGGGACCCTAAGAGCGGGCATGGATATCTGGTTTAATTTTAATTCTGTTTATTTGAATCTTTTTTACTGTTCCAGTCAACGGATATGAGATATCTACTGTTTGGTTTAGAATGGAGCCGAAGTTGTCCTCAGGACATCAAAGAGTATTGGCGGGATCGCAAGCCAAGAATGCTGTCTTGGATGCAGAAACAGGAACGCCTTAACACAATGTGCTTGGTTCGTCTTCTTAGCTCAGTCGGTGGAGCGCTGGTCTCATAAACTGACCCGGAAGGGACACTACCGGGAGATCCAGAGGTCGAGGGTTCGATCCCCTCAGAGGGCAACATTTTTGTCTTTTTTTTTTCTTCCAGCGAGCGAGGTCGATGAAATATCTGGTCCTTGTCATTGCCTTTAACTCCCTGTTCTTATGATAATATGGACGACTACTGGTGACCTAGGTAAAGGCTTTGAATCGATCAATTTGTGTAAAATGTAAAGTTGGAGTATGAATAGTATAAATACATTGCACCATCACGAAAGATAACTGTCTAAACGAACTAATCTCGGGTATCCAGAATAAACCCCCCACCTCCGGTCACGATCTTCCGCCTTTTTCTTTTTCAACCTCAGTTCTTGTCCACCTTGTGAACCTCAACCGATGGTTCCGCGTGGTGAGGGGAGACGCCATCCTTGGCCAGTGTTTGCTCCTCATTGAGCACGGGATTCCTAATCACAGCGGCAAATCCGATTACGGGGAAACACAAGCCAAGGCCAGTTGCGCACAAAAGTTTCTGGACATGCTGGTAGCTCTCGACGATGGCTGTGCGAGTCACCGTGCCCACCGGATTCTGCGCGGCGATGACGGTGAAAATGATGACACCGGAAAGCATGAATAGCCTTAGACGACGGAAGCGGTACACAGCAAGACCGGTGATGGGACCAATGACGAATGCCATGAATCCGTACACGGTGCTAATGCGCGTCGCAGCTGTGACGGAAAAGTCAAACGCGACAACGAGTACGGTGTAGAGGTATCCTCGCTGCAGCGCGGCGGCGACGTTCCAAAACACGGCGACGCCGAGGGCGCCCCATACCGAGCGGTCGCGGATGTGTTGGAACGGTATCATGGGGTGCGGCGCGCGAAGTTCCCAGAAGATGAAGACGGGGATGCACAGGAAGCCGATGACGATGGGGGCGATGATGTTTGCACTTTTCCATTTGGTAGAGACACCGCCGGCAAGACTAAGGGGCGTGAGGATAAGTGCCAAGGTAGCGACCAGCAAGACTAGGCCAGGTACATCGATCTGCCAGAATGCCTTTTGCAGAATCGTCTTGTAATCTGACTTGATGACCGGAGCTCCGTTCTTGCGGGCGTGACGCTCAGCCAGCATCATGGACGTAATGAACGGCACCATGCACGCGACGTACACAATTGTCCACATGCCAATGCCCCATCTCCATGTCGAATGCGAGAGCATAGACGACGTTATGTTGCCCGAGACCCAGATGGTAGCGATGAAATGAAGGTTGGGCACAGTGTAGAAGAACAGACGGCTGCGAGTCGAACTGATATCTGCGATGATGACTTCCATCATGACCTGCGTAGTCGAGAGGCCGATCTGGTTCAAAACTGCTCCGGCCACGAAAGTCGCCACATTGTTCGAGGATGCCTCCACGATCAAGCCCACCACGTAGAACGTCGCGCAGAGGTAGATGACTTCGAATCGACCGATGACATCGGTCAACTTAGCTGCTACGGGCTGAGCAGCGACGGCGAAGACGGTACGGAGGGTGTTGGAGGTGGCTAGGAGTGAGTGAGACTTGTAGCTGGCGGTTGCGTAGCTCTGGTATACGTTGACGAGGGTTGTGGCGAGGCCGTAGGCGAATCCGACGAAAAATATGGAGACGAAAATGGCGATGCGGTAAGGAAGAGTGAGGTGCTGTGATACAGCGGCGATCTTAGCCACGCCGGGAGGGATGTCAGAGTCCTCCGTGACGTTGCATGTCACAGCTTTTAAAGAGGCCCGGTCCAGGTCCACTGCCTGATCTCCGGCAACACCCATTGGCATTTGGGGTGATCGGGGTGATTTTTCGTCTGCCATCGCGATGGACGTTATTACTCCGTTTAGGTCTTCTTACCCTTTTAAAATTGAAATGAAGGTTATTTCAAGACACGAAGCTCAATAGAACCAAATTCATCCACAACTCATAGTCGCACATGCACCGGAACCTATATATAAATTCTCTGAATCTGCTCTAAATCCGTACAACACCCCCATCTCAGCAAATATGAACCAGATGTGACCAGTATTGGCCTTGTTCAATCAGTTCACATCTCAATAGTACGCCGGTGGAGCAAAAGGATTGAAGCACAGGGTGTAAGCAGGTATGAGCAATATTGAGCACATTAGGACTTGAGGTCAGCCGCACACATTTGCCTGCCCCGGCCTTGCGGTTGGTGAACCCACGCGCCCTAGTGTAACGACATCAGCAGTTGCCCAGTCCCTAGTCGCTATTCCCTGTGGGATCAGGCAACGCGGAAAGATGTTTTCCTCCCAGACCCACGCTGTTGACGACCCCCATGCCTGGGAGGCACCTCGGAGAGGAAAATATCGAAAGTTGAGACTTGATACATCACCTGAAAACAGGCAGCTTCTGGAGCCCAACGCGTGGGCATTCTTTCTGGGACCCGAGGTATTGGTCAAGGCTCTTCTTTTCTTTCCGTTGGAGTAATTTAACTATGTTTTCTTGATCTTACGAGTGCGGGGGGCCACTCCTCCATGAGTCTTTCGTGTGAGCAGAATTGTAACATGGCTCACGAGCTTCTCAGGTTCGCGATAGACACCGATTTCTTCCGTCGAATAAGCGTTTGTCGTTGCTTGACGTTCGGTGTTGTCTACATGCCTCGGGCCGCCATTCTTGGAGTCGTCCATCAGGGTTGAGGCCGTTATTACTATTACTTCGTAGTCGATTGGTGAGAGCAAGCGAGATGCAGGTGCCCTAACCTTGGCCCCGGTTTGGCGACCTCTCCACTCGTGTCCGGTTACTACTGAACCAAATACTTGACACAAGGAGTTTTAGCCTTCCATTTTCATTCTAACAGGGGCATTCTCGGAACTTAGGCCGCGGTGAGCTGCGCAACACAGATGTTGTATTGACAAGAGCGGAAAAGAGCAAGTTGACAGTCAACCAGCAATCCCGACTGCATCCACATCCCTAGTACATCTCATGTGTTCACGAAGTAAATGCGTCGAGTTGAACTTACTTTACGTAGTACTCCGAAGGCAAGGCTTCTCTTGTCTCGACTTCCATATCGCCGAGTCTATTTTTTACTAAAATCCCTTCTCCTAGAGACTCATGCCGTGCCAAGTCAAAGGGAAGGAGCACCTTTCAGTCCTCCCACACATCCCGCTGCCTCCTCGAGACATCTCAGCCCTGTAGCTCTGGCATATGCTTCATATACGAGTCCATGGCAAGAAATACTAACCGAGCAGCTCAAGCGCCAACACTGCGACCAAATAGCCTAGCGATCACTTGGAGCGCTCAGAGAGTTAGAAAAACAGCGTTTTTCGTAGCTATGTGTCCAGCGGGGAATTGCTTGGTTCGAAGTCCAACCAGAGCAGCGCATGCCATCTTTTTGTTTTTTCCTCTTGGGGTTCCCATTTTTTTTTCTATCCTTTATTCTCGATTAGAATGTTTCGTGCTCCGGCTTTAAATCTTCTCGGTTACGGTGGATCTTCATAGAATTACCTCTGTATTTTGGTAAGGATGGCGGGTTCCGAACAGAGGAGGGGGCCATTAATCTTGAATCTCGGTAGACGGTAACTATTACTATGCTCTACTCAATACGAGTGGGATGCGGTGATGCGGTGAAGCCCCCTCAATTCAAATATTGATTCCTATCCGTGTTTACTATATGCTTCTGATTCTAGCTACAGGTCATGGCCGATCTTCGGTGCCCTGTCCAAAACCAATCTAACCGCTGGGCGTGAGAGCATGTCCTGTGACCATTTGTCGATGTGAGGCCAGTCTTCTATGTTGACTTCAAACAACTTGAACATATACGGCATCGAGAAGGGCAAGTACGAAAGATCGGCAATCGTCGGGCGGTCCTTGAGAGCGATGTAGTTTTGTCCAGGTTCCGCAAGTCGCTTTTCTAGGATATCCCATTGTCGGAGGGTATCCTTGTGAAGCCTGTCCAACGGATTGTAATCCTCTATGGTTAGTCTTTCCATGTCCCGAGAGCTGATTGCTACAGACATTTGCACTCACTGCTCAATGGTTCTTGGTAACTGCACTGGATTCTGTCTGTTTGGGTAGCCACGGAGGAAGTATAACCAGTACTTTGCGGTTGGCCTGTCGAGATTGTGCCCGCCCATAATAAGTGAATATTCTCCCTCCATATTCAAGTATTTCGTGGGTTGATTTACCTCTCGGGAGATAAAACTTTTTTTTTTTTGGGGGGGGGGGGTTGCTACTCACCCAAGTGCTGCGGTTTGGTACGCAGTCCAAGCGAGCACACTGCCTTTTTCTGCGGCTGTCCTACCCGCCCAAGTACCCTGCTCATCGAAGCGTTCGCATAGGTACTGCAGACATGCGGTAGACTCGAATACGATGACTTCCTCGCCTGTGACAGGGTCTTTGTCTTTCAAGGCCGGCACCATCCTCTGCGGGTGTATCCTGAAGTACCACTCATCCTTCGTGTCGATGATAGACAGCACATGCGGAGCGCCGAGCTCTACGGCGAGGATCAGTGGTTTGATATAGTTGATGTATGAGGTTTGGTCCGCTGGAACCTGTCAGTAAACTAATCGAATGAAAACGAGACCCAAACCTAGTCGTTTATATTCCGCAGATGAAGAAGACTAACCTTTGATGACGTACAACACTACATTCTGTCCATCCGACTCAACGTCTCCTTGAATGAATTTTCCCAGTTCCATGGTGTCGGACGTACTTCGGGCCAGAGCAACGGGTCTAGATCGGTGGTGGATAACTACGACATGAAGAGGAGGAAATCAGGTTCTCACTTTACATTAATTAAATTTAGTTCATGTTCAATCCTAGCATGGATGATATGGTGGATTTGATGGATACGCACAAAAACGGAAATACGAAAAGTGAATAATATTGATTGATAAAATAAATATCGGTCCGAAGATTAACGGGGCACTTCGCCACTGTCGCCGTTGGGTCCGCGTGGGATGCCGGCCGTTTTACTCTCTTCCCCGGCCTGGACTTCGTGAATATCAGCAGCCTTGTCGTTTTCGACCCTAATTTCCTCTCGAACATTTCTGAACCCATTTCCCTCCTTGATCACCTGAATACTGCCGGCCTTGGTGATCTCGGTATCTGCGTCCCGGTTCACCATTTCGGTCCCCTCGGCGCCCCCATCGCAAACCTTGATATCTTTCGGCAAAGGAGCAGGCCTGAGATCAATTGCTTGCACCCACGCATTCCGCAACGAGTGAATGCTATGCGTCATCCACCCCGACTCAGCCGCCAGGGCCCGCCACTGCTTCTCCGTTCGCTCCTGCCCGTTGGCCGTCATCATCATGTTGATATCGCCATACACCGAGAGTCTGCCGCTCCTGCGGCCCGAAAGCACCGATTCCAGAATCACGAGCCGGCTTCCCGGTCCTTCTTCGATGGCTGTCCTTACGTTGCGGAGTATCTTCACTGCGTCCACGTCGTTCCAGTCGTGCAGCACCCACTTGATCGTGTAAGCTGTGAAAGATGGTATTTCTTCGAGGAAGTTTCCGGGGATTAGATGCGTGACACGGGAACCTACGTCGCTAAACTGGCCCTCGGGCTTAAAGAACGGTCCGACGTGGTCGATCACAGCTGGAAGGTCGAATATCGCACCGCGGATCGTGGGGTGGGCGCGCAGTAGTGAGGCGGTCAGTGCGCCTCCGCCGCCGCCGATGTCCAGCACGGTAGTGTCGGCGAGCTCCTGCCATGGGTAATCGGTCAAAATTCCTGGGGCCATGGCCTTGGCTCCGCCTCCGAGGGTCCGATGGAGTCGCGGCACCCAACCCTGCCGCTGGAAATAGGTGAACATGTCTTCGTCGGTGTCGAAGACTATATGCGCTGCGGAGCGGTCCTTTTTCTCTCCATCGGCTTTTACGGCTTCTGGAATGCCTCCAGCGATTTTGTAGAACTCATTGCCATACAAGTCCACCCAATTGCGCCACTGTGTCCAGTGGTCGCTTCGCAGGAGCTTCGAGACGTGGTTATTCGCCCAATGGTCGGTCGTCTCATTGTAGGCAAATATGTTGTTCGTGTGCAAAGACCGCAGGATCTGTTTCAGCCTGTCTGGTTTGGCATGAGCCAGTGCAGCCAAGTCGTCAAGCTTTAAGGGTCCTTGGCTCAAGTGGTCGGCGATGTTCAGATCAACCGCTGCAACTAAACATTTTGTCGTTGTATATCCTGGAGATGACTCTTAGAATCTACTTTGTACTCGACCTGCGAGCTCCCAACACGGCAGCTCCCTAAAACCCACCTAGAAAGTGATCCGCGAGTCGTAGAGGGGCCGGTTCAAGGAGATGTTCAACCAAACCAATGAGGTCCACAACCTTCTCGGCTGCCGCCGAAATCTCTTTGTTTGGAAGACCTGTGTCATCGTGCAGGGATTTGAAAAGCTCTTCTTTTATCGTTGGCTCGGTGAGAAGACCGTGGAATGCCTGCAGAGAGGCCTCGAGACCACGAAGTATGTGACCGAGTCTGGACGCAGACGTATCCGCTGGCGTTGCAGACATGATGGGGAGCTGAGCGAGGAAAATCCCGTTATCCTGATTGGAAAATAATCAATTAGTTTTGCCAGGATGACTCCTATAATGTAAGATTTTATAATGCTGACGAAATACCAATACTAAGTCCTAAAGCCGTCTGCGGGTCTGCGTTCTCGGAGCCCGGAGACTTACGGGCGATCCAAAAGTCTCCGGGCCTAATAGATCTGCGGCCCGTCGTGTCTGGACTTCGGACATTTCTAGCTGCTAATAAAAGACTGCACAATAATTGTACGACCTTCTTCTATTCTCCTTGTTCTCCTTCCCCTTCAATTTCCGTTCCGTAGATATTCGTCTTCAAACGATCTCGATCTTCCCACTTTCATTCTCACCCAGGACCTTTCGAAACAAAATAAGCTTTTCTAAAATCAACACTACCATCATGTCCATCAACCCCCTTTTCGACGTCATAATCGTCGGTGGCGGTGCCGCCGGCCTGGCAACGGCAACAGGCCTTGCCCGACAGCTCTACAACACAGTGGTCTTCACCAACGACAATTACCGTAACGCCAGGGCTTCGCACATGCACAACTTCCCGACCTGGGACCACCAGCCCCCGAGTGCCTTCCGCGCCAAGGCCAAGGAGGACCTGCTGGCTCGCTACAAGACGGTCCAGTTCGAGAGCGCGGACATCACCAAGGTTCGGAAGACCGATGCCGGACACTTCGAGGCCACGGACGCGCAGGGTCGCTCGTGGACGGCTAGGAAGCTTGTCCTGGCTCACGGATCTGAAGACTCATTCCCTGACATTCCGGGCTTCACAGATTGCTGGGCGTATGGAATGTGAGTGAATATAAGTCGCGAAAAAAAAGGCAACAATTCCGACCAAAACAAATGCTGATCCGTCATTCTAAAAAACGTAGCTATCATTGTCTCTTCTGCCATGGGTACGAAGAACGCGGCCGCCAGTCGTCAGGTGTCCTCTGTATCGGGCCACACTCCGGTAACCCAGCGATGGCCCTCCACCAGTCTCATATGGCCCGGCGGTTAACCGAGAATGTCACCCTGTACACGAACGGAAACGCCGACCTCGCGGCTCAACTCAAGGAGCTTCTTGAGCAGGACAAAGATGCCAAAAGTGGCAGGATTCACGTCGTGGACCGCAAGATTGCCAAGTTTGCGCGAGGAACCAACGGGGAGTCGGAAGTCGTTCTCACCTTCAAAGACGGGGAAAGCGTCACGGAGGGTTTCTTGGTACACCAGCCCAGCAGCCAAGCGAAGGGGCCGTTCCCTCAGCAGCTAGGCTTGGAACTCACTCCTTCCGGCGACATCCAGACGACGCAGCCCTTTGGGGAGGCATCTGTGCCGGGCGTGTTTGCCGTGGGAGATTGGAGATTGTGCGACGCCGATCAAGATCGTCGCGCAGGCGGTGGCGACGGGTGTTTTGGCTGCTGGGGGGCTTTCGTTCCAACTTGGGGCGGAGTTGGCTAAGGTCGAATAGATTTAATCGAGGTTACCTGCATGAAGTATGAATCATTTCTCCGTGAAACAAGATATTTAAGTGATGGATGTGGACCGCACTCTCTACGCAAGGTTACGGTGTTGCGATACTGGGGAGGAAAAAAGGACAAAGGAAATATGCTAAAGGAAAGGAATGTTGCAATCGTCAATCCGCCTACCCATGAGGACGGCCCGCTGCCTGCTCTTCTTCTTATCAGTCACTAGCGTGGCTCCCAGGGATATCTTTCGAAAGGATCCCGTCGCTCTCTCCAAGGCCGAGGAGGCTCTCCCGCTCCTCAGCACCATCTTTTTCATCTCCTTCGGGTTCGTCCTCCGTGCTGGGCGTGTCTGCTCATCATGGAGCCCAAAACTGTTACTTCTCATCCGCCGTGGCTCTCGTCTTTCCGAGGGAAAAAATTGTGAGGATAAGAAAATAGGGCGAAAAAACAAAAAGAAAAAAAAAGGGAAAAAAAAGCTCTCCCTCGGGGAATCGAACCCCGGCCACCTGCGAATTGCTCCATGACAAGCAGGTATCCTGACCACTAGACCAAGGAAGATGTTATTTGATTATGGTCCATCCAAGCACAAAATGAGCTGATGAGACTGGCGGCTCGGATAAACGATCTTCAATTTTACTTTACTTTATTCCTAGAACCCCAATGCCAGTTCGATCTTCTGAAGCCCGTCCCAGAATATCTCTCGCGGCACTGCCACGGTGACTCTCGCCCAGAATCCGCCGTCTCCATCGCACCAACCGGACCCGCCAAAACTTCCTCCCGGGGCGACCATAACCCCTACTTGCCTCAATTTCTGAAGAATGTCGCTCTCATCCTCCTTCCTGCCTAGTCGTACGAGCACGAACGGCCCCGCGTCAGGAGTGATGAAGGGAGTGCCCCACCGTCGGAATCGCGCAGCCGCCATCTCGTGGGCTTTGGCGAGTCGACTAGACAGTTGGGAAATGAGATTCGGGAATTGAGGGGAGCGCAGAAGGTGTGTTGTGGCCAACGAACTTAGTGAGGAGAGGTGCATGCTAGAAAGCAGGGCAACTGACTTTAGAATTAAACGAGATTGCGGCGACTGGCTCACCAGAGCAGCCTACAAGGCAATGTTTTCGAGTTAGAATCAATACTGCTTGTCTTCCCTCGAGTGGTCTCGGTGATGAGGGGCATTTGTGGACTTACCATGCGAAGTCCACTCGAGCACAGGTCTTTGCTGGTACTCCATATGACATGGATCATGGCAGCATCCTCCGAACCATCTTCCACATTTTTCTCCTTCTCGGGGGAAGTGCCGTTCGGTCCGTAGGATCCAATTCTTCTCTTCGACGGCGGCGGCTCTGTTCCGTTCGCAGTGAGTGATCTCTTCTTGCTATTTCTAACATGGCCACCATCAGTGACATCTTTGCGGAGCGACCTGCAGCCGTTCGTGCTTTCCCCGTTTGGGCCTAAGCCCAGCGCCGAAATGAATGGATTCCTGCCGATTTGGCTCAAGGCATACAGCTCATCTGAGATGTAGTGGATGCCTCTTTCCCTACAGAACCGGATGCATTCTCGGAGAACATGGGCAGGATAGCATTGCCCAAAGGGATTATGTGGGTTGGTGATAACCAGAGCTTTGACCTTGGCCTTGTCCGGCGCAGTATCGAGGGCCGCGAGTAGAGCTGGGAGGAGGCTTTGGTTTAAGGGACGTGAGTGCTCGTTGAAAGAGCCATTGACCCAGTCAAGGCGCACCGGAATCACATTCACGCGAGGTCGGAGCTGGAAATGCAGGCTGAACCCGCTCCAATACGGCACAAGAATCAAGACACTGTCCCCCTCATCGCAGATGGTCGTGAGTAGAGCGTCTAGACAATGGGTTGCGCCAGGTGTTGCCACAACATGATCGGGTCGGATTGGTTGGTGTGGACAGAAGTACTTCGTGAAGAGGTCCGACAAGGAGCTGCGTAGTTCTGCATCTCCACCAAGACCATGCGAGTATGAGAGACTCTATTGCCGGATCGTTAGGTTAGAACGTTGACAGTTCTAGAGAAAAAGTATGCCTATGCCCGCCGCGTGGCAGAAAAGCCTTACCTTGGATGAAATCCCATTTTGAATGGCAGTCTTGTAGATTTCTTCAAGTTCTGGTCGGAGAAGCCAATTCTCGGCGGTGGCTAGGTCAATGCGGGACGACTTGTCGGAGAGAGCGCTGTCGATTTTCGGAACGATGGAGGCGATGGTATCCTTCACCCGAGACGAAAGTTGGTTGAGATCACCCATGACGATGACGGAAAATGTACCTTAGAGATCCGTGATATCTTGTCAGGGCTTCAGCGCCGGTTGTAGATATGGAGAAGAGTATCACTGTAGTCAAGTACATCGCTTCTATGCTTCGCGGTTTTCTGCGCTAATGTCTCGTGGTTGACCTAGCCTTGGGTTTCCAGGAAGAGTAATCAGACCTAATAGCTAGCAATCGACATGCATCGTCGCGGTGAGCTCGGGATTCCGTGATTAATTTGTTCCGAAAGACATGAGACGGAGAGAGTAAACGTATCCTGGAACGCTTAGCTAAGTGTCGCGAGCTTATCGGCATTCGGTTGTTAACGAGCTGAAGCAGTATTGGGAAATTCTTCGAAGGTCCCGTCCGCGTCTAATGCCTTTTCCACCCTGTGTAGCGCCGGGATTCATTTGGGCAAGCATGCTCTCTGCCTAGCCACTGCATGGAGGTTGACTCGCCCTGAATGGTCGCCGCATACCACCCGGCCCGCTTCGGATACCAGCAACTTGGCCAGGGTCAGAAGGCGGTGACCAAGGGCCAGCGTTGGGCTTATTTCACGGTCCGATCGGCAGGACCCCGATCCGGGTTATTCCTAACAGCTTTGAGTGTGTGGGCGTGCCTAAGTGCAACCTCCCCCTAAGCAATCTAAGGTGCTAGTTATTGTTTTACTCAGAATAAGGCTACCGCATAGTTATAGTCGCGAGCAATAATGCGAAATAGAAGGGAAGAACTGAACGAAAACATGCATCGGTGAGGCAGAGTGAACCACGCCCCATAACGAACCTTCCGAAAAGCATCGTGATTAGGCAGCATTCCCGGGTTTGACATTTGATATGTGTTTTGAATCTTCATTTTCTAGATGCATTGACTATTGAGGGTCCAGAGAATTTGAGGTTCAGACAGCCCGAAGACGAGGCTCAGAGATTGCAACCGACAGATAGCCCTTATCCACTGCTCCAATCACTGTACCACTTCTTCACGAGGTGTTTCCCCGAGGAGACGACCTCAGTCACCAGCTCATACTTATTTTTGCCTGTGTGCATGAGTCGTTAGGTCATGCTTTCGTCAATGTCGTAGGTGGGAGGATACTCTCACAGGTTTGGCATTCCGTTTCACCATCAATGCTCTGGCGATCACAGCCATTGGTCCGGCACCTATCTAGAGACAACCCGGATGAGAATCATGTAGCTAGAGCCAAAACCGGAGCACTCACGGCTCAAGCAGAAGCGGCGCCCTGCTTCGTGGACTTTGGAGGCGCAGCTGCCCGCCCGGCAGACGTCTGCTAAGAGCGTAAATATGTTGGGATCATGGAAAGGACTGTCATCAAATGAAACTGACGGCTGGAGCAATATTTATAGCCGTCGCCATAAATGACCTCGTTGCACTGGCCCCAAGCGCAAACGTCTAGCGGGAAGAGAAGTTAGAATTGTGACTCGGTAGTGTCGTATATCCATGAGAACCTACGGGCTTCGCAGTAGGAATAACCTTCATTATATACTGCTGCGCTACATTTGCCGTGGGAGCAAATATCTGGTGACGGGGTGAGCACGCGTATTCCTTGTATACTGGCGACATGGGTAGGCACTGACGAGTCCGGCAGTAATCGTGTCCATATCCGAAAGACTGGCTTCGGCAACCCCACCGTGAACAGTAAACTAGAGATGCGACAGTTAGCCAAGAGTCGAGTGCGCGATCTAACGCTTGGTGAATTTACGCGGACTAACCGGTCATTTTGTTCTCTGGTGATGCTCTTGCGTGGGTCGATGATGCGGATGCACAGGCACAGGAAGCAATATCGAGCTCTGTTGAGACTACCGGGATTAATGTGTTTCTTATCACTGTGCTAGATCTAGGCGCCTCTATTATATATATATATATTCTTGAAGCTATCATATCCATTGATTTGAAGATCCGCCTTAAGTATCCGCCTTGGTTATCAATCTGCCGAATAATATGAGGCTTCACCATGATTTCACCCACCAGGTCGACAATGGTGGGGTGGTTGGCTTGATGCCCAAAGGACGGGGTCTTGGATGGGATGTGAACTCGTAAATACTAAAGGAGTGTCGCCCCGGGGCTTCAATAGGTTTGTATGTATTGGATGAAGCCTGAGGAGCGCGTCGATGGTGGGTAACACGGCATTCGGCAGGTTGGAAAGACAGCGAACAAATCGTCGCCAGGTGGCGGCAAAATAAGACAGAAGGGGGGGTTTAATAGCCAAGTGATTTTGAATGGAGAGAAGCGGGGAGCTAGGCAAGACGTGGAATAACAGTATGGCGGGAATGGTCTGTCCGTCACAAGGAAACCCACCATCAGACGCTAGGTAGCGTTACTCAGTTCGCCTCGCCCTTCTCGTATGCTTCACGAGTCCTGGACCAGTGCCACGCCTAGGTCCGGCTTGGGCATGATGGAGTTATCCATCCCCACACCCTTCAAGTTATGCGACCTGCTCGACATGCGCGACCTCGAGATATGCGGCCGGCTGGATCTGCACCCCAACCACCAAGTTTGTCCGATCCAGGGCTTTCACCTAGGGACAGGCTGGACAGGACCAACGTCACCCGCCCGCGCATCCACCTCGCTTACCCACTGCAGCAAAACTTGCAGCGACGATCCGTTCCGCCTCTTGCCCTGAGGGGAACGGGAGAAAGAGGGGATTAACCCCGTAGTACACTCAGTTTGTGACTCGGATATGTGGCCACCGGAGACCTCCCTTTCCATGTTAGATTTCCCATATCATCACGGTAAAGGTTAGGCTATGAGCCTAGGATATTTGATATTTGAGTTTATTCCTATTTTATCTAGCCTTTAGAGCGAACAATATAATGGTAAGGTAAAGAGAAAATGAACATAAAAAGGCGAAACAGTAAGATGCAGTTATACCAGTTAGCCCAGCTCTGCCAGGGTTCTGCCCAATACCCACGCCTCATCAAGCACAGATCCGTGGCATGGCTCGCTAACCCCATCTAAAGCTATGCTGCCATCTAAAATTGACCCTCCGGCGAGAATGTTCATCCATGCTGAAACACGTTGTAGGAAGCCTCCAACATCCTGCGACGAGAGGCACTTGTTATCGTACTCCAGTCTCAGAAGAATACTCTTGTCAGACAATGCCATGAACTCGCACATGAGTTTAAACTTGGCACCCGAAGACCACACGAGGCAAGACTCGACTCCTGGAATGTCCAAACAGAGCTCTCTCAGCATCTGTGGCTCATGGAAAGTCACCATCACGTCGAACAGGGGGTGGTCAGGATAGTCGGGAGTGATGGACATTAGATCGAGTAGTTGATGCCACGGAAGGCCGTGAGCGAGGGCAGACTGGGTCGATTTTCGTACAGCGGTAAGGAATGCCTGCCTGTTATCCGTGGGCCGCCATTCGTGCTTGACGCGCACTGGGAGAGGTTGGAGGAACAGGCCAACTGTGTCGGCGTGCTCTGCGGACTCTCGGTTCATCCAAGGGACGCCGAGAATTACGTCTAACCGATCATGGGGATCACTGGGGTTCGAATGTCCGTCGAGCGCTAGCGCCAATGCGACAGCCGCCAAGGCTAGCTGCTGCAGGCTGATGTTTCCGGAGGACCCATACCGTAATATTGTCCTGCTCGTGTCTTCATTGAACCGGAAGATGGTGGAGGTGCCCTGGTAACTGGTTCTCCGTTCTACATTTCGTAAACACTTCGGCTGTTGAGGCGGCTCCTTGAGGTACTCACACCAGAAGTTGCGGTGATCTTCGGATAAAGTTGCGCCCCATAAGGCAGGATCTGGGTAAACCGCTCGAGGAGGGCAGAGATGGTGCCCGTGATAAGCCAAGGATACTTCACGAAGAATCAGAGTCATGGTGGTATAATCTGCGACAATGTGACTCATAACCACGAGGACCTCCTTCCCAGTGATGAGAACACGAATGGGCTGCTCATGGTCCAACTTATGCGGGCGATTGAGCTCGGTCCAAACGTTGATTGCCTCCAGGTACTGAGCTCTAGGGCAGTGCCCAGTAAGTCTGCGACAGTGTTTCGCCCGACTAGTAGGCCGATCAGGATGGTATAAACTGCGGAGGACTTCATGCCTCTGTAGTACCACGTTGAACGCATCCTCAAGCCGGCGGCTGTCCACTCTATCTGGCTTCATTCGCCCGAGGAACGCCACGTTGAAGCATGAGGTGCCAGCTCCTACCTGGGACTTCTCCAGCCATTCTTGTTCGATGGGCGCTACATTAGCAGGAGCCGCCGGAGACAATTCAGGAGGAGAAGGTTTCTTCGCCTTGATAATTTCGTCGATGGCGCGTCCCAATGCCTCAATTGTAGAATTCGAGATAACCGTCCTAAGGGGAATCGCAACGCCCAGGTTCTTTGTGAGGTATCTTGCTAGCCTGATTTGCTCGAGGGAGTGGCCCCCCATTTCGGCGAGGGTTTGCTGCCTGTTCACGGGGACATCCGAAGGTGCTTTCTGGAGAACCGCTAGAAACGCTGATGCGACAGCCCTCTCGGTATCGGTAACAAGAGCGGGACCCTTGGCCACATTTTTGGATGCCTCTGCAGACGCGATGGCTTTGTAGTCAATCTTCCCCGCCAAGGTGGTTGGTATTCTATCCACAGCAATGAGATGACTAGGAATTGCATATCGCGGCAGCGTATCAGCAAGCCTAACGCGTAGATCGATGAGGTCCACATCAGCCGGCTGCACCATGGCGACGAGTTCATCTCCAGCTCCGCCGCGACGTGTAATAGCCACAGCTTGGATCTCACAGATGTCTCGCGCGATTCTGATCTCTAAGTCATTGAGGTCAAGTCGGTACCCTCGTAACTTGACTTGGCGATCATCTCGTCCAACATACACAACTTCACCCTCTTCATTCCAGTAGCCCAGGTCGCCTGAGTCATACATTCTCTCTCCATTCCCCATGATATTGTCGGGGAGGAATCGTTCTTCGGTCTGCTGCGGCATTCCGCGATAGCCCTGGGATACTTGCACGCCTGCAAGATGGATACGCCCGATCATTCCCGGCTGTGCTAACGTCCGGCCTTTGCTGAGAATGTAAAGACGGGTTGTAGGATTCGGCACGCCGATCGTTACCGGGTGGTGCGGCAAGAGTCTTTTGATGGTGGCACCGCATGTCGCCTCGGTTGGCCCGTACATGTTGTAGAGCGCTTTGAAAGCCGACCACTTATCTGCGACGCTCTGCGGAACGGGCTCTCCGACGAGGTAGACCTGAATGAGCCCCTGTTGTTAGTTGCGAACTTGCACGGACTAAGAATAAATGTGGATATTTACCCATTGAAGATTCGGAAAATCACCCGGGTCCAAGGCGCGTGCAACCGACGGCGTGAGGATCGCCGAGTCAGACCTACTGAGCGGTTCCAGAGAGTCTGCTCCGGCAGGAAGAACCAATGTGGCGCCATAAGTGAGCGCCGAGAATATCTCGTGGACGCTGCCGTCAAACGCCACCGACATGATCTGCGAGATGCGCACCCCCGGTTTGGCATTCAAGCGCACAGTCAGATCACTTTGGAACGCGACCAAGCCGGCATGTGTGCATAAGACGGGTTTGGGAACTCCAGTAGAACCAGACGTGAAACAGACGTAGGCGGCACTCCACGGTTGTGGCGAGGTTCGTCGCGCAAATGTGGTTGGTTCGCTTCGAGAGGCGGACTCAACTGAGAATGTTGACCCCTCTTTACATGGCGAGGCGCGCAATATAAGGAGCTGTTCATCGGTACTGGTGATTATTGCTGTGGCACCAGCAGAACAAATCATGTTGTCTCGGAGCTTTGGTGGAAGGAAAGGGTCGAGGGGACAATAGACACATCCGGCTTTCAACGCACCCCAGATAGCACAAATCCAGTTGAAGGATTTATCCGCATGTACGCAAACCACGTCACCGGGAGACACCATCGAGACGAGTTTGTGAGCGACTTGATTGGATAGGATATCAAGCTCACGGTAGGAGAGCTTCGTATCGCCCTTTTCCACCGCCGTGACATCAGGGTGAGCATCTGCAATTCCCTCGAATAGTGTCACAAGATCTTGCGTGACAGAAGGCATTGTGGTGAGACCTGAAATGGAATTGCCCCATTTCATCAGCCTGGCATGGGAAGGGCAGGAGAGGAGACTCTTCATGACGTTCCCTATTGTTGTCTCCGGGTTCATCAGGAGCGAGAGAGCCTGCTCGTAACAATTCGCGACCGAAACCATATCATGTTGGTTGAATCTGTCAGAGTGAAAGTCAAGCTTAACCGTCCTGAATCCCTTGACCGTGATACTGATGGGGACTTGGGAACGCTGCGTTGTATGGGTTTCGAGCGGACTGAATGGGTGGCGTTCCGGCTCAACGGGCTCCGGCATCTCCACGGATAAAGCAGAGTCGTATTGTCGAGTGAATCCATTGTCGGTTGTGGTCCAACTATACGTTTCCAATTCCACCAAGTTGCGGAACAGGTCTGTCAGAAATTCCTCAACGCTGGTATGTCTGGCAAGCTTGACGTGAAGAGGCAGCACATTGATAAGCGGTCCGATGGTCTCAAGTGACCCCGGAATTGTGAGATTACGACCGTTCAGAACCGCACCAAACACGGTCTCTTCTGTGTCGGAGAATGTGGCAACGACAAGAGCCCATGCGGCGTAAAAAAAGGCGGCGGGGGTGACATTGGCCAGCCTTGCCGTCGACATCAACTTGTCCGCGAAGTCTTGGATATCGAAATTCAGGGTTTCAATCCCCAGGTCCTCCTCTTTCTGGTCGGATGCAGTGGAAATGGTCGCCGGGACTGGAAGTAAGAATTCGCCTTTCGCTTCTGGATGCTGGTTCAGGGTTTTACGCCAAAATGCATCGCCGTCGGCCTTGTTTGTCTGCTGATAATGTCGAAGCTCCGAAGCCCAGTCCCAGAATGAAGGGCCCGGCTCTACTACCAGCCCACTGGCGAGACCCCTCACTTTGGTCATGAAGCCCTGGAGAGAGCACGCATCGATGAAAGCGTGGTGGATTTTCCAGCTAACCCTCGACATAGGCTTTCCGTCCTTTCCGGTGTCGCAAGTCGTGACCTTGAGAGAGGAGCCCATCGCCGCTGCCGTTTCCGGAGCCCCTGGGAAACCATTCGATAATGCTTGCTGGGTTGAAACTCTCTCCTTCGAGGAATCTATAGGCCGTGTTGACACCAAATCTTTGAACCAAGAACCCTTAAAGACGGATTCGAACTCCAGAACTGTGTTCCACGCCGAAAGGAGAGCTGGGATATTCTCCGATGGGTGATATTCGACATATGTGATCATATTGGCGCTCGACTGAGTGAAGGTTCCGTGAATCAGAGAAAGTTGCATTTCTGTAAGAAGGTCGGCAGCCTGGCGGAAGGCCGGGACTGTCTTAGTTTGGGCTATTGTCGAATGGCCATTGGAGGCAAGTTCCATTCGATGGGGTGGAAGTGGGAACTTCTCAGTGACAGCGCTGGTAGGCTGAACTGGAACGTCGCCATTGCGCGTCATGATATCTTTTAGTGATGGGGAGGTGACGGATGACTGTGAAGGCGTGGGTAGAATGGAGCTAGGCGAGGTCGAGTGCGATCGGTCGTCTTTCGTTCCCTGAACTCTGGGCGACTTGAGTTTGATATCACGCAGCAAACTACTCAGGCACGGGCTGGTAAGTATCCCCTCCCGTGTCACATCGTATCCTCGCGCCACGAGAGACGATCTTAAGATGATGGCCTTGATTGAGTCTCCGCCATTCGCGATAAAACTGGACTTGACGTCAACCTCATCGACACGCCGCGCCAAGGCTACTGACACGCAGTCGAGGATCTCGGGGTCGATGGAGGATTCCACCATGGCGTTAGCCGTTCTAGGGGCATCTATAACTTTCACGCGCATGATGAGAAGGGCTAGATGTGGGAGCAACAGCACATAGGCTGCATCTGGAGATGGTGATTTATGACTGGGATAAAATGGAATTGGCAATTTGGATCTTTTACCGTTTGCATACGTGACCTCCCTAGCAGGGATTTATACATAGCACTATCCACGAGGCCGCCGATGCATCGGTTACAGCTCAACTGCACCAGTTAGAAAAGGACGGAACCTGACTCCCGTGAGGGTAACACAGGCCGGCTTGTTAGAGACAAAGGGAGAAGGGGAAAGAAGAGGCCAGGGTCTTGGTGGATCTACCTGACTCGCTTAACGGCAGCCGCCGAAGGAGACAGGCCGAGAAGAGCTTGAAGCGGATAGGTCGGATTTCAAGCAACCGCAGCCCATACTAGTCCACTTCAACGGACCGTAACTAGACCGATGCTAAAATGGAAGTCCGGGAGGCATAGTCGAAACTCAGGGTCATATTACGGCTCTGTTCGTAATGGTAAGAATCCCCAGTGCCCCTTCGTGGGAAAGCCAAGGTTGCATAAGATACCTTACGGTGTCTCTGTGCAGACTTTTCATTTTTTTTTCTGTACTACAATGCCAATTCCTCGAGAAAATATCGCATCATAATCCATTAGTGATTGTTTCCTTGTTCGGCTAGTGTCCCAATCCCATCCAGCCACGTCCAATAGTCGAACTATGAACTCTAACAACACCACCTCTAATGACCATCTGATGCCAGATATCGACCAAATTCTGCGTAGCGTCCCACTAGCAGGTTCGTGAGAAGAAAAGACTGCGTCATAACCATGAGAGCGCCCCTATCCAATGACGCAAGAGACCACGGCTGACTGTCCCATGCCTTGAATAGACGGCCACAATGACTTTGCATGGATGATTCGAGGCTGGCTGCAAAACCAACTTGACCCTCTCAGCGTAAAGGACTTGGAGGATATGCCAATCGGTCAGACTGATCTACGGCGCCTGAAGAAGAGTCGTATCGGCTGCCAATTCTGGAGCGCCTTTGTCCCATGGTTAGATCCTGCCTATGATCATCACCAAAAGGTTAACTAATATTTTCCAATCTTTTCCTCAAGTCCAATCAAGACGGATGACTTTTCTACCGAACCGCTGTTGGACACTCTCAGGACCACCTTGCAGCAGATAGACCTGCTACACAACCTGTTTGACTCGTATCCCGAGACGTTTGGCTTCGTGGACAAGTCTGATGACATCTTGCCCACTTTCGAGAGTGGCCGCATCGCCAGCCTCATCGGCGTGGAAGGCCTCCATCAAATCGCCAACAGCGCAAGCGTGCTGCGGATGCTTCACCGGCTTGGCGTCCGATATGTGACCTTGTGTCATGATGCTAATAACCTCTACGTGGACTCGGCTGTGGGTGAAACAACAACTAGATCCGATTCTGCACATTTCAACTGCGACTAACTGTCGGTCTTGTCCCACCCCAAATCTAGACATCAAAGGCTCCTAGACACCACGGCCTGTCGACCGACGGCCACGAGATGATCAATGAGATGAATCGAATAGGAATGTAAGCATGAAAGCGCCTAGGCAACCCTGTTGGGGCGATGGGAGAGCTGATCTCAGTAACGTCTCTTCAGGATGGTCGATCTATCGCATACAAGCCACGCCACTCAACGCCACGTCTTGGCTTTGTCTACAGCACCAGTGATCTTCTCCCACTCGTCTTGGTGAGTAAGACCGAGCCCATAATCAGCTGCCTAACTAACAAGCAAATCTCTCTTTTCCCTTTCCTATCTATCTCAGCTTCACTCTATGTCCCCATCCCAGAAATGTAACCGACGAAGTCTTGGATCTGCTGAAAGAAAACGGGGGTGTAATCATGATCTGTTTCCTGCCCTCCCTTCTCGACCCTAGCGGCGGAAAGGACGCAACACTGGAACAGGTCGTAGAGCATATTGTGTACGCAGGGAACAGAATCGGATATTCCCATGTGGGAATCGGCTCGGATTTCGACGGAATGTTGAACGGTCCAAAGGGCTTGGACGACGTCACGCAGTATCCTCAGCTTGCGTCAGCGTTGGCCGAGAGAGGCTTGAGCGGCGAAGAGTTGCGTCAAGTGCTTGGGTTGAATATCCTTCGGGTGTTGAGAGAGGTGGAGGAAACGGCCAAACGGCAAAGGCAGAATAAAGCTGTAGTCTTGTTCGACAATGTCCCTCGGGTGTGGAACGAGGAGCAACGGTCAATTTTGGTCGAGGTAGGTTCGTCAAGGAAAATGAGTAGTCTAGCATGATAAGCAAAATGCTCCTTTGCTCATTGAAAAGCCGATATAGACTCTTTTATTACCGTGGTGTGCTATTCTTGCAGTTCGCTTTTCTGGCAATCCGCTCAATTCAGGAAGACCTTCCACGCCTTTTGACTAAATTCCATGACGAAGACAGAAACTGCCAAGGACTGAGAATTATTAATTATTGACGGAAAATTGATGATTCAGTTAAAGCTGATGGCACTTCAAACTGGTCAATACCATAGAATCGTTATTCTAGAAATAAGAACACCTAGAGTGGCTCTCATTGCTGATGGGGAACGAGAGCTGATCTTCCTGTTTCGGATGGCTTCCTGGTAGAGAACTGGGAACCCGCATCCTCTCTATCCTCTCCTCCGGCTCCTGTATCTTGTAAGTCCTAACAACGTCAACATCCACTTCTCTTTCGATAGGACCTCCATTATATATTGTCTAATCCATTACCGAGCTCCATTCGATCAACCAAACGTTAAAGAATAGCTAAATAACGGCAACTGTACCCCCCGATTCCCTCCTTCATTGAGCAGTAGACCTTCCTCCGTCACAACGCCATATCTTCCGATGGACTGCATCATGGTAAACCCACATTGTCCTGAACAAGATGTTAACGGTGGCCGCAGCCCATGCTGAGGCGTTGTCCTCGTCGGGGTCGGCCTTAGCCTTGATGCGCTTCATGACAAAAACCAGGATCGGACGCCAAAAGCCTAAGAACATACGAACGGCACAGAATTCATGGAGCCGATTTAATTCCGGTGCGGTGTATGTGGGAAGAGACTGCAGGTAAAGTAGGTACGTCTCGGGGAAAGCGCGCTCCACCGCCCCATCGATGAGCAAGTTCTACCAAAACGGTTAGTGAATCACGCTTGAACATGCATGTGTGCGGTGTTTTCCTTTGAAAAAAAAATGAGACCTGTGTCTCTCACCATGTATCGCAGGCTCGGCAATGGTGGCGGAGTAGGATGAAAAGGGTGCCTGGCCACGAGGGTGGACACCGTGAGTGTAGGATTGGACACGGCTGCTTCTCCTCTGAGAATTCTGCGCGAAACCACCCCATCGACGGTGCCAGGGACATCACTAGTGCCTCTCCTCTTAGCGGGCCCTTGATCTAGGTCCCCAAGGCCACCGACCACCTCAGCGTCCAACATGACTTCCCGGTAGCCGGTGCCGGCCCCCTCGGAGACTTTCAGCCGATTGTAATCGGACGCCGAGAGCAGGTAGGCGACTCCATGCACCGAGGGCTCGCTATGGTCGGCCGGCCTTTGTTTTATTCCCGCCATGGCCGGCTCCGTGAACGGGACTCCGAAGACATCAAAAACAAGGATGTGTGTGTTGATCACAACGTTCTTGGCGTCAATTGGCTTGATTCCGCGCCGCGCCATGACGGCCGAGGACATGTTAGACCCATATGCAAAATACCAGACGAGGCTATTCTCCATTTCTGAAGCTGTCGCTGGGACGATCAGGTGGGAAGGAAATGAAAGAAGGGGGAGTAGTACGCGGCTCGTCCAAAGAGAAGATGACGAGAATATCGTATGAGATGTGATGGATAGCGTGATTGTACTTCTATTGGTCTTGTCCTTTCTCATTTTTATGCTTTTAATTGCTGGGAGCTTCTTATAACGGACCGGCAGAATAGAGGCAAATACACCGATAGGTAAATAAGCAATTGAGAACGATAAACAAGCTCCTCTTGACCGCCATCTCGCCTTTGAGTCTCGACCGGGCATCAAGATTCTCCACCATTCCCTTGCACACCCGTTGGATTGAACCACAACCTGCAAAATGCCTCTCGCATCGCAAGTTCTTACTCTGATCAAGGAGAATCTCCCCACAGACTCGAAAACGAGGGTTTCTATCGCGGTATTGGGCTTCACTTGCGCCTACGTCGTCTACAAACTCGTAAAGCCGTCTAAGAAGGCGGGATTACAGGTTTTCAAGATCACGGGAAACAACGTGGTTGAGGTTCTGGAGGAGGCACAGCGACAAGTATGTAGCATGGTCTCCCAGCATCGCCCTTTCTGCCATTTCCCGACCCCTAGCCGTACGCTTTTGCTAACAGGAACATCTTTCAATAGTGTCCTAACGAGCCGTTCATGCTTTCCCTTCCGGGAATGGACATGGCCGTGCTGCCTACGTCGGAAATTGAGACAATTCGAAGCCTCCCAGAATCGGAAGTGTCTATTAAGTGAGTTCAAGCCTAAAGATGCTATTTCCCCCCCCCCCCCCTTCCTCGACTTTCGCCTGACGCCGTGATTGCCACATTCTCTAGGAAACACCACTACGATGTCTTTCTGGGCGAGTATACCTACATGGGAACCAGAGCAGACGAGTTCGACAGTGCCATGCGCAATGTTTTGACACGCAACACGCCGGCGGTTTTGGCTTCCTTCGTGGCAGAGGTCGACTACGCCGTTAGGCAGAACATAGGGTCTTGCAAGAACTGGACGAACATCAAGCCTCGCCACGCCATGTCCCGCGTCGCCTCTCTCATGTCCGGAAGAGCATTCGTCGGCCTGCCACTGAGCCGCGACGAGGAGTGGGTCGAAGCTACTGTCAACTACACGCAGAACGTTTCTTGGGCCTGGATGGTGCTTACCATCCTCCCGAAACCGATCCGCTTCGTCCTAGCCCCATTTCTTCCCCAAGTCAAAGCTCTTAAGAGACAGCGCACCATCAACGAAGAGAAGCTCGCACCTCTTCTCGCAGCCAAGTATCAGAAGGAGAGCAACGGAGGCCCCGTGGGAAAGAAAGCCAAGCCGTCTACCAATGATGCCAGGGATGGTGAAGGCGGTGCTGTGCTTGACTGGCTCATATCCCAGTATTCCCACCCGCCGTCCGTTAGAGAGCTGGGACGTGACCAGCTGCTTGCTACGTTTGCGTCGATCTATAATCTGAGCAACGCCTTAACTTATGTTGTCTTCGATCTAGCTGCTACGGCCCCAGAGGATGTAGAGGCCATGAGGCAAGAAGTTTTGGACGTGCTTGGTGACAAAGGCGGCATCATCGACAAGAATTCGCTAGTGAAACTACGCAAACTCGACAGCTTTGCCAAGGAATCCCAGAGGCTCAGCCCTCCATCACTTGGTAAGTGGTCTTTTGGGTTAAAATCAGGGATGGACATCTCCTCTTGTTGACACCGGCCGCTAATACTAACCCACTGTAGTCAACATTCCCCGCATCGTAACGAATCCAAAGGGCCTCAAAACATCTACCGGTCACATTATCCCTGCAGGAACCCGCATGACAATCAACAGCCATGCCATCAACCAAGACCCAAAACTCTACAAAGATCCCACCAAATTCGACCCCTTCCGATTCTCGCGGCTTCGTGAGATTCCAGGAAACGAGCAAAAATACCAGCACGCTTCAACAGGGCTAGACAACATCAACTTCGGCCACGGGATTTGGGCGTGTCCGGGGCGATTTTTCGCCAATGCGGAGATCAAGGTCGTCCTGGCCCATCTCCTGATGAACTACGACATTAAACACAAGCCCGGTGCGCAAAAGAGCTGGCAAAAGCACTATGGACTGGCGACTTTGCCGGATAGCGAGCTTGAGGTGCTCATTAAGGAGAGATCGTAAAGCTCTCTCGCGTAAGGGAGACATTTTGTACATAACTTCGAAGCCTTCCAAGAATAAGATTGTAGATCGAACCTATTCTCACCGCTCCTGCATGACGGCGAAGGCCACAGGCAGCCTAGGCCACAATACGACACACCAATGACACTATTCACAAAACGGATCTCCACCCAAAATTAGGTAGATGGGATGATTGAGCAGAGTTGTATATAGCTACAGGTGTATGATTTTAAGCAGAGCCACCAGTTATCTCTGAAAGAGTAGACATGTTGTAGGTCTACGCGGCGAAAGCACGAACGTTGAGAGAAGTTAATTCGAAACTCTCCTCTACGCTCCTCTGAAAGATAACTGAATTTCATTTTTTCCTCCTCTTCATCAAGCAGGACGCTACAGACATCCCCAAGTGGCTCATCAGCCGAGTCTAAAAATTCTGCAGTGATAATAATTCTTCGCTACAGCTATCCACCTGGTCTAGCCGAGTCTGACCTAGCGGCTGATCATTAATCTCAAAGGAAAACCTGCGCGTACGAAGTACGATGTTGCAGACTGGAAACTAAGATTCTTCACCCGAATAGCAGCACCGGGAACTTCCGAGTTCTGCCTCATGATCCACACTCCGGGGGAAATGAGCCATCCAGCCCGGCATGAAGAACCTTCTGTGGCCAATCATTCCGCCGGAATTTACCAAAGGAGTGTTCCTTCTGGGTCGAACCGCCGCGCTGGAGTGGGTTGAAGAAAAGGTGGCGGGGTCGAGCCGGGTTGTTTAGTGTTGCGGGCCGCCGTTTGAGGTTTTCCCGCGGTCCAGCCACGCGGAAAGGCACGACACGTCGCTCGGAGACCTAGGGCCATTCGAGAAGCCGAAGGAGAGACGCGACGGGAAGAAAGGAAAAATGGCGAGCCGAGTAAGACCCTGTCCTTGGAACTAATCTAGTCTATTGAAGTTTACAAGAAAGTCACCGAGCTTACGTTCGGTCAAGACATGCCTTGACGATCCCAATCAGTGATAAGGTCGTATGCAGACTCCCACGCACCACATATTTCCATCCCATGCATCTTACATACTTGAGGCATGAGGAGTCGCCACACCTGCAGGATCCTTCTGAGCATGTTGCAATCACGTCAGGCCATGAGGGACGCCGAGTTATGGCCTGCAGCTGACGACGACTAATAGCGCAGTCCGCTCTCGCTTTCTAGATGAGAATGGAAATTGCTGCAACAAGCCCGTGTTATGTCTCCACGGATATCTTGAAGGAAACACCCCTTACTTCAATCGACCCTCTCTCCCGCACCAGGCTCGGACGGCTATCCAAGCTATGTTCCTAACAACAGGCTCAAGTCATATTATTGCAATGGTAACGAGAAGGACCTTTTGGGAATGCAGGGGCCGGCCAGCCGTGGGCCGGCTTACGACGAGCAGCTATTATTGCGAGGTCGTGGGACGAGGAGCGTCCCGCCGAGTACCTGAGCTTGGCTGCCAATGTCAAAAGTAATGCAGGGCAGCGGAGGAGTCTCCACCAAGGTGACCCAGGGAGCGGAATGGCTTCGTGGTATCAAAGGTGGAGGACCGGGCTTGAAGAATATGCGGCCTGTTCCGCGCGTGGGGAGATAAGGCCCACTACTAGTCATTTTTTAGGCGCAGCAGCAAGTCTTGGCCTGCGCTGGTCCGTAGTAGGGTGGCGTTCCTTGGGATTTGGGGGTAATATCTGCTCGTTGAGAGGGCTCGGCGAGGAAGTGAGGCATAATGAGCTAAATTCCATTGGCTGCAGAGTCTTTCATTGTTATTCTTTTAACTGGTGGCCCAGGGAAGACCCGGGGGAGGGTAGGCGGCAATGGGAATGGTTTGACTCTCGGACCATTGATAAGGAGGCCGCCTGGGGATGAGATGTCGTCAGGCCCAAGATCCATGTCCTCTAATTCTTGACAGCAATCACGCAAGACAAAGGTGTTTAAGCAATTTTTGCGCTCGTTGGCCAACCCGTATGGTACCCAGAACCCACTAAGCCCTGCCTCTATGCCTGTTACCAGCAGTGGCGCCGTGAACTCGGCCTCCCAAAACGCCCAGGGAGAGGCCGGACCTACCATGTCAACGACCAGTAAGCCTCCGCGCATGCGAACGGCCTGTACAGAGTGCCACGCTGCTAAGGTACGCGCCCCGCCGGCCCTCCTCCCTCTTTCTCTCTCTCTCCATATTAAACAAAAAATAAAATAAATAAAATAAATAAATAAATATATGCTTGGCTAACCAATTGGACACATTGAATGTAGGTTCGCTGCAGCGGTGAGAAGACGGGCTGTATACGTTGTCGACAAAACAACCTGAGCTGTATATTCAAAATTTCTATAGTTGGTCGCACATCAAAAAGGAGGAATGACGGCAGCGATATTGGCGCAGGGCGGCAAAGAAGGTCGCCCTCTGTAACAGGAGCTTTGGGCAGTGGCCGGGCTCTGGGGTCTCCAACACCCACTTCAGCTAGCAGCACCACAGTCACCAGCACCAGTACCACCATCCATGCGCTCGTCCCCGACACGTCTGAGGCAGAGTCAACGCGGTCCATGAGCCCCATCAGTTACTTCGTATCGACTGATAAATCAGACTACAATGCTCCGCCGATCGACTTCTCCGACGAAACCTTTGGCTGGAACTGGGAGTTACCCGACAATACCAACCAACCATTGCCCGAGGAACCGGGTTCAGCAACACTCCTAGATGGGCGGGCAGAAAAGTCGCACTCTTCATCCTCGGGCGACTCGACGATCGTGATAGAACCAAGTCTACCACACTCCCTATTCCGCGGCGAGAGCGATGAGGGTAGAGAACGGATGGCTCAACTCTTATCTCTTTGCCGGATGACATACGGCCTCGAAACGCATCTACAATCCAGAATGGGAACCCTCGACGAAATCATGAAACTCAACAAAGCCTGCCTCGCCGAGGTCGTCAAACTGACCAGCGGGAAGCAAAAGGGCCAAGTGTGTAGATGCTCGTTCATTATGATCGCCACTTGCCTCGACATCATGCTCGTCCTATTCGAGGACGTCGTCCGGTCGTCAGGTCTTGATCCGCGCGGCGGTGGGCCACGCTCCGACACTCGAATGCCGAGTCTGCAATTCGGCGTGTTCGAGCTAGATCCGCAGGAGCAGCTGGTCATAACGAGGAGGATCCCGGCAAGGGAGCTACAGAAATACCGAGATGTTGTCCGGGCTCTGGCTGCCGAGTTCCAAGACCCGTCGGCTGATTTCTTCCGGAAGTTGATGGGGCAGTGGTGCATGTCGCTTACGAGCCGGCTTGGGCAGCTGCGGGTGATAGATGTAGAAAAATCAGGGGAGTCGACGGTAGTGGTGGGCACTTCTTACAGTCAAGCACTTTTCATATAGACGATAATTTTAAGCCGCAAGTTACTTTCTTTTCTTTTCTTTTCTTTTCTTTTATCTCTCTGCCTCAACTAGGCATGTTGGCTCCCATCCTTCCTCTATTGAAATATGTAGATTAAGATAAACGGTGCGCACAGAGACTCTTTGGTGAACATTCCGCCCTCCATTCTAGGGACCCGGATGGAATAGTATTCAGTATGGGGAGCCGTTTTTGCCCTCCGTGCTTTGGTTCAGGTTCGATAAACTCCGGTGCAATCCTTCGGAGACTATCATACCCAATCAGCTGGTGAGCTTTGCACCGAATCACCGATCGCGGTTCACAGCTTGCGCACACACACTTATCTCTATCTGCCTGGGAATCTTTCGTATTGGTGCGCCCGACCTAGATGGGTCCATCAAGGTGTCAAATGCAAATAAGACGTGAACGTCAGCACAGATGTTCGATGTGGGAGGAACACTCGCGAGTCATCCCTCGCCTGGCAAATGCAGGTCACTATCACAGCATCGCCAGTAGCAGCCTCAAGGCATGAAAAATAGTGTCCCCCACGCCATGGAAAAGAAAAAATGTGTGCATTTGGGACGTGATGGGTGCTTAGAAATTACCACGACAAGACTTGACCGGACATTCGCGGCGCCTGGCCTTTGCGGTGGGCAGAGTTCGCTCAAGTGTGAGCCGATTTCTAGAGAGAGGATCCTTCTTGATGAAGATCCTACAATCCGCCTTCTAAAAGGGGAGTTCTGGCATCGCGAGCAACGCGAGCTTTCACTCCACTCCCGTTTTATTTTCGCGTCACAAATTTCTCATCGCTGATATCACTCGGCTCTCGTCCAGTGCGGCCGCGTATTGACCATCCACAAACTTGCTCAGATGATAGTGTACCCCCATATTTTGTCGCATGGTGGTGGTCGATAATATGAAATATAAATAGAAATAGGAAAAAGTGGCCGATAAGTCTCCGGGTTCGTGCCCACACCACGCGTAGACGCCTGTAGGATTGGAGTAACTTGCTCAAACGTGCTTAGGGCGGAATGTGCCCGGCCTACGTACTTAAGTGCGTAGCTGATCTTCTTCTCTTTTGTCGCCTGTCTGTGGATTCTGGAATAGTGTCACTAAACTTATCGTATTATCTAGCATTATTCTGGCTCCACTTATCCAGCTTTGCATCATGGACTCGACTCAGACCAGCACTCAGGCCCCAACCGTGAAGCCCACCACTGGAGAACACACCGAGTGAGGCCATCAATTCCCGTCTCTCGTGTTAACTCACGCCCCACAATACTGACGCAGATCACCAGACCGTCCCTGGACTCGAGCTATCAACTAGAATGGATTAAGAAGCTCCTTGCGCAGATCAAAGACTGTCTCAAGCAAAATAGCGACTGGCTCGGTGTTGACCCGTCGAAGCCACAACGCATCCTGGATTACGCATGTGGGAATGGTACAGTCTCGTCTGTAAGTATCAGCACCTCTCACTCAGTCCAGCGTCACCCATCTGGCTTACGGCATTTGCTAAAAAAAACACGATCCAAACAACAGGGACTACTTGACAGCTTCCCACAGGCGACTTTTCATGGAATAGACAAACTCGGTTCTCAGGTGAAATTATTCAACGAAGAGGCGTCGAAGCTGCTGGGTCCCAACCACCAAGATCGCATGCACGCCATCCAAGGCGATCTGAACGAGCCTGAGAAAACCCCGGTCCTCACCCGTCCCGAGTGGTTCGGGTTCGACTGCGCCATCATCAGCTTCGCCCTTCACCATGTCGACGATCCGATCGAGCTCCTCAAGTTGCTCAAGGCTCGTGTCAAGCCCGGCGGTACCATCGTGGTCGTCGAATGTCTCAAACAAGATGGGGCCGAAACCGATTCCGCCACTGCATCTAGTGGCATCAAGGATGGGGAGCCAAAGTATAACCCGGCTAACATGAAAGCAGTGCCGATGGGTCGGGTGTGGCCGGGGTTCTCTGTAGAAGATGTTCATGAGGATTATGCTGCTGCTGGGTGTACAGATGTGGACTTGAGGATTTGGCCTGAGCCGGTCGAGCTGCCGAAGATGCCAACGTTTGGTGGTAGGTGTACCATGTACGTCTCTAAGGCCGTTGTTCCATTGACGTTGGGATGAGGAAACTATCTAGTCATTGTAATAATGCTGCTGCCGTGGGACATGGGTCAGGTTTCGAAGCTGGTACCGCCCGAGGTTCAAATTGAGTTGAATGGCTTTTTTTTATTGCCCATACTAGGTAAATTCTCACTTCTCTAGCCGCTTGAAGGTCTTTCTCTGGGAGGGATGTCATCTTGGTTGTGAGGAATCTGGTGCAGATGAGTATAACACAAGCCTTGATTTATCATTAAGCCTTTGAATCATTTTCTGTAATAACAGATGGCACACCGGAAATAACTAGTCCCGGCCTTGGAAGTCGAAAGAAGGATGAGAACACATCTGATCTCTGCCTCAAAGTGTATCGGGTCGCTGCTCAATGGTAACACCGTCTTCGAAGGCCCAAGACCCTCATACCACTGCTCATGATCCATAATAACTAGATTCAATATTCCATCTCTGTCGGTACCAAGTTTGACAGCAACACGTCGTCGCTACTCCGCTAGATTCACTGCGCCCTCTTTACACAGCGCAACAAGAAATCAGGATGTGTAATCCAACTATCGCGGTTCCGGCTCCAATCCTCCTTATCCAACCAGCTCAACTCGTAGTTCAGCACGAGATGCACGAGCGTCTGCCGGATCATCAAGTCTGCCACGTACCTCCCCATACACTGACGAAGACCGAACCCGAACCTCCAGAAGCGATACCGCAACTCCGAACCCCTCTTTGCCAGGAACCGATCAGGCCGATACGTGGTGTTGTCCGGGGCCCACGTGTCGCTGTCAATGTTCAGCGCGTAAGAATCAACCATGAAATTGGTGCCGGCGGGGATGATGTATCCGTCCACTTCTCGCGCCGTGGGTGCCGCTTGTGGTACGCTGAACGCGGCGAGGGGCTTTAGGCGGCTCGATTCCATCACGCACGCAGCTAGGTACGTAGAGTCGCTTCGCAGATAAGCATCCATTCGGCCTTCCTCGGAGGCGAGCTGGGCTTCTGAACGCAAACGCTTCTGCACGTCCGGGTGTGCCGCTAAGAAGACCAGGTTCCAGGACAGCGCACCCGTGGTGATGTCCAAATTCGCGTACAAGGCCTCATCTAGAGTCTGCAGGAGTTGATTTTGGGTCATCTGGCCAGACTTGGTCGCCTTATACATCTGAGCAATGGGAAGCGAAGGATCGTGGGCCAGTGCGTGTGCGTGAGCCGCATCGTTGAATGCCTTCCATCGACCCTGAAATTCTCGAAGCTCGGCATTGGCCGTGGTGGGTAGCCACTGAGCCCAGGAAAAGCGTGTCAGTCCGCCCTGCACGACGTGGCGGAATATTTTCTCTCGTAAGGGGGCAAGCCCGAGGAGTTCCTGAGCCAATAGTGGCGGCAAACGGGGGTAAAATATCTCGGCAACCACCCAGAACGGCAGCATCTTCATGTCCTTGACCGGATGCAGAATCTCGTTCCCGAGGCTGCCGTTGGTATGAAGACGGTCGAGGTGATCGAGAATCTGGCGCTCGACGTTCGGGATCCGGGTCGAAGTGACTTGGTAGCCGAAAGGCATGCCCACGACTGATCTGACATTTCGCCATTCCTCTCCACTGATTAAGCCGACGCACTTTCCCAGTAGGCGGTTCATGTATGCTCCCGAATCGTTCGCCGCAGCCTTGATATGCTTATCGGAATCGGAAAATACGCCAGAGAGCTGATGTGGCTGTGTCAACACGCTATTCAACTGTCAGCCAGTCGGCCATTTCTCTTTTCCCGATCCAACATGAACCAGAATTCTTCGATAATTTGTGTTACTCACATCTCCGGTTTCATACCCGACCAGATGCGGTAAATACTGCCATATCTTTCCTTCCATGCGGGTGAGTTCTCGACGCCACTGAGAAACTTGGCTTCATCGCCTTGACCGTTAGGCCAGTGGTATGGACACGACGGCAAATCCCGTATTCCGTCTCGATGTTTAATAGGAAATCTGTGATTTAGGTAGGCCTGTTTCGCGTCTTAATCAGTCCCACCTCAGAGCTCCTTTGATAAAAGGGTATGGGCGTAGGCTTACATTGATCACACTAGAGACGGCGTCGCGGAGAACACTAGGCACGTATCCTGGAGCAAGAAGCTCGACCACGGCGACGAGAAGTAGAGGGCAAGCTGCGACTCCGACAGACGATAGTGCATATTGTATCAGGTGCATCTTCGGCAGGTGTATATGGTTGCTGATCTTACGATACGGCAAGCATGCAGACTCTAGGAACGCTAGTTCTAGCATAGTGCTACTAGTGTTAACTTGACCCTGTTCAACGTCAAGCCGCTGAAGGATTAATAAACTCGACCCTTTCTGCATCCGGGAGTCTTTAAACTGGACCGGAGGACACCTCCTCATGAGATTTGCACTGCTGTGAACAGACGTAACTCATGCTTGGTCGATCATGCGTAGAACGCAGTGGGTCCCACATCACCAATCGGCCGGCGTAATCCTATTCGGCCGCCGAGGAAACCGGAAATCAGCGACCCCGTTAGGATGTGGCCCTCCTAGCTCTACAAGATAGAGGGGGAAGGGGCTCAAATCGGTTAAGACCAGTATGATGCCTACTCCGCGGATGAAAAGAAAAAAAGAAGAGAATGGTAGAAGCCTTCAATATTTGGTTTTTGGAATTGGCCAGGAAGAGCCTGCCTCAACGCTAAGAAACACCGGAGATGCTGTCGGCAAGTCCCCAGTAAGCGGGCCGCAATCTATATCGGCCGCTGACTCTGAAAGACCGTCGGATAATCCATAGAATACTGATGACCATGGTTTATCATAGAATATCAAACCATGGGTCATATATAGAATCCTAAAACCCGCTGGAATAGGAACCGATCTGCAATAACTCTAAAGCCTAGAATCGTGGCTTGTGAGTCCTTGAACAATTGTACGTCTTAGCACGAATACCTTTACAGTCTCTACCATTGAAGCCGACCCTCAGAGTTCTCTCCTGTCCCGACCATGCAAACCTTCTACAGTCCCAAGACCCTCGTGACTTGGGACGTCCGGGCTCCGGGATGCATGGCCCTTCAGTCAATCATCACTGCCTTCTTACTCTGCACAACACCAAAAGGCTCACCGCTACGAATCGGCGTGTTACCCATCCTCCTTTACCTCAGCACCGTCTCCATACGAATAGCGTCGGCCTTCTCGCTGCAGTTGATGCTGTACCTGGGATTCGCCGTGTGCAGCTACGTCAATGTTTTCCACTGCTTCAATTTTTTGTGGCTGCGCCCCTTCGACGACGCAGATATCCGCCGTGAGATGAGCCGGTGGAAGGCGAATTCTACGAACCCGGGTCTTCTAGAGCGGGTTCACTTTACCACGGGCATGCTGTGGAGTTTCCGCGGCGTTGGGACCTCGTACGAGATCAAAAGCATGCCCAAGTTCCCTGGCGGCGTCGTCCCTTCGAAGCGCGCATTCCTGCTTCAGCAAGTCGGATGGATTGCCTTTCAATATCTATTCATGGATATCGTCACGAGTCAACCGCAGGATCCCAAGATTGCCGAGACCTGGGCCGTGGGCAAGGAATGGCTGTGGTTGCCGATGAACCCGTATCCAGTCACTAGAGAGGATCTCATAAGTCGGTTGATGGGAACGCTCATGTCTTGGTATCTGATCGGATACATGATGCTGGATACATGGTACCGCCTCTTCGCGTTCGTGTTCGTCGGGCTTGGCATCTCCGAGGTCAGGCAGTGGCCGCCGATGTATGGGACCTACAGCCAGTGTTGTACTTTACGCGGATACTTTAAGTATGTTCAGATTCAGTCTCAAGAATTTCGGAATCGTCACTGACCACCTTCTGTTTTGTTCAAAAACAGTCACTTTTGGCATCAGTGCCTAAGATTGCCCCTGCAGGGCGCCGCCAGATTCATAACACGCCGGCTTCTTCGCCTGCGACCTTCTTTGATGGAGTCGTACGTGACCATGCTCGTCATCTTCGCCCTATCTGGCCACTTTCACATCCTTCTCGATTACTGCTCAGGTATGACCTAGTGGAAGCTTTCGGGTGGAGTGCAATGCTTCACACTCATGGTCCCGGGCATCACGATCGAGGATGGTGTCCAGTGGATGTGGCGCAGATTAAAGTCGAATATGGGCGTCAGGGGCTCTCCGTTGGTTGAGAAGACGATTGGGTACATCTGGGTCTTCTTATACTTGGCCACGGTAACGCCAGTTTTCAATTATCCACTCCAGCGGATAGAGAGAAACCCCACGTACATCATCCCATGGAGTGTAGTTAAACAGTTTGCATAGATGCACAGATCGTGGCCGATAGATAGATACCCCAAGCATAACGCTGCCTCAATTTTTCCATTGTTTAACTTGCATCAGCCGTATCGCTTCTTCGAATAAGGCTGTGGGTATATTTTGCGTCTGAGGTGATACCGGTTTGCTCTGCCTCGCGTGGTCGGGTTGCGAACATGCAGTTCCAATGCTACAAATACAAGTGCGTTTGAACCTCATCGTCTGAACTCACACAACTGCCTCCCCCGTCGCGTTTTGGAAATAGGCTAAGCCGGGTATGGTATTCGATCAACGGTCGTGGTAATCTCCTTCGGGGCTGGATGGCGCTGGGCTATCGCCGCTTAGCTGGGGCTATTTTTTTATTTATTTATTTATTTTTTTTTTCTTTTTGAGGAATTTGGTAGTTGTGAACCCAAACGAGGGCCATAATCCATGCATGCGTCGTGGCTAGGATTCCACGGCTTGCGCTTTTTCAGAACAAGCCTAAAGACTTGAACCGATCGCTGCTGCCCAAGTCGATTGTCTCGAGGCATATCCGCCAAGAGCGCCCATTCTTTCTCGTCGGGGCGCTTTCTACAGCAGAGATCGTGCCGCTGTGGTGTGATGACCAAGGGTCCAAGCCCCGGTACCTCGGGATTGTAGTTTAATTCAGGGGTGTTAAGCTATATGCTGCAGAGACCTCTTGAACAAAAAGCTGGAAAACTCATGCTGTTGTGCCATAGGTCCAGCCGCGTCGGAGATCGCCGCGAGAGGGGGCTTGAAACCCGAGACAACGGTAGTGATTAGCGGTCTACCATCCACGAGAGAGCTTGCTGTCGAGTACAAAACTCTAAGGCGAGTACAGCTTCTCGATCGGGCACCAATCTACCTGGGACGTACGTCGTGCCTTGCTGCTATAGCGGCACCTTGACCAAAACGATTGGCCAATCCGTGAGAATCATTAACACATTCTCGGTGGGAAGAAAGAAGAGAGCAGGTGCCGGAGAGGTGTATGAAGAAGGTCGCACTCTCGAGTCTCAAACCGTCGCATCCAAGCCCCAAATTCCGCAATACATCTAGTGTGGAGGTGGCAACCAAGACCCATCTCTTGAGGAAGGAAAAATCTTGCCTACGAGCGCACAACCCATACCAAATAAACTATACAGGAATGAACAAATTGTGGTATCGTCAAGGGATCTGGGAGCTAAGCTGACTGGTTCAAGCCTTCTCCTCTAAGCAGCCGGTGAAAATGCTAGAGGTGTTCCCGGTCCGACCCCGGGTTGGATCGTGGATGTAATCGGGGATTTCATGGCAGGCTGGCTCAACGCGGGTGCCGATAGTTTTTTTTTTTTTTTTTTTTTTTTTTTTTTTTTTATCGTTCCATCCCTTTTATCCTTTTTACTTTTTCCCTTTTCAATCCTACCATTTCTTTTTACGGCGGTGGCTCTTGGTTTACCATTGACGATTCGTTGGAAGCACTCGATGGGCTCGAGGAAGAGCCAGGATTTATTTCTGTCCCTCTGCCCAGAAAAAATTCAAGGGATAGCCGTCTCCCGACGCATTGGATGGGCTAACCGGTCCGATAGGGTAATCTAAATCTGGGGTTACACAGACGCGTTCTATTTAGCATACGAGCTCTTGGTGGTGGTCATTTGATTTCCATCCACGGCCGGCACGGCACGCCCAGAATTAAATCATGGGGTCACGTCGTTGGTGAGGAGTACCGAGTCTCTTTTCTGTTTTAAAATAGCCCCTTCCCTTTCCCTACCCAGATTCTGAGTCCAACTGGGGCGGGGACGGACAGGATTTGACGCCTGCAACAGCTCGAGAACAAATCTCTCCAAGTTTTTGAGGCCGCGTCGTATTGGCTTCTATCTTCCCTCTATGCTTCTCCAACCTCCAATTATTTCCACAAGCGGCCCTTTTTCGTTCATGTATACCCACCAACTGAACGGGTTACCGCTGACCAAAATCCTCCAGCAGCTCACTGAAGTGCCCAGTTTTTCAACAAAGACAGGAGAACATAAGACACCTGTTCCTGAGGCCTAAAAACACAAAACGAAAACGAAAAACAAAATGCCATGGCCCTGGTTCCGGTTATCCCTGCCCTGTCGGCTCCTGATCCTCCTATTTGGCCTAATGACCGACACATCCCAGACAGAGAGTAACATCACTCCGGTCGGGGCAACGCTTGAGCTCGACCTTGTGTTTCCAACCCCGAACGAAGCCTACAGACGCGTATATCCCTTTCCGATAGTTTTCGCATTCCAGGGCATGAAAGTGGGGTGGCCCCATCACATCGATATGATCTGGGAGCTCGTGGGCAGAGGCCCAGATGGGCGACGTGAGGATTGGCATGGGGGAGGCTTTCCCATCGACTTGCCACCGGATATGAAACGGAATTCAGGTCCGGGAAAATTGCCCTCCATAGCTTGGACAAATGGACAAGTCCCAAATGGGGAGGACACCTTCTTCTTCATCGTTGGCGCCTCCAACGTGCTCAACTCCACGGTAATCGACTTCACCATCAGTTATAGCTTTCGCTTTCATGTCAACTGTACTGTTGACGAAACCACAGGTTCCCTTCTTAGCGACAGCGCCACCAATTCCTATCAGATAGATCGATCCGTTACCTTTTCGATTGATAATGAGAAAGGACTCGACCCTGCTCTGGTGCCCATTCCAGGAGACAATTGCCCGGCAAGCCTCGCTACAATCCGGATCAAGGAGTCGTTGAACGATTATTCGGCACCTGGACTCGAACCACCGTGTGCGATCTTAGATGATGAGAACCTTAACCCGGAGCCATCGCCCTGCTTGGTAAAACCCCCCTCCGACCTGCAATCTTCCGTATCGAGCCACATGCTAGAAACGGCAAGATGTACGACGGGGTCTTGGCCTGCTGAGACCCTCGTTGCGCCATGCGACCATGACATGACCCGTTCCGAAGGAGGGAAGAATCTCAAATCGGGAGGAACCTCGTTAAGCTTTACAGTTCCTGTGGTCATGCTTGGGAGCGCCATGGCGGGCCTGGCTAGTACATGGGTGATATAGATCAAATAGCTTAGCCTTAACGGCACATAATCGGGCTTTGGTGTTGGTCGTGGCATTTCTGGGACGTCGGGTACCTACTAATGCGCTATTCTTTTTTTGCCGTGGCTTTGATCGAATGCAATTGAGAGCATACATGCGCCCGCCAATGAAGACATTCTAGGGGTCTGTCGACTGAGGCAAATCACTATTTGATAATTATTGTCTCAATGTCTTGCCGGGCCCACCGAGTCCGCGATAAACATAAAATGTTCACCCGGTTTGGCTGGTCGACCGTTTCGAGCCACACAAGGCACGAGGTGAAAAGTCGAAACCCGTCGGTTTTTGGATCCCATGAGTCGTGATAAGGAAATCTCTGGTGCATATAAGAACATAATGTGCTATGGAACTGGTTATAGAAATGAACTGCACATGATTAGTCCGCGATACATACTGGCAGAGATCTAGACGCAGGCAGACGGCATCCTCAGAGTTGACGGGGGCAAAACATTCTAAGAAAAGAGAAGCAGCAGTAAATACTAAAAGAATACAAAAAGCATGAAAGTGTAAAGTGAGTTTCATGTATGAACCCCGTCCTTTAACCCGTTCACGACCACGTCTCTTCCCTCTGCCCGGTACGCAAGCTGAACCGCCACGAGTTCTGCCAGCTCCGTCAACGACTTGCTCTGGATCAGATCTAAGATAGACAATTCAACTCCAGTTTGCGCTACGAGCCAATTTCGAATTTCCACTGCAACAAGCGAGTCAACACCGTGCGCAGTAAGATCCTTGGACACGTCAACCTCCTCTGTGCCGAACATGTTCATGATTTCCTTTGATAGTCCGCCGAGGATGGACGACGAGGCTTCGCCAAAGCTCATCTCACTAGAAAGGAGACCGCGAAGTTTGGCGTCTTTCTCGACGGGCGTGGCCGCGGCTTGATGAGAAGACTCTCGGCATCGAAGGGCGTCGAAGCGGCTGTCTTGAAGCCAGCCTCCATCGTGCCCATCAGCGCCACTCGACCTAGGCTTAATACCCGTGACAATTTGTTCGTTGTGTGGGTGCAGGAGTGCATGATCTAGGATGCGGTGTACTTCTTCCTCCTGCAGCATTGTGATCCCGTTCTGTGATAAACGATTGGAGATGCGGTGGTCGCCCGCGACGTAGCCAACAGATTGAACCATGCTCAGATCGATGCATACTGCATGTAGACCTCTTGCTCTTCGAAAACGAGCAAGGGAATCTTGGTAAGCTCCGCCAGCAGTATAGTTGGCCTGACCCGGAGATCCGGTAACGCCAAGGATGGATGAGAACATGACAAAGAAGTCCACGTCGGGGAACTGCCGATGCAGGTTTCTGCTTCCGAGTATTTTGGGTGCCACAACAGCTTTGAAGCCGTCGAGTGTCATTTGTTCAAACACAGAATCCTAGATTTCCTGTTAGATACCCCGGGTCTTTGGGTCGATAGAAGGAAGAACCGAACTCACTTGCAGGACCATGGCAGCTTGGAATACGCCCCGAATGGGGGGCATGTCTGCGCAACTAGCCAGCGCCCTGGCAAGCTGCGTCTCATCCGAGACATCGCATGCCACTGCACGCGCGTTACATTGTAACTCAGCGAGAAAGTTGTCCATGGACGCGTTCCGCGACATGATGATGAGATTCTTCGCGCCACGTTCGACCATCCATTCGCAGAATGACCTTCCGATACCGCCCATACCACCAACTATGAGGTATGATACATCTCCCCTGAGCTGTACACGAGGGGGACTGCGTTTCACATAGAAGGTGGCCAGATTTGCTTTCTGTCTTTTCTCAATTCGGCAACATTATGTCCTGTTGAGATACACTTACTGAGACCAAGTCAGAGTCGCCGACGGTAATCACGACCTTGCCGCGATGCTGACCTGTTTGCATGGAGCTGAGAGCTTCAGCAAGGCAGGAGATTGGGTACGTCGTAATTGACTCTGTCACTGCAACGAACTTTTCGTGCGCTAGACGGACAACTTCGTTAAGTGCCCGGCATACAATCTCTGGCCGTCTCGATGCCCAAGCCACCAAGTCAACAGCGTTGAACGCCGTATTGGGGCGGAAAGTAGCCTTGGAAAGCTGATTGTGGTATCCCAAATCCGCCTTGCCCAGTTCGATGAACCGCCCGAAGTCTCCCAAGCAGTCGAAACTCTCCTGGATGTCCGGGCCAGGCAGAGAATTCAGCACAACATCGACGCCTTTGCCGTTAGTCTTTTCCATGATGGCCGAAGAGAAGGAAACGTGCCGACTCGACAAGATGTTACTCTCTGGAATCTGTAGGGTTTCCATGAGAAGTTGACACGTTCGCTTGGTGTCAACAATGGCATAAATATCGGCCCCGATCCAACAGCAGAGCTTTATAGCAGATTGTCCGAGCTCGCTTCCCGCTGAATGAATCAAGACCGCTTCTCCCTTGTCAAGCTTCGCCACTTCGAGCAGAGATATATAGGCAGCCACTAAGGAGGCAGGTAGGGTTGCCGCAACTTCAAATGTCATGTCATCGGGAATTTTAGCAGCGCTTGACCAATGCACCCGAGAGCGAGAGGTCCAGCCGTCGAAGAGTAAACAGCACACCCGGTCCCCGACATTGAAACCCCGGTTAGCGGCCTCGCTGCTGAGGCAGGTGATGACCCCTGAGCACTCGGATGCTTCCAAACTAGCTCCTCCTTCCAAAGGGTCAAGGATGCCGGTAGCAACCGGATCGTGTGTGTTCAGCCCGAATGCCTTCGGGCTAACTTCGAGGTAGCCAGGAGGTAACTCATCATCAGGGCGTCGGCTGACCTCCTCAATGAAAAGGGGAGTATCTTGGCCTCCGAGAACCCCACGACGTAGCCGAACTGGACTGTCTAGCGTACTCAAGGGTTCTATCGTTGGCTCCAAAAACACAGTGTCGCTTCGTCCAACGTAGTCGTTGGGGGTCTTGCTTGTGAAGAGTCGCGGGACGTGAATAAAACCCTGCCGTTCACAGTACTCCCAATCTCGCGTAAGACTCTCGGAGCTCGAATCAAATGCAGCAGAAAGAACGTCGCAGATGGCTGCTGCAGTCTCGGGGGTCCATGGCGACCGCTGTGGGGAGACATCGAGCGTTACATACCGTTTCCCACGATATTCATGCCTCAAAGTTCTCAGCAATCCATGGCTTATACTTGCCTCCGGTTCCTCAGACTCTATGGAACCACCTCTTGTAACCCAGAGAAGACCCTCACAGGCGGTGGCCATTTCCTTCACAGCAGCAAACTGATCCGCATCCATGTCAGCTAGAATAACCTTGTTCAGGTCACCCAGGTAAATGCAGGTCTTTCCCTGGGCGCAAACAGAATTCAGCGTCTTGATCTCCGGCGGAGTGCCGATTACGGTAGACAGTTCAGCCTGGATGCTATGCAGCCAGTCTAGCGGTGGGGAATCGGATGCGCAGACAAGGACCACATTGTGATGGTAGATCGGAGGGTTGGGTTTCGCAGTGGACATCATCACGCTGAAGCTGTAAAATTCTTTGTCCTCGCAATCGCGAAGCTCATAATCTAATCCTGTAAAGCCAGTCCGGCGGAGCACTTTGTCCCAGAAGAGAACAGTGAGTGACGGTGAAGTCTTGCGCTCTTCTTCCTCACCTACTCCAAGGTTAGTGGAGGGGTTATTGACATCACGAATAGGGGGGAACCAGCGTACTTAGCCACCAGCCTGGGAGAAATCCAAATGCCAGGAAAACATCCAACGAGTCTTGGGTTGTCTCGATGAGGACAAACTTTCCTCCAGGTTTCAGCAGACGACGAACATTGCCCATCGTATTATCCATAGACCTCGTCGCATGGAGCACTTGACACGCGACAATAATGTCATATGAGCCACAATCAAATCCTTGCTGCGCCGGATCGTTCTCGATGTCCAGCTTCCGGAATGTCATGAGGTCCTTCCAGGGCTCGAAGCGTTTGCGGGCAGCTTCGAAGAATCCCGGGGACACGTCAGTGAAGTCGTATTGACCGAAGAGAGCTCCCTCATCATCGCCATCACGTCCGAGGGCGTCGAGGATGGCCTGGGTGCCGCCGCCTGTGCCTCCTCCGATCTCCAAGATCTTCGCCCGGGGGTGCTTGTGCGCGACAGTTTTGACCAGCTCAGCAATCTGACGAGTTGAACGATCCCACTTGAGGGCACGGAGGTAATAGCGATATAGAAGGCCGCCCTCGAGCATTAGCTCAAGTGGCGTGATTTCTCGTCTCAATAGTGGCAGGATGCGAGGCCCAATTCGTTGGATCATTTCGCCATTGACGCTGGTTGCAGCAACTTCATCGAATAACGATGCTTTCTCCTCGTCAGAGTCAGTGAGCTACTTCGAGCTTTCCGACCCCAGGTTATTTTTCGAGGCCAGCGCCAATTGGGTTTTCATCCATTCGTAATGCTTGGCATGATGCCATTCGAGATTCTGGGCGTCCTCGTCAGTTAAGGACCTGATGGCATCCTGGATATAATACACTACTGCTCGCCGCAGCTTCATCATCGTAGCTATCTCTAGATCATCAGTCGGATACTTCAGATGATCGAGGGCATGCCTCGACTTTGAGAAAGACAAGTCCTGGCCCCAACGAATGGTGCTGCAGATGTTAGACGCTTCTCCATGTTTCGGTGCGTTACCGGCACCGTCCAGGCTTTGGTACGCGAGACCCTGGATTTCCAGCACCGCATCCGAAGAAGGATCGTCACCGTCAAAAACAGCTAAGTTAGTCTGGAAGGACTGTGAGCTTTGGGGCCCTTTATGCAGGTGCGTTTCGAACTGGTGGCCGGAATCATTCTTGATGTCCTGCCTCAAGCACAAGCGCTTGATCGATCTAGGGACGAACGGTGAGTCGAGGTTGGTTCCTAACCCGGGAAGCACAGTATACGCAGCCTGGAAGACCGAGTCTAGGGTTGTAGGGTGAACGAGACACTCGGTCGTTTGTAGCTTCCCAGACGATGGCGATGAGGCTCCGGCAACGGAGAAAGTGACGACACTTTCCTTTCGGTTAGATACCACTGTGCTCATATTCTGGAATGCTGGCCCGTGGCGGATCCCAACGGATCGAAGCGCCGCCCACACATCTTCTGGATCGACCCGTCGAATGTATGTTGTAGACTTGGTATCCCTCTTGGTGGTTGTGAACTTTAGATCATCTATAAGATCGCTGTCCGTGTCGTTGCCAGTGGTGAACTGAACTCGGATGGAACCGTGGCAGTGTTCCGACCAGATGTTGTCGCCAGTGACGGAGTAAACTCGAAACTCTTGCCAACCGCTAGTACCCAGGGAGCTTTCGCTGCACTGGGACATTGTAAGCTGGACCTCTTGACCTTCAACGTCGGGAATTACCAGAGCATTGACAAATTGGACGTCGCGGAGATTGTAGCCAATGATTTCACGGCCAGGACACTTGCGCCTTGTTAGCATTGATGCTGCCTCGATGGCCATGCATACGTAGCCGGCACCGGGGAAAATGATATTGGATCCCACGACATGGTCGCGGAGCCAGGGGAGGTCAGAAGTTCTCAGGATATTTCGCCATGTCGGCGTAGAAGAGTTTGCACTGGACTGATAGGTCCCGAGAATGTCATGCGGCGGATCATTTCGCTGTCGCCAAGCCTTGTTGACTCGTGGCTCATGCCAAAAGCGAGTAGTATGATTCCATGGGTATTCTGGTAGGTCGTGGAGAACACGAACGTCACGACTAAGGCCAGGGAAGTTGACGGCCTTGAGGTCGACAGGATACCCCTTGCGAAGAAGCTCACAGACTAGCGTTTGCATAGTCTCGATCGCATTTTTCTTGCGTACCAGGCAGTTGAGGTACGATATTTTGCTGCCATTGAGCTCTGGAAGCGTTAGGAGATCTTGGATGGGACCCCCTAATGAGCCATGTGGACCCAGTTCGATGGCCACATCGACGTTTTGAGAAGACCCAGATCGATCCGCAGACTGGCCGGAGATACACATGTTCCGGAACGATGCCGCAAATTCAACGACTCCAAGCATGTTATCGTTCCAGTACTCGGGCGTTGCGAGTCTTTGGAGATCCGCCAAGTGGTTGCCTGTCATGGAGGATGAGAATATCACATCCTTTGTTGGTTTTGAAGGCTTCAATATCGGTCTGAGCTGTGCCATTTACTTTTCCGAAATAGGGGACATGTGTGGGGAGTGGAATGCCCCGTTTATACGCAACCGTCTGCAAAACACCTCGTCCATGGCGAGGAGATCTTCCAGTTCCGCAATGGCCGAGATGTCTCCGGAGGCGGTGACTCTGTTCTGGCTGTTCACGCACGCCACCCCCACTTTACCATCTCGGACACGGGAAATATACGCTTCAGACTTTTCACGACCTAGGCCGATGGCCATCATTCCGCCCTTTCCAATGATGTTTTCCGTTTCGGCCGAGAGAGCGCCTCGAAGATACGGAATAGCTATCGCGGACCGGGCATCGAGAGCCCCAGCAGCGTATGCAGCGGCCACTTCGCCACTGGAATGGCCGGTAACGGCTGTTGGATGCACACCCCAGGAGCGAAGCAAATCCACGAGGGCAATTTGGATTGCGCAGCACAGCGGCAAGCTATATTCGAGGTTCCGGACGTTGGTTGTGTCCTCGTCTCGACAGAGCTCCTCTGTAACCATTGTCAGCTAGTGGAAATTGGGAGTCGGAGTAGTGGAACGAGCAGAGGAAGTTTCCGTCGCGAATACCTACCCATCAACGACCATCTGGCACCCATTTCCTTGATATAACCGTCTAGAGCCTCGAGGCTTGTTTTGAATACCGGGTAGCTGTGTATCAGCTCTCGGCCCATAGAATACGACTGAGCACCCTGTCCATTGAATACAAAGCCTAGCCGAGGCTGGGGAGGGGTGCGGACGGGCGCGAATTTGTCGCATGCTAGAGCGGCGGCCAGGCTTGGTACGCAACTGGCAGAATACGCTGCCACCCAGGGGAATACCGAACGACGCTCTCCAAGGGTGTATGCTAAGTCGTGGAGTAGTCGGTCGTGGTGCATTGGATTGGTGGATAAGAGGTAGGTTTGCAAATCGGCAGCGCGCCTCTTACACGACTCTTCATCTCTAGCCCTCAGGGCAAATACCCTGCTAGTCTAAAACATCATTGAAGTTAGTACTTGGTGGATTCAGTGAGATATAGAGAGAAATAGAAACCTGCCTGCGTCTTGGAAGTTCCGTTTATGATACCATTCGGATGCGTAGTATCAAGCCTGTCACGGCTTGGTACGCCATTGGAAAGGATAGTACCATTTGGAATGGCAACCCGTTTCAAATCAGGAGTGACATCCAATACTATATCATGATTGACCTTCTCGGATCGCGTCGTTCCATTCAGACTTTCACTCACATCCTGAGAGGTACCATTCTTTCCGTTGGTCGTATTGGAGATTGTGATACTCTTCCCAGCACCATTCGCTCCTGGAATGGGGTCGTGATTTATCGTCAATGTAGACGGTTGAGTTGGCTCTGGTCGGTACTCTTCAATAATAACAGGGGCATTCGCACCTCCAAACCCAAAGTTGTTGATGGAAGCTCGGCGTACGCTTCCCTTCAAGGGCCATGGCACAAGCGGTTGTGGGAATCTAGACAAGTCAGTGGCAATACACACGCTGGAGGGGCTGGAGGGAGGTGTATTTTGACCTACCGTGACGTTCCACCCCGAGAGATCCAACTTCTCATTCTGGCGCTTGAAATTGCAGTTCGGAGGGACTAGTCCCTTCTCGAGACCCAAAACGACCTTGATGATACTCGCAAGGCCACTTGCAGCTTCAGTATGCCCAATTGCCGTTTTCACCGAGCCTACTAATAACGGTTGACTCCTGTCATTGGCACGACTCGCTGCACCAATTACGTTGGAGATAGCTCGCAGTTCGATGGGGTCCCCGGTGGGTGTGCCGGTGCCGTGGGCCTCCACATAACCAGTCTCCGCCGGATCAACACCTGCTTGTCTGTAACAGGTGCGCATGAGCTCTTCCTGGGCCTCTTGGCTAGGTGTCGTGATTGTCGGGGTCTTTCCGTCTTGGTTCAGGGCCGTGCCGCGGATGATTGCCCGGATGGGATCACCAGCAGCAATCGCGTCATCAAGCCGCTTTAGTATGATGGCGGCTACGCCTTCGCCGCGGCCGTACCCGTTTGCTCTGTGGTCGAAGGCATAGGAGATTCCGTCCGGAGAGAGAAACCTAGAGGAGAGTTAACATGGATGATTTCACATTTTCCGGGGAAGATGGTTCCTTCTCACCCGATGCTTGACATGGACACGAAAACGTCCGGGTTCAACATCAGGCTGGCGCCGGTGACCACTGACGCGCCGGATTCTCTTGCTCGAAGATTTTGACATGCCAAGTGCAAAGCAGTCAAGGTGGTAGAGCAGCCGGTATCGATCGTCATACTAGGGCCGTGAAGGTCGTAAAAATGCGACACACGGTTGGAGGCCATGGTTGCCGCGTTGCCAGTCATGAAGTATCGCGGCAGCGTATCAGGATCTCGAGCCAAGGTATCATGGTAATCGCGAACCATGCACCCGGCGTACACAGATGTATCTGAACCCTGGAAATCCGACAAGGTTATACCCGCTGTGCACGTCAGCTTTGTAAGAATTTCCCCTTCCACCCCCGCGATTTGTTTTCTTTTCTTTTAACTGATTCTTTTCCATGAGAGTGAAGGGCCTACCGCTTTCCATTGCTTCATAGACGATCTCGAGAGTAAGCCTATACTGTGGGTCTAGAGTCTGTGAATCGTTAGATATATGGAGCAGTGCCTTAGAGGAGACAGGTGTATGCATACACTGGCAACCTCGGCGGATAGGTTGAAGAATGGCGCATCGAATACCGCGGGATCCTCTTTCAGGAAATGTCCGCCTCGAACATTCGTCTTCACGAACCAAGAGTTAGTCTAATCTGTCAGCAGAGACATGTTTATATTTGTCAAGGACCATACCGAACCGATCCTCTCTCCGTTCGGATGATACAGGCCTTTGGTCGCGAACCTAGTTTCGGATATTTCTGACCATCCACAGCGACCGTTGGCAAGCATATCCCAGAGCTTCTCGGGTCCGGTAGCATCACCGGAAAATCTGCACGCCATGCCAACAATGGCAATAGGTATATCTGACGACGCCATTGCCCTGAACTCGCAACTCCCGTCCTCGCGATACGCTGCGACGGAGGGCACGTTCAATTGTTGGACTTAGCTCACATGTGCCGTTTGTGTCTAGGTCAAGATGCGATGAATGGGGCAGCTGTCTTGGTAATATAGATTTATATTGACCAAGTCTTCGAGGTTCAGACACCTCTAGGAACTCGGGAGTAGATCGGCTCCGAGTCCCGGGCACTTGCCCCCATTGTCGGATTTTCTAACCAAACCACCGGACACAGAGCACCAAGTTAGCCGGCGAGCCACTAGGGGGAGCCGGGGAGTTGGCGGACCGGACAATGCCTGGAGCGCCCAACTGGACAACTGCTGTGCGCTTCCCGCGGCCAATCCACTCAGACCTGGCTTCCTCCATCGGGCACACTGTAATTATCACTTAGTTCGCAGCGGACGCACTCTAATGCAAACCGACGCTCTAAGGAGCAACGGTGGACCGCCAATTGGAGTGCGAGGAGAACATGGGCAGACCTAGCGGGCCGCAGATTTATACGCTTCGGCCCGACAGATAACGGGGCTTCCCTATATTAAGCTCCGCGAGTCAGCCATGCGTCCGCTTTGAGTTCAATCGGAGAGTTGGGTGGCTTTTGTGAATTCAGTGAAAACGAATGGATATTGGTCTACCGGTCTAGCAGTAACTACCACAAATGAGAGCTATTATGCTGCCACATTCTTCTTGGGACATTGCGGGCACGCCGTTCATATCTACTGCTGAAAGACGGATGGCGCTCAGGAAACTCTCCGGCCATCTTGCATGTCATTCCCGACCACGGATTAAAACTGTCGATGGCCGCTGGCTGCCCTTCGTCACTGTTGTTGAGTACGTGGCCCACTACTCGAAACATGGAATGCAGGGTTTCCTGGTGATGGCGTGTCTTGATCCCGCAGCAAGATACGCCAGCAGATTTATATAACTAATCGCGGCCTAGGTTAGTCCTTGATTGAGTATAATATTTATTGCTCTTATATGGAGCCTGGGGCTACGGCAATGAGCCACGAACATATCATACCGGTGTAGAACATTCCCTTAGTGCGTCAGTTTTTCGGGTTCCCACCTTTGGAGCTCTCATTCGTGTGTTCTCATTTCAAATTCCCATTGATCAACACGACACATACGATATTGGTTCCTGTAGAGGTTTTGCTGCGCTTCTTGCTGAAACTGCCCAGGCCAGCGGCTACACCCATTACCCGTCCACATATATGATGTGCGGGCAGGCTGCACTAACCCATTTCGGTGTCAAGAAGCTTCAATGTTGCCTGTCAATATGGTAAAGGGGGACAATGCGCCGTGGTGGACATGGCGGCCCAATTTAGACGATCAGGCTGCGGCATTTTAAAGAACCTTGTTCCTTCAAATTTGGACTTCACTCTCCCACGAAATCACGAGAAACACCTGGAAAGCACGAACTCAGACACTTTAGACATTGAAACAAACGATGTCGTTCGGCTTCTCCCCCGGCGATATTGTTTTGCTTGGCAAATTTCTTCTCAAAGTCCGCCAGTCATTGAAGGAAGAGGACGGGTCCCAAGTCCAGTATCTTCGCGCCATAAAGCAATGTAACGACTTTGATGCCGTCTTGGATTCCATACGAAGGCTTGACTTATCAAATTCAACCGAGTCCTTCAAAGAACAGCTGGCACAGTCCGCCTTCGATACTCAGGGGGTTATAAATGACTTTCGCCAGACAGTCGCCCGCTACGAGAAGTCGATGGGGGCTGGTTCCTCACGCGGAAAAATCGCGAGCGCCCCAAGGAAGATACAGTGGGCCTTTGACGCGGCGAATGACCTCGACGATTTCAGGAAGCGGTTGCAGTCACAAATTGATAGGATCCAACTCACATTACAGGGTAATGCTTGGTGAGCAGAAATCCGGATGACATCAGGACCACTTAACCAGTCTCCTAACTCTATACTGGGTAGGGAAATGCTGGCAAAGGTATACGAGCGGACGCAGTTTCTGGAGGGGCCACCCTTAGCAAATGCGATTTTAGCACCGAGAGCTGTTTCCATGCGTCGAAACACTTGGATGGTTGGTGGTGCCGCAGCGCCCCTAACTCTGGAAGGTGTCTACCAAGAGGTTGGCTTCATTAGAGATTTGTTCTTCAGACGCTTCTTCAGCAATGAAGCCTATTCCCAGATTCGGGAAATGGGACGAGCCTTTACCCTCCCGGATAACGCCTCTGACACACCGCCGCCGCCGAGCCCCGAATCAGTCCCAGGACCAGGGAAGCGGCAAACCCACGCCCCCTCGTCCGCTAAGCAACCTCCGGCGCCTGCACAACCACCTAATGAAAGCGCCACAATGGGCCTGGGCGATGAGATAAACGAGCGTCTTCGATCTTGGCATCTCGAGGAACTATCGCCGCATGAAAAGCGGCAGCTGCAAACACCTTCTTCGGCGCTGCAGCTGTTGCTTGAACCACCGACCACCGAGAGCACTGAGAGCCCAGCCAGTGGCACTCAACCGACACCTTTTAAGGAGGAGTCATCACCAGCCAGCGAGCAAGGGGCTCCTCCAGATGAAAAGCCAAGAAAATCCCGTCGTTTTGCAAGCCCCGAATTTTCAGGCTCCTCGATGGACCCAATGGCTTCCTTAGGAATAGCATCAAATATCCTCCAAATGGTGGAAATTGCAGCTAAGTTGGCGACCACGTACCGTAGTTTGCGTAATAATAACCGAGAGCTACTGCGACTCGCATCGACACTCTCCAGAGTTTCAGAAATTTTGCACATGATGTTCGAGATATCACAGACGTCTATGTCAGGTCCAATCCAAGACTTAAGCTTGAGGTTAACCGCAGAAATCCAGGAAGATGTAAGGGCTGCAGAAGAGCTTCTACACCAGTTGAAGCCTGGTCCCTCCACGGCGCTCGCCCACCTCTCTAAGACGATCAAATTCGTTATACATCGCCAAGAGGTCGAAAATGTCACTCAAGCTCTAGAGCGCCTGGATGGGAAGTTTGCCTTTGTGCTGCAGATTCACCAAGCAAAGATGACTGAGTCTTTCATTGAGAGGATGAAAATTGTGGAGGATGGGATCCGGAATTTGAGCTATGAGGTGTATCAACAGGGCAGACACTCTATGGACTGAATTCCGGGTGGATGAAGCGTAACGACAGGCGCAGCAGCGCGAATGGATAGAAAGTGTCGACGTGAGAATGGGGACCGTAAATAGTGGCCAGCGAAGAAAGCAGTAGGAGATGGCGATGGCGGCAACCCTAGGCTAATACGCGCAGCTCAGTACTGCTAAGATCATATCCATGAATCAAAGCCACCAAATATAAGTGAGGGATAGACAACGGATTTGTGGGGCATATATGGTAACCGAATTTGTAAAGACCTTGGTGGCTTACCTCCTCTGGAAACATCCTCATATCTTAGAAGAGGGAGCTTGTCAACGGCCCCGGAGGACTTTTGAATGCTAAGTTTGATGCACGCCCGTCCCGGTACTACAACCCCATGCCTCCGCTTGCTAGATCCCTGGAAATCAGCTGGCCACTTCAGTAGCGATTCGGCGAGGATAGCCCACCTGGTGCCATTGGTAATGGGGGCTTTTACCGCCGGAAGTCTACCGGCGTAGTCGGTTTTTTCCGAAGTCGGGGCTAGTAGCAATGATAGGACTCTCTCGTGAAAGGAACAACCACCCAAGATTGATAAGATTGATAACCTTGTTGCTCCGGGACAAAGAAGTAATCTGGGAACATTAATGCTCCATTCCTTGGCCGAGAATCAAGGTTAATCAAAAGCACACTCCCGGTTCCAATAAACCGAGTCGATGAGAGGGGTAGATTTTCGTTAACGAGCGAGTGCCGGAATCAACGATACTCTAAGTCAAACTCTAGTGCACTAAACAGCCGGGGCCTTAGTAGTGTTTAATTTCCTTTCTGGTGAATGATTACAATATCCGCATTGTGGAAGTCGGTTCGCTGTTTGGGTAATCGGCAAATATGCCTTCCTGAAAAGTTTGATCAATGGCAGCACTATGGTACTAGTTGGACTGAAGATCTGTGTTGTGCCGCCCAATCATATCCACCCGGGCAAGTTGAAGGTTGACATCCGATCCACGGCGGAGGACACCACCGTACCCTACCGAGCGTGGATATAAGCTTATAGGAACCTTTATGATGCCTACTGTCGCATTGGAGAGGCTTCAAAGAGGCGGAGATGGAGGTGCCGCGTCATTTAATGTCGAGAAGGCTCTTGGCGTAGGTTGCGGTCGGGGTTCTAGGGTCGAACAAGCCCCGAGCTTTCAGTTCCGCAATATCTCTTCTGAATATGACAAGATTAAAGGGAATGAAGAGGGAAGAGTCTCATGGGAAGTCCCCGGGAGACAACCGGCATATATATATGTCCGCATGAAGCCCAGTCTCTGGAGCCCCCACCAGAAAGCTTGCTCAAACGTTCTCAATCCTTCTCACGCTTAACCACAGATTCGGGTACTCTTATTTTACTATATTCCGCTGAAACATGCGTGCCTACTTTCTCGCTGCCCTGGTGGTCGGCGCTAATGCTGCCGTGCACAAGATTAATGTCGGTCAGGGTGGTCTGACTTACACCCCGGACTCGGTCAAGGCCGAAGTCGGTGACATTCTGGAGTTCTACTTCGTCGGTGGCAATCATGATGCTGTGATGGCGGACTTTGATACGCCCTGTGCGCCCTCTACTACCAGGGATGATGCCTTCTCTTCTGGTGTCATTCAGGGTACCCCGAATAACGTGAGTAGATGAAACCTTTGCGTTCTCTCATCAAGACAGTTCAACTAATGCTACCTTTGCAGAAAAACGTCTTCCACGTTACCGTAAACTCTACCGAGCCCACCTTCTACTACTGCTCCGTTGGTATGCACTGCGCGAACGGCATGGTTGCCGCCATCAATCCCTCCGACGATCAGACTGTCGACGCCTACCGAGCCGCATCCAAGGGCAAACAGCCCAAGGCCCCGACCGGCGTCTATGGCGGAGAGTTTGGCGACCCCCTCCCTTAAGAGACACATTGTCTGTGGCACAGATGAGGTGAGGACATGGGAGAGCGATGCGCTTCGGAGAAGGATACCAAAGGAGAAGTAGGAATGTACATATCACTTGCAAACTTCTTGTACAAATGAACCTTGGAGATTTGGAGATTGCGAACCGTGAATTATCTCCGAAGCAACGATCTGGCTCATGAAAATTCTGGGTGAATTCTGGGTCGGCCGATGCCCCGTCAACAAAATGATGCCCATCCAAGCGCCAGGCACAGCTTTTCTACAATTAGATGGGCGGCGTCAAGGTTAACAAAACAAGCAAAGTGCGATTCGGCGATCGCCGCACACGTAGCCTAGGCAGGTGGGTCAACCTAGACCTTTGCAGTCATCCCTGCGTATTCATCATCGGACTAAAAGATATATTTATTGCGAAGTAAAATTATCTAAGAATTCAACCACCCCAGTCGTACATCTGCCGAGTCCATCGCTTCAGCCAACATCTCTCTCTAAGCCGCCGCGCCTCCCCACACAGCGGGTCCTGGTGCCGTGTAAGTCGTAGCAACAGGATAATAAGACCACAGGAGACCAGGATCACTCGCCCTATATGCACCGGGGAACGCAACCAAGGGACCGGGTGTGCCGCTTCCGCCGCCCGTGACCTCAACCTGGGCGCAAGAGAGGTAGATCTGAGCACCGCCTGGAGCCTGAGCCTGGTGGAGAGCAACGCTTTCCACTCGAACAAGGTACTTCCCGCTCGGAACGTCAGTTGGGATGGTGAAGTCGACAACTCGTTGATCTATATACCTCGTCAATTATTCGCACAAAACAACAACTCGATGTAAGTCGTAGCCGGAGAACCATACTATAAGCAGGCCAGTCCCACCCCGCACCGCTCTTCACAGCGCTAATACTACCAGCCTTAAACCACACGTTCCCAGCAGCCTCCCACGTGTTGATATCAGCCGTATCGGGAACCTTGGCCATGTAGAACTGCACGGGGCCGAAGTGGGTAACCTCGGCGTTGGCGACGAAGCCGAGTTTCTCGCCAGCGGCGATGGTGGCCGTCGTCGTCCCGGGACGCATCTGGAAGCAGCGCATGTCGGGACTGTTGACGTCGGTGACGCCTTGGTTGCCTTGGTAGTTCTTGGTCATGCGTACAGCGGTCCATTCTGCTGCTTCTTCTACGCCGTTGACCACGATCTTGGAGAATCGGTCTTGTTCACATAAGTTAGACACGTCAAGTCTAGTTCGAGGAAAAGCTCAAGGACAGCGTACGCACAGTGGGCATGGGCGATGGCTGCAAGAAGCAGCACCGAGTTAAGAATCTTCACCATTGTTGAGGAGATGCTGGCGACAACACAGAATGACGACGGACGAACGTCTCCGTAACGAGTGGCATCCAGGCATGCCCAAAGGGGGAGGCCGTGCTAAATACATAACGAAACCTATCATGGCCACCAGGGTGAAGTGCCGATGATGATGGTCGTCGGTGATTAAACCGCAAATAGAAATTCTTGGCTAACTGTTCAACTGGCTGTTTCTACGCTGCGAGAGTTGGGCACGGTGCTCATAAGGTGCCTGCTGAGGGATGTTTAGCCTGTTGTGGAGATTGGGGTAGAATATCCCCCGATTGGTTGATGGAGCATATGGTTAAACGGCGGAGAAGACCACTTTATTAGCGGAGAAATGTGGGCGATTCTATTTGTTCTCTGGATATGAAAGCCCAATCTGACAGGTCTCCCGGTCATGCATGGGCAAGAGATGGGGGAAAGAACGTGGTGTTTTGAAGGTCAATCATGATCCGTTCGCCCGTGTCCACGAAGTTATTTATTGTTGGAAGGTTTAACGGAAGGGAGAAGTGATATGGCGGATCTTGGCAAATGCAATCTCGCTGGGCTTAAGAGAACAGCTCCAGGTCACCTAGACATATTCCAAGGTGATGAAATACAATCTATAGTTCTATTATGAGTGAATACAAAAATCTATTTGTTTTGTTGTTATACAAGTCTAGTAATACATACATACAAAATTTCACTTTATCAAGTTTTCAATCTTCACGTTTCAACTTAGTTCAACTGAGGCTCCCCAGCACGAGTTGCTTCCATGGCAAAGATGGCCTTCAGCTTCATGCAACATTCCATATATAGCTCTTCGGACTGGCATGCCACCGACATGGGATTGGGGCTCTTGTCCCAGCCGTGAGCCACTTTTTCAATCATCCTGTAGTGAACATCCTTGCAGACGGGCTCAGCTGCCAGTCTCTGCGCCAGCTCCTCGCCCTCCCTGTGCAGCATGTCCCACTCGCACGTATAAAAGAGGACGTGGGATGCTACGCCGTCTATAAGCAGCTCGTCCGACGCCCGCGACGGAGAGAGGAACGGATCGGCGAGGTCTAGATTCGGGGGATATAGGTACGACGCATCGAAGAGATTCGTCAGGTACGGAGGCAGCGCCTGATCCGGGCGAGTAGTGCTCGCGCGGCGTTCGGCGCGGGTAAGTGTATAATCTGTGATCGGGTACCAAAGGGCGCTCGCGACGATGCGGTGTCCCGGTACCTGCTTTTCAGGATCTTCTTGAATAGACTTGAGGTGTGTCGTCAGACGGAGCGGACAGGTCACGGCGAGGTTCCCGCCGGCAGAGAACCCCGACGTGGCGAGCTGCATGGGATCGATGTGGAACTCGGCAGCGTTATTTATAATGTATAGTAGGGCATCGGCACCGTCTTCCACGGCCGTGGGGAAGGGATGCTCGGGCGAGAGTCGATAGTCGACCGAAATAAAAAGAGCGTGGCACTCCTCGACGACGAATCGCGCAAACCTCGCATCGTCCGTCGCGTTGCCCAGCGTGAACCCGCCGCCGTGGAAATTGACGACGGCCGGGTACGTGCGGTGGCGATGCAGCAGCGTATGGTCGTAGCCTCTGGGAGCGTAGAAATGAAGAGAGAACTCGCCCTCCTTCGCGGCGAGGGTCGACTTAACCTTTCTCGTAAATCGGGGGGACGGCGGTCGGGGCGAGGCCAGGAAATGCAGAGACATCCCTATCCATTGCAGCGCCCTCCATCCCGACGCCACCATCTTCAGGTTGCGTCGGGATGGCGGGGGACCGGTTTTGTCGGATGCGAGGTGGGGGATTTCGTCGGGGCCAATCTGGGCCGCCTCGATGGACATCGACCGGTCGGCATCGGTCAGGGGCACGGGGATGCCTTCGATGTTAGCGAACGTGGGCATATGCGGCATATTGTATGGCTATGCGGGTTTTTCAGCTGGCGTCCTTTTTTCTTCCTATGTCGTGCATGAGCAATCACTGACATGGTTCCAGGATTCCAGGTTGGAAAGGATGGCGGAAACTTAAATCGGCGGCGGGTTCTTGAGGAGCGTTGGGAAGACGTGCGTCCAAGGGGGGCGGTGCTGGCGCTGGGTGGAGCTCGAGCACGGGACAGAACGTGACGGGACCCGGCCTGGCGGTCTGGCCAGACGAGTGGCAGCTCATGGCGGGGCAACAGTGACAGTTGACAAGTTGGCTGGCAGTTGAAAGTGAGGCAATTGAGCAAGTGGCAGCACCTCACTGGCCTTGTTTCTAGCGTCTTCGGGAGAATGAAGGAGCGGAGACGATTGCGAATTGGCTCGTAATATGGGGAATAACATGATTTTTCACGAGATCAATGTCTGAAAACTGCAAACAAAAATGCAGGGCCCTTGCAGTTCAGGTCGCTCACGGGTTCCTGAACGCCAATGCTGCTAAGATCCATTCCTGCTGGCAAAAATGTTAATCCCTGCTTCTAGTACACTTGTGCCTGTGAGACAGTCAATCACCTGCGCTCCTTCCACATTCAAGCATGAGGAACCATTGAGGAGGCGAATTCAAAATTGTTAGATAAGAATACCTCGGTACATTACAAATAAGTGATAAGACTGTGACATAAGCAACATCAATATGACTTTGGCACCATTTTGAACATGTTTGAATCTACTTAAGTCAAAATCGGAGTGGCGAGACGTCATCGCCTGATGTTTGTGTCGTCATCGGTGGAGTCGCCCCCTCCCAGTGCGGATTATTATGCACAGTACCATTGTACTTTGCAGATTGTACCCTGTATCTTGTACCTTGGAGCCGGATTCCCGTGGACCATTGCGCCTTCCTCGAGGTTTTTGGTTATCGCCGATGGCCGAAAGCGGGTTCTCTGGAGAAGGTGCGACTCAAGCATCAGGAACACCGAGGGGCAGGATGAATTATCGTGACAAAGATCTATATAACCAACTAGTGCATTGAGCCTAGTTTTAGATTCTTTTCTTAATTTTTTCAGTCTTCGCTCTTCGCCGATTGCGAACCAGGGATCGAAGCGATGCGGCGAAGATGGAAGTTCGCTCATTCGCTTCTTCCATCTTCCATGCTCGGACAGGACGGACAGCAGGCCATACCACGTGTTTGTGCGAAGTACGCAAACTCGCTCTCAATTACGCTGCCGGTCGAACTAGTCGACCGCGGTCATGTCGGTTTCGTCGGTTTCGCCCGCCTCCCACGCGGTCGGTAGCGAACCATTGTAATTGCTGATGGTCCCAGGGAGGAGGATTGGACCATTCCCGGACCAAGGGCCCCCCGTCTCGTTTTCCTCGCAAAAAGCGTAACTCTAAACTCCGCGTATTCAGACGAAAGGGAGCCACCAGGAAGCCACCAGCCTTTCTAACCTACCCTACTACGAAGTAAACTTATATTAAACCTTTGGCTATCCCGCAGCCCTGTTCCTGATCCGGTAGGCTCGGCAGCGCCAAGCTTCATCACTAAGCTTTTATTTTTTCTCCAACAGACAATTCCCCGTCTTCATGCTCTTGATCGCCGGCCTTCGCTCTTAGCACACAAGAGCCCACACCCACTCACTCTCGCCGCATTCCAACCAAACATATCCCATCATCGCCATTCCCGGCTTGTCATAGCTATTTCCGGAAGCGGACTAGATCGGGCTTATAGTTTTTTTCGCATCCCTGAATGACCGAATCTAGTTTGATGGCCAGCCCCGTCGCTTCCGCGACCCTCCACGCTACCTACCCCGACTTGCCCTACACTACCTTTACGTAGTTTATTATAAGATCGTCGCATCATCCACGAACTGACAGGTATCCGCGGTGCTCAAGCTCTCTCTCCTCTCTCTCCCTTTCTCTCTCTTCTCCTCTCCATATCCTCCCCTCTCCTCTCCATATCCTCCCCAAACCAAAAAGAAGAGAGTAGAGTCACAGGGCAAACCTGCGACCCACTTCCGCGCAAAACATCATGTCACCCGGCGCCCTCAAAAAACCGCTATTGAAGCTGAACCGGCTCATCGGCCACTCATCAGCAAAAAACCACATGTCCAAGCCCACAATCGGCAACATCGCCGCCCTCGACGAGGACAAGCACTGCCGCAAAATCCAGAAAGTCCAAGCCCAGCAAGAAAAAGAGATCCAGCGCGAGGAGGAAAAGCGATCGCTGCAAATAAAACGAAAGGAGGATGAGGAAACCGCGCAGAAGAGCGATCCGCCTGAGATTGCGAGTCGCTATGGGACCAAGCCTGAGCATGCGCTGCGTCTCACAGATCTGGTGTCGTTTGCGGAGTTGAAGACGGATTGCCAGGCGACCGGGGGGACGCCGATTAAGTTTACTGCCCGTGTGCATCATGTGCGCGCCATGGGGCCCAAGTTGGCCTTTCTAATATTCCGCCAAGGCATCGACACTATCCAGGGTGTTCTAGAGTACCGGGAGGGTGAGATCTCTGAAGGTTTCATAAAATGGGCTGAGCATCTCATCTCCGAAGGTATCGTCCACGTCACAGGAACCATAAAATGCCCTAAGGAGCCCGTGAGCGCCTGCACGATACCTGGCATTGAGATTCTCGTCGAGAAGATGTACCTCACGGTACCCGTCAAGGAATCGCTCCCCATCGACGTCTACACGGTTGATCGGGTGGAGGAGAATCCTGATACCAAGGAACTCGAGTACCTCGCCTCGAACCGCGTGCGCACTCTGAACAGGATCAGCTTCCTCAGAACGCCCACGGCGCAGTGCATTTTCCGGCTCAATTCGTCCATATGCAGGGCTTTCCGGCACCATCTCGAGGGTCAAGGTTTCTTGGAGATCCACACCCCGAAGCTCCAGCCCGCCGCCACTGAATCGGGTGCGTCGGTGTTCAAGGTCAACTACTACGGACGCACGGCCTTCTTGGCACAGAGCCCCCAGCTCGCCAAGCAGCTCTGCATCTCTGCCGATTTCGGTCGTGTATTCGAGATCGGCCCCGTCTTCCGCGCCGAGGACAGCAACACGCATCGCCATCTCAGCGAATATACCGGCTTGGACTTGGAGATGG